ATTGGGCTTCTTCTTCTTCTTCTTCTTCTTCTTCTTCTTCTTCTTCTTCTTCTTCTTCTTCTTCTTCTTCTTCTTCTTCTTCTTCTTCTTCTTCTTCTTTTTGTGTGTCTCGTGTCTTTCTGTGTATAACGTTTCGATCTCGTAGAACAGTCTAGCTCTCACGATGCCATTCGACAGAGGCCTTCATGCCCTCCTCCATCAGTGCCCTTACGACATCAGGGCTAATAACCTGTTGCCGGAACGTCTCCTGCTGAAGGAGCTCGAGGTGTCTTAATGTCGGACCGGGGTATGTCAAATATTTAAGATAAGGAGGCTTGCTCCAATATTGAAGGTAGGCAAGGTATGCGACAAAGGCGGGCTGGCTGAGAAGTTTCTGAGATGCCAGGTGGTTGAGGTAGGCTGGGTTCGCTAAGGATTGTACAAACTGTGCAAGATCGAATCTTAGCTATATGTGTACATGACTGAGAGTAGGGTAAGAGCGAACCTCGAGTTCAATCTCGAATCGCGAATAACCACCGTATTTAGGTTCTTCGTCTGCTTGCGCGGGTGTGGGTGCAGGGGCAGGAGATCCCATTGACACGTCTTGAGAGGCTTCTGCTGACATGTTCGAAGGGCCGCTCGATCTGAAGAGAATGACGATTCTTAAAGTTTGCTGACGCGGTTGTGGATGGCGATGCGCGTGAGGTGGATTAATCGGAGGAGTGTGCTTTAGGTAAGGTAGGTAGGTACCTACGGTAGGCAGGTTGTGCAGATCCGCATGGGAAGGACGAGGCCCACTTTCTACTATCGACGTCAGTCTAAGCTTCCACGAAGCTCATGCACCTACCTATAGGTAGGTAGGTAGTACTAACCTGAATATCAACGTCAGCTTCATTGTTTCCCAGTACCCACCAGCAGGTAAGTTACCACCATTATTGACACTCTGTATTACTTTATGCAACACGCTTGGTATTAAATCATCTCGCTTTTATGCCATTGAGCCAAGTGTATATGCAGACATTTTCACAACAATACTACATTACAAGGCGCTCTTAAATCTTGCTTAAGCAGACGGTGAAGCCTTTTTTAAGTAGGTGAATAACAGCCCGAGGAAATATCTTCTAAGACTTACGCTACGATAGAAGAGTAGCGTAAGTACTGGTCTAAGCTGATTGTTTTATTTCTTATGCTTCTAGGGGCTAATTGTTCTGACCCTAAGGGGCTAAGTTAACATCAATAAGCCATGGCAGCTGTATCGGTTTGTACCTGATGTCCATGATAGCCGCATTCACAAACAACGTCTGCTCGCCGGGAACTATACAACTATCCCCCTGGGTCAAGTCAAGATGTGCCGCTCTTTGTTTGCTCATTGCGATGAGCTTCGCCCTAGTTATCTTTGCCGTGTCACAGTCTTGTGTCACCTTTCCCGGACGTAGCCCTTTAAGCCCAAGCTGCCGTGATTGATCTTCGTTGATTGTATCTCCATCCCAGGTCACATAGTGCATTCCCCACGCTTCATGAATATGCCCAAAGCAGTGGATCTTGGGCTTGGCGTGGGCGACGGCTGCGAGGAGATCTGGACACCCAGCGTGGGTTCCCGTCCTGCCTGCAAAGTCGCGGATACCCTGAGGAGGACCATGAGTTAAAACCACATCCATCCCTGGAGGGATATTGAAGTCGTGACCGTTTTTGTACTGGAAAGCCCAACCGCCGAATGCAGGAGTCCAGGGACTTGCGTACACCTTAAGCAGGGCACCATTCGCCAGGGTAAACTGGTGAACACCCTCTGTCAAATACTTAACGCCATCTTTCCCAGCGTTCCGAATAATAGTCTCGACGTTATCGAGAGTCTCCTTCGATCCACCGAACTGATTGATCCAGTAGTCATGATCGAGTGCGGTGTCGTGGTTGCCTGCAATAGCTAACTTGAGGGGTGCCTTAATAGATCGCAAAACGGAAAAGGTTGCCTCGAACTCAGGGATCGTGGTGCGTTTTGTGAGATCACCGCAGTGAATGACAACATCGACTTCTGGTAAGGGATCTCTCCAACCTGTAACCGTATGCGCAACATCTTCCTTATCGAGTTCATCATCGGTACTGGGCCCGTCTTCGTTTTTGGGCTTGGGTTTAGTGCCATGCGTGTCGGAAATGATGAGAATCCGAGTTTTGATGTGTTTCGGTCCAGGTGCCTCAGCCATCTTATCCTATCTTGTCAAGGAGTTTGAGGAAGTCTATGATAGATATAGTGGTTGCAATGATGATCGTCGGGTGGTAGTGTTGAATATCGTTTGTAAGATGCCGTCGTCAGGATATTAGTCACGGAAAGCATGAGAGACGAAATAACCTGGTTACTTTATGCAGGCTCAGACGAGGCTTTAGGCTACTTTATTTTGGCGCCCTAAGCTTCTGAGGAAATGGATATTATAGGTTATGTCACCACCTGGACTGATAACAGCATAATCGGAATAGAAGAGTCTTTAGCCTACCTACCTAGGTAGGGACTTATTCATTACTATGGATGCTAGACTAGCTGGTACAGTTCTATTACTACTTTTTCCATTGCTGAATGGTAAGCTTATCCTGCCACTAAAAACCCAAAACCCGAGAACAGAACAAGATTATATCCTTCGCAATAACGCCAGCTTGATAGCTTTCCCAAAGAAAATGTTCCGTCATCATGTTGCATTATGTACAGACATCGATGCTCTTACAGAGCAATGGCGGCAGCAATAGCAGCGATGAGGCCAAAGGCAGGTCCAGCAACAGCGGCAGCTGCGCTACCAGCGTCAGTGGGAACGCTGCTAGCACCGCCGCTGCCGCCACCGGAAGTTCCAGTAGGTGTGGTGGCTCCTCCAGCTCCGCCTTCCGTGGTCTTGGTCATGGTCATAGTTCCATTATTGGGACGGGGAGTAACAGGAGGGATGGGCTTCTCCTCGGGGATGCTGGAGAAGATGGCGGGAACAGAGGCAGAGCCAGTGATGGAGGTGTCGATGCTGACAGTGACAGAGCCCAGGCTCTCTGTAGGAGCCACGGTGGCGGAACCAGAACCGGCCGAGGCGGCGAAGGCCTTACAAGCCTCAGAAGCAGCCTGCTGGGCCTTGACGAGGTCCTCGATCTCGCAGGCTTCGGTCAAGCAGGGAGTGATGATGGGCTGGAGCTTCTTCTGGAAGCCGGACTCGCATTGGCAGGCAGTGTCGTCGAGCTCGCAGCCGGCCTTGGGAATGTATTCCTGAAGACATTTGAGCTGTATTGGAAGGTTAGTCAATGTACTGCTACTATAAGCATCAGTTGTGGATAAGCTCTGACTTACAGCACACTGGGGCTGACCACTGAGGTCCTGAGCGGCGACAATGCCGGCGGCAGCGAGGAAGAAAGCAGCCTTCATTTTGGTTGAGGTGTGTAGATTTGGTTACTGAAACGATTGGAATATGTAAAGCGAGTGGGCTTCAAGTGATGTGAAAGCAGCAAGAATGACTCCAAACGAAAGCGGGTTGATGAGAAGCTATAGAAGACAAGACATGGAACAGGGAGGTCGGCTGTGCCTCTTTATAGATAATCAAACAATCCATCTGGGCTGCAATAACAGACACAAGTTAAGTCCCGAAGGCTCGATGCCGTACCATACCTTACCTGATCGAGGTAGAGGAACTAAGCAACCTAAGCACCTAGTGGGAAATCTAGTGGCTGGTCTACGAATACATACACGGAGGCTAGGTAACTAGGTGGTGATTGCCTCGATACATTTTAGTCGTTTTTGCCCCTGGCCTCGGACTCTCTCTCGACTGGACTGGACCCCTGGCAGCCCGTGCTTGAAACCTACAGTAGGGAACATTGAACCAATCAGATTATATGCTACCGCCTGGGCGCTGGCTCTTCAGAGCTCTAGTGGTCTGTCTATCAGGCTCTTCAAAGGGTTCTGTCGTATCATGACAACTCCCGGAATTGTCAGGTGACATAGTGCAATGTTCAGCAACTCTATTGTATTGCCGCGTCTCTTTGCAGACGCAATTATGTGCTCGGTATTGTTGATCGGAAGGTAAATTGAGTTTGACTTTTAAGTTAAGTTGACCAGGTAGGTACTCGAACCATAGACAGTCGAGGTTAATTAATAAAACTGTTGTGTTCTGTCCTCTTCCTTTTTGTGCCGGTTGCCGTTTTGGAGGCTGCGCCATGGCGTTTCTTGGTATGCATGCAGCCATTGCAGATAGACTACATACAGTATCCGTACATGCCTCTGCATTGGATGTTTTAACAGGAGGGGCTAGAGGGGCTTGGGGGAGGGGAGACTAAAATGGTGCTACTAGGTTCACCTGAAGCCGAGGGAGAGCGCCCGGTTCATCGCCCCGGACAACCTTGCCAAAACATCAATTGATGAACAAGTACGTAAAGTAACCTTAAGTTCTATCAACTGTTAAGGTTTCCCGTTGCCATCTATCCAAAAGTCAAAAGTCCATCGTTCTGGTTTTAGTCTTGGTTTGTTTACTATTGAGATTCCTTGATCTTTATCTTGACTGATGGGAACCAACACATACAGCCGCAATCAGCTAGAGGAAAACAGAAGAAGAAGAAGAAAGACTGAATCAACCGCCACGGATGACATGCCTTAGTCCAAACACATAGCCTTCCAGTAGTACCCGTCCTGCAAGACTGTTGGGTAAGTATGCAGGCTGGCAGGTATTCAATATTAGCAAGGCTGGTACTCCGTAGTGTGTCAGTCAGTGTAACAAAGAATAATCAGGTTGAATCTCAATTACTGCTCTCTCCTCTCTCTCTTTACTCTTCTAGACGACTCATCTACCAACGTCAGCTTATACCCCTCCCTCCCTCTGTCTCTCCTGCATGCGTATGTGCATGCGCATGCGACTGCGTTGTGATGTCGAGGCATGCAACGGTACCTAGTGAAGCCAGCCCCCAACAGACAAAGACACTTACGCGTCCAAAGTGGCTCACTAAGGTAGGTGGGATTTTCACAGCTCATGGTGTGGCTGCTTAACCTACCAAAGTCCCCCTTCTCTATTCCCACCTTGTTTTCTCTATGAAGATCGAGAACACATTCAGACTATTTTTACGCTATTGGTGGAAGTTGATTTCTATTTCGGGTAGGTGCTTGTGTTGGTCATGGTCAAGGTCAAGTATACGACATCGCGAAACAAAACAAAGCAAGCAAAAAACGATACAACGCTTAAACGAACGAATTGTTTCCTTCTTGGTGGCTGTTTCTTCACTTCCTACTGTACTATAGCTCTGCCGTAGGTCATTCAACATCATGATGTGCAGTGTCAGATCAGCATCGCATTCAAGGTGCATTTCGTATCCGGAGTAACACAGCCATGTCCCCTCTAACTAATCGGACGACCATGAGACGTGACGGTACATAACATCATTGGATTGGATATAACCAGGATCCCGACGATGCTGTTTTTACGCGCCAGCCTGTCGATATATGTATGTAGATGATCAATCCATGTGCTTCGCCCCCGGAAATGGTGCAAATACTATGGCCACTTAATGAAGGCCATAAACAGTACCTATGTACCGCATTCGTACGGACACTCATCACCAATTTTCTGCCATGTCTCTAACGCCCTGGAAATGCGTGTCCAGCACCTGCAATTCTCCGACCAAATAGAAGCCTGACCTATGGATGACAATGAATCCTCCCTATCCCAAGATCTTATTGATATACCTATCTAGGTATGTAAGTGCTTGGAGGTACGGGATATGCACATGCACAGCTGCGGCATCAGAGAGATACGGCTGACGGTTTCAAACTAATTCATATAAATCCTCAAACTCCGGATGAAGCCAATCACCTAATTCAAAGGCTCAGTCAACGTAAAGTACATCCAGTGGCATCCGTAAAGCAACACAACATTTCCCCTTTCCGCACTTCCGCTGTCTCTCCCGTAGTACCGATCCATGGCGTCGCCTTGCGTGTTGCAGAACAAAAGCTTAGCTAGCGCTAAGATTTTGCCAAGATACTTTGCCGAAATCTGGAGTTGGCATCCGTTGGATTGCCTGTACAATAAAGCTACAATCCAAACAAAGCGTATATCATCACCTTCGCGAAAAAGCCACAGATCCAGATCTCGAGTAACCAGTTCCAAGTTTTCAAATTAGAGTGTACATTGTATATAAGCTCCGTCCTATCATGAATCATCATCCCATCGAGGCCGGTTCATGATGATAGGTCTCGCTGCATCCCATGGCCCTCGTATCTCGTTCTTGTACTTCTGAAGCCCGATCAGCCACCAACTGCAGCCTCCTGTGGCCAGTATGGCAATAAATACTCCAACTATCATGCCCACAAGTCCGCTCTTCCATGGCCATCCATCCGTGCCGCTAGCATCGCCAAGTATAAGACCGACCCCAAAGCTTGCTCCCAGTACCAGTAAAATAGCCGAAAGTATATGAAAGCGCCAACTACGGTGCCGTAAGTAGCGTCGAAAGACTGGAAACAATCCAAAGACTTCAATGCTGAAAAGGGTCAGACTAAACACCTGTTTGGTAGAGGGCAGCCGACTAGCTAGCACCGTCGATGCCATGAGCGCAGCATTGGTGGACAGAGATGCTGGGAATTTGGCGCCCACTCCGCCTGAGTAGTCGAAGAAGAAGATGTTGATTGCGAGAAGCCAAAAGGACATGGCCCATATGCTGTCACTCGATGTTGACCGTGTAAGCGATTTAAGTATAGGGCTGAGTCCGAGCAACGTGCAGTATATAAGGATCGCCGATTTAATAGTCTCCATTCGTTGTCGATACCTATTTTCTTCAGGCAGAAGCGGAGGTGGCAGTTCGGGAAGATGTTCCTGACTTGCTCGCGGTGTGTGGGCGGCACCACTGGCCAAGGATGTATTCGAAGCTGATTGCGCTCGATGCATCACAGCTGGCGCGTGTAGGTTAGTTGTCGAGCTCGCCGCCGAAGGGACGGCAGATGGCGTGGCGGTCGACGGTGCGGATTCAATCCGGAGCGGAGTTGGACGCCGGATACTGCCTGTGCGGGTCGGTCGTCTTAGACTGCCGGTACGACCGGCCCTACCCATAACATTCGCAGCCACTCCAAGGCTTGGGTCGTCGGGCTCCTCGATTTCAGATAGCCAACGTTCCCACAGAATCCACCCCACAAATGTAGCGAAGCTACTCCAGCTTGTCACAGCAACAGGGGAGACGCGCTCCTGGTTTATGCCGACAAAGCAAACAACGAATATAATGACAGAGCATACATGCTGCAGTATGACTGTAGAGTCGGCAACAAGAGGCCAGAAGTCGTAGGGCTTGAGTCGAGGATTGCGCTGGAGGTTCTCGAGAAAGGTAGCTTGATCGGTATAGTTATCAGGATCTAGAGAGTGGATGGGTATGTTAGCTGAGGCTGTCTCTTTGAAGCATCTATCCGGCGTATACATACACGACTGCTTCACCCACATCAGCTTCTTCCATGGACGTTTGCGCCTTCGGCTTCGACCTCGCGGACCTCTAGGTGGCGACACGAAGGCATCGTCAGGGGAAAGATGCGAACGGCCAAACCCATGAAGGGTGGGACGGTCTAACGAGGGGAACGGCGTCTCGTCGTCGGTGGGGGATGGCATGCTATCGAGAAGGCATTGGAGGCGTTTGGGGTGTCGACTTGGACTTGTAGCTGGGTCCCTATCTGGATCTGGACTTAGTCTCTGGCGCGAAGATGTTGGGGGTTGTGTCTGAGATTGACAATGATGCCAATTGACATTGACAGTTGTCACGAGTGGGTCATCGAGGGCTAGCGGGCTTGGAGATCGTGCTGCAGCGTTTCCCGTCATGGAATGGATCGGTTGATTGATTGATTGATTTAAGCGCGTCCCGCTGTCAGTGTGTAGTCTGTACTGTGCTGCAATGTAGGTCTTACTGTACGTATGCAGGTAGGTGGTAGGTTAGTACAGTAGCAAAGAGCTCCGCTCGGACATTTGATATCTGACGGGCTGTGACTTCTTCTCTCGTATCACATTCGCATGTTGGATGTTGGATGTTGGTGATTGATATGCGGGTTGCTTTTCCCCCTCTCAAATCATGATGTTCAACAGGAAGGTGCGAGGTAAGTAAGCAAGCAAGCAGGAACCACATACATCGCACCTACTACCCAGGTGGACAGGTGGGGTAGTTGCAGTGCAGTGGAATGCCTAATGCCTTCGCATTTCTCTATGAGCTTCCTTTTTGGAGTGAAACCCAAAGGAGTGAAGCATTTCCCTGTAAATACCTACCTGTAGGTATATTCTGCTTTCGCTTCAACATCACATCCATACCGCTCAGCAGATCGCAACATTGGTCAATCTACCATACAATAAATGCGGCACCGAAATATCGAATGGTCTCCATGTATAACTACCCTACAGTTTTGGCTCGCTTATCAAGTACCTTATCTCTGCTTTCACAATCCAACAGTCGAAAGTCAATCACCAGAGAAGCTGCAGCTCCGGCGGCTATATTTCCAAGCTCTGATAAGATTGGATGCCATATCGCTGATATGCACATGCACATGCACACCGATGTTTCAAATCCGCCGCCCTACAGCACACCCATCATCTCATATTCAATTCCAATATCGAGCGATTGCCGCCCTTCCCTCGCCTGTCAACCATTTGTCTGTCCATCTTGACCTAAACAAGAAGTTGGCCCAATATGGCTCGTACAATAAGCACCGGAGGCACGCAGAATGCAAGCCTTACTTTCTGTCACATTGATACAATTACCTACTTATGCACCTGGACCAGGAAACTCGGGCATCGAACCTTCGAGTTTCGCAGCCGGTAAAGCGAGACAGCCTTCTCGATCTTGACAGATCCAAATTGAGAGAGAGAAAAAACGTGGTCTCGGGACCCATATCAGCCACACATTCACACCTGCTGATACATTTCGACCGACAAAATTGATCACCATGATCGCAAATCACGAGCGTGAAAATAGGGTCAGATCTCGCTACCAATCACATCCCCAATTTGGTAAATGCGTTCATGTTGGTCGGTCTCGAACCAAACCCTCGGCACCCCGAAAACCAATCGCGTACTATCCCGCCTCAACTTTACGGACTCCACACGGGGTTACCCGATATCCCTTGCAGGTTCAAGCCCTCCCGCCTCACTTTAAGTACCAAGCTCCCGGGTCCAATACTGGGAAGTCCAAGTAACGAGATGCTTCGTTGTACGCTATAACCTCAATGTTGCAGAGAATTGAGATAACATGGTGCTCTGGCTTAGGATCAGACAGGAGCCAGCGAGTCATGTCCACTTCTCTCATGCATGTTGAGCTGAACGCAAACATGCTCCGGGTTCGCTTGTAGACCCACGTTCCCGGATAGCCTCCCATGTCGGACAATACATACAATCGACATGCCTAGCGTAGCACGATTGCTTTCTTGTACAGTACTGTACAGTATTCTGGACGGCCACCTCTTGATGTGATAGTGGACAGACTGTACTTCATGCTGAGCCAAAGCCTAATACTCTGCGGATTCACCATTGCGTCGGCCATGCCCGCCAGCTTTGTGTCGCATGCAGCCTTGACTAGGATAATCCATCACAGCTCAACCCACATCAGACCATGAACCAAGACAACTTACCAATACCACCTCCAGATGGGCGAGATGCCTCGGGTCTCAAGACCAATGCAGTCCACTAGTTGTTCTGCTGACCGCACGACTGTGCACTTGATGTAATCTGCAGCATAATTGGGAGAGAACAGAAGGTTAGAAAACATGCTCGACGTCAAGATCACAGACGACCGGGAAAAAGGACCGGCGCGCTGCGGCGTTGACTAGCTTTGCTTTTTACAAGACAGACAGGCGAACAGGAAGCGCGCAATGCTCGATAAAGTGTGATCGTCCACTAGACGTCTTGCACCATCTGCGCTCACCCTGGTCTCATCACCATTTCCTCCCTTGGAGAGCGGTCTCATTGGTAGGCTGACCGAGGGAGCCAAATCCACCATGCAGTATGCTGCTATCGAACCGCTCCAAGGCGGTGTCGGTGAACCATCCCGGTTCTGGTAGACAGTGACATTGTACAAGCATCACGTCCGACGATGGCTTCAAGAGGATCAACTATTTTTCCCGCCCCGGATATACCGCAAACGGTCATGGTCCCCCCAACATGTAGGTATGACACCGTTTCCGTCTGTCCTCGTGAGAACCCCTGTGCTGGGATTTGGCACTACATACCCGACGTGGGTGGGATCAAAGCCGCTGCTCATACATGCGTACGTACCTCTTGGTTGGTTATAAACCTCGATGGTCTCCGTCGAATCGTCTTTTCTGGAGACAATATCACCCGTTCGCCATAGTAAACATGTCCTCGTCCTCGGCACATGACTTTTGGACTGTGGTCTCGGAACCATCAATTTCGTCCAAAACGAGCTTTACCTCTCTACCTCCCGAACTTCGTCTCAAGATATGGTCGCGGGCCAACGAGCCTCGCATCGTTTTATACGGTGACCTGGTCCAAGGGAATGGGTCTTGTCCGTTACCTACTGTTACACAAATCAATGCCGAAGCGCGAGATGAAACTCGACTGGGGTATGAGCCAATAGGCCGCGGATCGTTCTTGGACTTTTCTAAAGACATTCTTGTTTGCGACCATAAAATCTCAGACCAGGTAACGGATCAGTATCTAGATGAACTCGCACCCCGGATCCGACGCATGGCCTTCTGGGATTGCTTTCCCGATGACAGTCAAGTGCAAGTACCTCATCACTACTCCATCTACCTATCGGCGTGCTATAACCAGCGGGGAGACTTTGGCAGAATCGAATTTGACAGGTTCTGGTTCCCCAACTTGGACGAACTATGGATTGTGAAGGTGGGAGACATCGACCCCCGTTGGAAGATTCCTGTAAACAAGCAGGCAACATACGAAACGCGACTGAAAGAGCTGGCGAAGCAATTCAGGTATTGGGTAGATGATGAGATCATCGAGATGGCTCCTCTGGACCTAAACGACCCCGAATCGCATGCAGTCCTCCACGAGGGCCGCTGTGGGAAAGAAGACTGCCACCAACTGAACCGGGGACTTACTAAGATGGTGTCCAAGGTTGTCTTTCTTGATGGGAAATACCAGGCTCCCGATGACGGCCAGAAATGGGTCCAAATCTTCCCCTGGCGAACGGGCGAAGAAACTGGGGACCAAATACACGCGAGCGGGTTGAGGTGGGTAGTTATTGAGCGAATCTTGACCTTCAACCTATATCGCGAAGCATGGAGTGAAGCAGGAAAGGAAATCAGACGACGCAGACGACTGACTTGAAAGCAAGAGCTAGACAAGATCTATCAGGCACTATGGCAGTATTCTCTGCCATACAACTATATGTGAAGAGACGAACCAGGAGCCATTGAAGGTAGTCAGCCATGATTTTGGAAAAATGGAGGAGCGAGAGCTCAAGTATGAAGCGAGCTCAAGGCACACAACCAACAATCTCGACCCACGAACATTTCGATTGGCCATCGCATGCTGCGATCAAGAGTTATCATATCAAGCTCTAACGCAAATGCGGTGAATCAGTACTCAAATTTTCAATTACCATAGACATACTAAGGTATGTTACTCTTATTATTAATAAATATCTGATTCGATTACAAGTGCTGAATAGCAGCAATTGGTGTAGACAGCAACTATAATAAGAGATGATCCAAGTTTCAAACTCCAAACCCATGGGCAGTTTTGGATCACCAAGGTTGGATCCGTCGATAGACATGCCACTGGGTTAGCAGCCAAATAAAATGAAATTTGAATCGAATAAGATAATGTCGCCAACCGTCTGAGAATGAAACATGGGAACAGATCGTATGAAAACAGAGTCTGTCTACGATTTTAATCCTGCCACTCCCTTTTCAGAACATGACATCAAGTTCGATAATATCAACTTCTCTTCTTTTCCAAAGCTTGAAAAGAAATATAAGATTCATTTCCCATTCTGCTCTGCAAATATGATAACGTTTTAATAACATAGATACAGGGGGAATGTTCCGAAGGCTAACGTCTAACATATATGATGAGTAAGAGCTTCCACAGAAATATTACATTATGTTCCTGCGATCACCTCGCCTCAAACTTGAAGCTCTTGACCACTCTCCAGCCGACTTCCTCAATCTATTGCCAAGGCTAATACTGGCGGCAGAAAACCCCTGCATTCGCGAAGGAATCACAGGCTCGACCCTTTCCCATTCGCGAGAAACCTTTCCATCATCATCACTATCTTCCATGGCTGGTCCAGGTAGCATCATCAACTGTCTCTGTCCTTTGAGCATAGCCCCCTGAAGTGCTGCCCATGATTCAACTTGGCCGTCCGCTGCCTCTTCCACACAGTTGCATTCATCGCCAGCAGGGCATTGCGTCTCGCCGGCTGCATGCCACTCTGCTAGACATGCCTCATGGCTGGCACAGCCGCAGGCTAGGCAAGGGGGGAACAGCGCATCGACAGGCTCGAGGCAATATACGCATGTGAGTTGACTCTGGGTCTGATGGCAACGATCACATGTGCCAACAGCGCCACCGACCTTGGGGTCGCTGGACGTGTACCTAAGAGGCTCCAGCTGAATTTCATGTATACGACACATGCCTGTGACATCCAGACCACGACCCGATGCGAGCAAGGCTTGAAGCTGGTCCTTCTTACCCATAGCAATAGGAGAGGAATTGGCGTGATGACCATGGCTCTTGCCATGTGTGCCATCGTGTCCGGTGACTGGATCATGAAAGTTGTCATCGCTATGTCCACTACTCATGTCCTCCTTGAGTGAGTTGAACTTCATGATTTCAAGTCTAGCAAGCGGTTGATTCCACATTTGTAGCATCTCGGCGTACGTGTATCGATAGCGAGCATGAACATCTGCCTGGCTTGACTCAAGCAATGGTATGTTTAACCAGCCATCGTCGTCAAACGCAGTTTGATCCTCCATCGTGACCGAGATCTTTGTAGGAACGAGGGGCAGAAAGTCATCCTTACGAAACTCATCATCATCCAACGACACTCTACCACCGTTAGAGTCCATCGCAGTAGAAGCGCTCCATGTGACATTGCCTGGAGCTAGACTACTGAGATATGTTTCAGCAGGGCTTGGCTTCTTTCTTCCGTGATTAGGAGGAGAAGACGAGCTTACTCCTGCAAATGAACGTGGTAGATTAGCAGCGAAAGCCGTTGCCAGACCAGAGTTTGCTCGGTTTAGGAAACGTGTATTTGGAGATGTGGACACGCTGGGTGGCGCCTCAACATCTCCGAGATATCCTTTGAATCTGTTTGGTGGTGTTTCGCCGCAAGAGTACGAGTTTGATGTTGCGTCTCCAGCCCACATCCCATCGTCAGATGCTTGTGATCCTGCATAGTGGACAGGTGTATGTACAGTCATTGGTGTGGTGATGGCTGAGTTTGTATAACTGCGACCTCCAATGTTCCAGAGCGATGCGTCTGTTGGAAAGTAGTCCAGCGAGAATGCTGGCGCTTTCATAGGAAGTGGAGTCTCGGGCTGAGGCAGATGCGACTCAAAATATGCCACACTGTCTGCAGCGGACGACTCGCTGAATATGCATGATAGCATTGCTAGCATCTGGATGTCTGCAATACTTTCAAAGTATGCAAATAAGTCCATAATGAAATCGCGAGCCAAAGGATGCCTGCCCCATTTTACTCGGCCGGACAAGGTACCTTCATGCCTATCCCAGAATGAATCGAGGGGAGAGGTATTGGCATTGCACCTTGAGACTACGTCGTGAGCAATCACCAAGATAGAGTCACGCCTCTGGTTATGAGCAAGAAACTCAAGCGGTACGCCCTTTTTCAGCAACAGCGCAAGATATCGCCAGACGTCAACTAGATCACGAGCATTGTACTTCTCGGCGACCTTCGCATTGTGCTCACAAACTTCAGCGCCATCACCAAATATCGCATACTCACGCGCGAACTCTTCCTTTGAGGGAAGAAGAGAACGGAAGTCATGTATCGAAATGAGGTTCTTTGGCCTACCAGGCCGGCGACGGCTTGTTCCGGTACCGGTACCAGTACCGACTCCTGTCCCACCACCACTGGACCGTATGGATCGATCCTCGCTCCATGTCTTCCTAAACTGACGGCTTGGATGGTACCAAAGACTTATCTTGTGCATTGAAGTAGATTCTGAATCGCTCGAGGATGACGAAGACGAGGATGAGCCTGAGGCAGAAGAGTCAGAATCACCACTGGACGCAGAGGTGTCTTCTGCCATAAATCGCTGACGGGGACTAAGATCATGTGCGATTCTACCAAAACCAGCAAAAAAGGGTTCCCCCTTTGGTCGCTCCCTATAAGCATCCATTGTCGTTGTGAACAAAGCTCTTGCCTTTTCCTCCTTCGAGGGGAAGAAGCAGACTAGCCGTCCATTATGTGAGAATCTCGCACCGCACGTTCTAGGTGGCGGGGGTACGATAGTCCTGTTTGGAGGCGCAAGTGCAGTATCAAGCTCATTGTGCGGCGGGAGTTCTTGAGACATGGATGCTGAACCGCCTGCGGGTATGTCTTCGTCGGACTCGCTCGAGCTCTCATCAGCCAAACCATCTAGCTCATCATCAAGGTCCCGAACGTTTTTGAAAAAGGTAGTACTGCTTTCAAGATCAACCTCGCCTAGGAGATATGTAAATGCAACCTCAAGACAGTTCTGTTTTCTTTGTAAGAACTGGCCCGCGAGCTGATGAATTTCGCGATCAATCTTCTTGTGAGTTTCTGCAGGCATGAAAGACGACTTTTCAACGAGGAACTTTGGTGCCTTGGTCTTGGGGTAACCAACTGGAATATCGATGCGAACCTTTATAAAGATGGTATCTCCATCAGCACCCCAAGGTCCATTCAATGAGGCGTTTAAGGTCATGTTGTCCATGTTGATATTATCCCACTTTACTTTAGGGAGCTGATGGCTAATGCGCAAAAGTTCTTCTTGGATGGTATCGGGTTCAGCCCACTCGTCATCCGGATATCCATGGCCAAAAATACCCGAGTCTTTAGACAAATGTCGTTTGGCGCTTGTTGAAGCCTTTCTCTTGGTCATAGCAATTCCTTTCATCCATCCTATCTGTGATTGGTTACGGTCGACGGCTTTTCCTGAAACCTTGGCCTTCATTGAAGGACCACGCCATGCCATTGACGCACGATGGCTCTGAGTAGTCCCCGATCGCATGCCCAGGGTCAGGGCACTTTGTTTGTGATAATTGGTACCAGGGCGGTGGTCGCTCATGGTGGCAGATTTTCGATCACGGTCTGTTGTCTCGTCCACTGTCCGGAAAGTCTTATATGTAGCACCTTTTCGTGTAAGGCTGATGGCCGGATCCGCCGGTATCCCGCGCTTGTGTCCGATAGCAGCAAAAGTCTTGGGTTCGATACATTGTAGCTTGAGTTCGTTATCTGTGCCCCAGGAGACGAGCTGGAATTCACGGTTATCTTTTCCATCATCGGTTATGCCGCCACGGCATCTCCACAGGAACTCCTTTGCTTTGTGGTCCCCATGCCCAGGCCAAACATCAATTGGCTGAGTTGTCAATTTCGAAGCTGGATCGAAACGAGTGTCGTAAAGATAGAGATCACCTGGTTCGTTCTGAGGTATGGCCAAAAGACCGTGCCCGAAGGGGGTGTGACGAGCTCTCCATACCGGAAAGCCAGTTTCGATGGTGTGCTGCAGGGGTTCCTCTGCGGTATAATCCCAAAAGTTGATCCTCTTGTCGATGGAACAAGAAACAATGGATTTGGGATCTGAGCGGTTCCAATCCAGACCGTATATCTTGGATTTATGAGCCTTGATGGATTTAAGAGGCTCGGAAGAGCGGCGTTCGTCCCAAATGTGCAGCCACCGGTCATGGGCAGAAGCAAGTATGTGAGATGCTTGGCGGTTGTATTTGACTTGTGATGCACCGGCGGTCCAATCGCAAAAAGTCAGAACGGGCTGGCGCGGCCTTCGAAGATCCCATGCGTGAATGTACCCATCTACAGAGCAAGTTGACAAGAGATCAGGGTGGTGAGCAGACCAGTTGACATCGGTGATGGCACGGCTATGACCTTGCAATGAATGCTCAATCGCACCCGAGCTGGAGTCTTCCCTACGGTTCAGATTCCATACGAGGGCTCGATGGTTGGCGGCCGAGACAATCCAGTAATCACGAGCAGCAAAGGGAGACCATTGAACATCCACGACGAGCCAGGGAAGACCATGAGTCCTCAATCTTCGAGGAGGGCTATACGGCGAGTCAAGGTCTATAATTGCTAGCCCGTCAGGCCTGTTAGAGGTCAGCTGGACGAATGCGCATACAGATAGTATTCTTGGACTCACGAAGCCAATGCGACATCTCGTCCAGCAGGAGAGATGGTGGCTGAACCAACTAGACCATCGACGTGGATGGTGCCGTCAGACTCGAAACTCTCGCTATCATAGGCTGACTTGATAATCTTGCCCTTCTTAGGAGCATCGGCGAGCTGGTCGAAGGATGGCATATTGAAGGGTGTTTGGAGCGAATATCACAACGTGCCTCATATCGTACCTAAGTCGTATGAGACTGAAGAGCCTCTGGTCATGTCATCATCTGCGAGGATCAAGAATAACAGGGTACTCTTTCGAGGTCCAAAGACAAAAAAAGAAGTTGTAAATGGCGGTTGCTGAATACCCGCGGGCCAGTTTAAAGCAGCCCAGTAGGTCTAGTAGGTATTGTTCATGAAGTTGATAGTCAAGCTCGCGTTCCAGTGGTCGAGATTGATAGGAGGTGGTCAAAGCGCATTACCTACCTACGACGTTCACGGGTTGCACAAGTACCACCCCTGCTGTTTGAGGTGTAAATGTACATCCCCCGCCATCATTAATTGGTCCTGGGGCTAGCACCTGACGGACCAGGGCCTTTCCTGCTGTAAAGATCCATTATCGTGCGGGCACATGTCGTGAGACTTCTTTTTGTATGTATGACAGCCTGAAGGGGAGGTATCGAAAGAAGATATCGTATCCGTATAGGTAGGTAGTTAGTAGATTAATAAGTACTAGGAGATATAGCTGTCGTTACGAAACTGGACTTTCTTTCCACTACTACTGGGTATTACTGATCATTTTCTTCGTAACCTGATCAATCTACATTTGAAAATATTGAAGGGTCTGCACCAATCATATTTTGACCACCCTCATTGATACCTACTCGTCTTCACCTCTGGGCTACCTGGCTAGGTACCTTAGTACTCATCTATCTTAGTCGCACCTTGGTAGTTACTAACCTAATATCCCGGCCTGGCCTGCCCCGCCATAACCTACCTTACCTGCCTGCCTACCTAACAGCATATACCTACCTTAGGTAGTAGTTTAGTAGGTAAGTGCCCGCCTTATTTCGAGGATTCAACTTCATCACGACCCTTCACTTATCACTGACGCAGAAGCTACAGCCACACGACACGATACCAACGCTCACCAAGCCGACAGACAAAACTCGCGCATACATCTGCTATACGACCCTACACACCCCAAGCCGCACCAAACTTCCAGATGGCTCTCCCGAAGCGCATTATTAAAGAGACAGAACGGCTCATGGCCGAGCCGTAGGTCACCCTTCCCCAAGGACCCTCCCTGTCTTGCGCCCTGAAATCGCATCCTAACACCACTCGCAATACAGTGTTCCAGGAATCAGTGCCGTCCCCCATGAGGATAACCTCCGATATTTCGATGTTCAAATCCACGGTCCCGCTCAGTCTCCTTACGAGGGTACGTTCTCCGTCGGCACAGATTACCTCGTTCAATTCTGATCTCATGTCTAGGCGGTGTCTTTAACCTTGAGCTCTTCCTGCCCGACGACTACCCCATGACACCTCCAAAGATCCGATTTCTTACCAAGATCTTCCACCCCAACGTTGATAAGCTTGGACGGATCTGCCTTGACGTACTCAAGAGTGAGTTACACATCGAGACCAATACTTAGAGGCCGCTCAGCTGACAAATGCTCCAGACAATTGGTCCCCCGCCCTCCAGATCCGAACTATCCTTCTCTCGATTCAGGCTCTTCTTGGTGCCCCTAACCCCGACGATCCGCTCGCTGCCGATGTTGCCAAGAGCTGGAAGGAAGACGAACAGGCGGCTATCGCAACCGCCAAAGAGTGGACCGCTCAGTATGCGAAGCCTTGAAGGGAGTGTGAGGCGATAAGAAAGAAGTTTTTAAAAAAGAACAAGACTTGGACGATCTCTCATGACTACGTTAGGAGTACAAATACTGGGGTTCGGGGCCAAAGATAGAGAGCCTTCCCATCATCTTTTGACTGGATACAAGAGCACTTGCAAGTTTGCGCTTGGCGTTGTCTTGTGAATATGAGAGTTTCGTCTACATAAAAAGAAAGAAACAATGATTTTGACAATCTCATATCCAATAGATCATGGTTACCAATAGTATGTGGTAGGCGTATGAAGACATCTTCGGTGACGCCGCGTTACTAGCATATATCCATCGTCAACAAAAGTCGAGAAAGAATCGCATAGATTCTAAACCTATTATATGCCCAAATCTTATGTCAGCCCCAGTCTTTCCGTCGCAATGTTTTACGCTCTATTTCTACAGTGTTCACTTCTTCTGGTTGAAATTGCTTTACAACCTCAGTACTACGTATGATGGTTCCCGGTTATTGCTAGGTGCATACGATGAGTTGTGCCCTCAGACTTTCGTATAACTACCTACCAAAGCATAGCAATATCTCAATACCCAAGAGTAGATGAATGTCGGTCATCTCGTCTTTTCCTGAGACTCCAGGGGCAGGTGCTTGAGCACCGCGACTTCAAGTGGCAGAAAGCATGGCAATTGCCCAAAAGACTTGCGGGTGAGGATGAATAGAAGGACGAACGTGAGAAAAAAGCTAAAAAGCATTGTCTTTAAACTCTTATAGCTCGTTAGCTATCTGAAGTCCAACGATAGTTACAATCAGTTATCGAGAATCCACTCTAACCCTTGAGTCATATGCTTCTCGCATACCAAAGCAAAGTCTAAATGGGGAGCTTTGAGCCAGAAGGTATGCGGCCATCCAATCTCAACCTGCACCTTGACCTCTACATTCGCCTCTTTCAGGAGCATCCCGTAGCATAGTCCATCCGAGTAAAGTGTGTCGTTGGAAGCAAGCTGAATCCATGTCCGAGGATGTTGCTTCAGCTCAACCTCAGTAGCTTCCAGGGGCAACTTATCAAGGCCATCCCGAGGCATGTCCCGATTCAGATACCCGTTCAAGGACGTGATGAAAGTAGGGGACACACTTGTATGATAAGGACGTAGCTTCTCGGGTACAAATTGCTCACCACTGGCTCTGTCGGCTGTGACAGGGCATCTCAGCAGCAAACCATGGATTGATCCTGGAGGGACGGCTTGGGCCACTGCGGAAGCCATCTGCCCACCACTTGAACTTCCAACAATAACCATTCTCACTGCTGCATTCTGTAACATCTTGAATGCATCCAAACAATCTGAGAAGCATATCTTGGCTTGGTGCTGCGGAAGTAAGCGATAGCCCACTGAGTATAGACGGATCTTGGCTATGCCTGACTTGACGATACGCCGACAAGAAAGCTCTTCGCTGTCTGCCTCACCAACTTTCAGTCCTCCGCCATGGTAGTAAACTATGACAACCTCTGGTTCGTCACTCTCATTCTCTTCAAGTTCGAGTTGTAGGATTGGAATCGGATGACCATCTATGGTGGAAGACACCGTAAACTCCTTCTTGGTGACACCTTGGGACAAATAATGGTCTCGTGCCCCGGGAGCTGTCATTCGTTTGTAAAGATCACGGCATTCTAGGGCATAGACTGGTTGCCGCTCTTCGATAGTATTGAATACCCGGGTAGGACCTCCCATCTTGACCTCTTCCTCGTATTTCAACCATGCAGTATTCAGCTGGGGGGCTGTTTTGAAAACATATTCATTGAGTACAGGATCAGGGAAAGCCATGATGATCGAGCGATATCAGTATCTTCATTCCCGTTCAGACAGCGTTTGCACTGACGGGTAGTTACACGAGGGCTGTGTATGGTGGTATGGTAGCATGGTAGCAAAGGATGTATTCAGGCTAAAGCAATGAAATTATAGCACGTGTCGAAGCCTCCCCTCAAGGGGTTAATATCATCAAAAAAAGGTCTGTATCTCACGAGTTCACCGTGACATGGAATAACTGGAGAACATATTTTCAAAACAAGCCATATTTCCATCCATCCCGCAAGCAGTGGCTGAATGTACAATTGACTATATTTGTCCTAGGTATACCCAAATTATAATGGATTACCCGGAGTAATAACCTAGAGATACAGGGTATGCTACTTACTCAGATAGTCATATAATTGAAACTGAAATGGACGTCATTGGCCACTGTGAATAGCCCAGCTCATACCATTAACCATTGGCCGCGTTATGTTTTATCTGTGAGGCGAAGGTATAGGTGGCAAGTAGGAGCATTGAGAGGCAGAAATAAATGCTAAACTAACCTCTATTTCACGAGAAAGCGTTGGGCAAGTATGTCACAGGACTTTAGTAAGTGCTTATTGCGAAGATTAGAGAGCCACTCGAATACTGACAGTCCATAAAGAGACATATTAATGGAACCGCACACTACGCTGTTCGTTTCTGTGGCGGTCTCAGGATCAGAAACACGAGCATGGTAAATGGCATCAAGACTCATGAATGCAGAATTGACTCTTCATTAGAAATGAATCTAAGCCCAAGGTTGCTTCAAGCATTGGGCATATCTTTGACGCCAGGCGACATCCAGGCACTGCGGTCCAAACTGGCACCGTTTAACGGATAAGATATCATGAACACAGGAAATGTTGCAGCTGCTTGGGTATGAGGAAAACCTGGGTTTTGCCTCCAGTTCTCTCTCTTATCTACAATGCTAGAGTACACAACGCGAAGGCGGAAAAGGAATATCGCAGTTCGTCTAAACCATAGCCAAGTCGCCGAACTTCTCCTGCAATGGGTGTCAGCACTGTCATATAGTCTGAAATCTGAGCGACATACCTTGTAGCCTGGCACCATCCATCGTCCCTTGGAAACGAGTTGATCGGTCTTCTCGTCGATGGACTTCTCGGCAGCAGCAACCTCGTCCTGTACAATGTGAGAATCGGTCCAGTGGTCTCGAATGTGATGATACGTACGACAGTGAGGTCCTCGAATGGTCGGGCCTCCTCAATGTTCTTGAGAGTAGCGGCAAGGTCCTTGAGCTCGAGGTCGACGGCCTGCTTGGTGGCCTCAGCGTTCTTGACGGCCTCAGCCTCAAAGGCATCGATGGCCTTTAGCTGTCGGCTGACATCGTAGGTGACGGGCTTGAAGGCGTTGAATCGCTTCTCGATCTCGTCGACGATGGCCTGGTTCTTAAGAACGGATCGGTACTGGGAGAAATCGACGGTAGTGGGCTGCTCCTGGAGCTGCTGAACCTTGCGGCGGACGTCCTCGTTGCGCTTCTTGAAGGCCTGCAGGGAGGCAACGGTCTGGCCACGGAGACCAAGGGAGCTGGTGACCTTGGTCCAGTCAAGCTTGAGAGCTGCGCTTCGCTGTCGGAGAAGGGGAAAATTAGCTCATGACATGGTGGGACGTAGAGGCGCGCGTTAGAGACCGGGGGAAAAGTTTAACGACATCTGTGATCAGTCGCACGCGCCAATTGACGAATTGAACTTACAGTCGCCATTTTGAAGAAGGTTGCGATGTCGAGAGAGCGGAGAGGATGATCTTGATTTGGTTGTTTGATGACTTTGCCGAACGTCCAGGGAACTACCGGGCGCTAGCAAGTCACGTGCATCAACTTCAAGTATCCGGGCGGCGAGCAGCGTTTTTGAACCCCTCATTGATAAGTTAGGTAGGTAGGTAGGTAGTTTTGACAGATCTGGGTTCGGTATCAGATTAAACTGAAAATTACAATTACAATCCAGGGACAAGACGACACCATAGTAAACGGGCTTCTGGCCCGTAATCGTTGATTCTGTAAATATGCAGTGGCTATCGTAGACAACAGCAAAACTCATGGTCGTACTACTATACAACTTGGCCAATTTATATAAAAATCAAGTCACTATTGTCTCCGGTTCCCAGAAGACAATTTCAAACATTTTCACCAAGACAAAAGTAATGTTTGACGGATGCGGGTTGTTTCCCTCTTTAACTTTTTCCGTTGTTTGACATCAACTCCATTCCGCAGGGCACAGTTCGCCCAGACCTAATACAGAGCCCAATGTTCGTCCCATGCACATGCTGTTGTGGAAGATGGTCCGGTCAAGACCTCGTGCCTAGATACTTAGAGCCATGATGGAATTGACAATATCGTTGTCGTTCTCCTTCAATGCCTTGACAGCCTTGTTGCGGCTGACGTTAGCTTGGGTCATGACAAGCTCGATGTCCTTGTCCTCGAGTCCAGAGGCATCGACCTCCTCCTCCTCATCCTCCTCCTCCTCATCATCGTCGTCCTTGTCCTCCTTCTTCTCGTCGGCCTCGGCAGCCTTGCTGGGCTCGCCGTGGTTGTGGCCAGAGTGGTCCTCAGCGTTCTGGGAGGCGAGCTGAGCGGCGGCAGCTTGTTGAGCGGCAGCGTTGACGTCCTCGATCTTAGCCTCACCGAAGACACTGTATATCGTGTCAGAGAATAGTTTCCAAGATCGGTTGTGGGATAACTTACATGTAGGTGTTGCTGTTAGGAGACTTGTAGACCTCGGGGCTGTTGATGACAAAGAGGATCTGGAGCACGCCGGTTAGTACCGTTCCTCAATCTAACCCTCCAATCCTTCTCTAGGATTCGTCTTAACTCACGTTCTTGGGACGGCGGAGAGTGACACGGGTGATGCCAGGGATGCGGGTGAGGTGCAGCTTCTCGAGGGCCTTGCGAGCCTTCTTCTCGTTGCGGTTGTGGATCACGGTAGAACCAGCGGGGAGCTGACCCTCGCCGACCTCCTCAACCTCGGAATCGTCGCTGGAATCATCCTCATGGTCCTGGACGGTGGTCTTCTTGGGCTCCTCGTCGGGGAGTTCTTCAACGCGGGGGTTAGACATTTTGGCGACTGGTGCGGGCACAGATGTTAGCAACTCCAGCTAACAGCAATTCTCTGGCGAGGTTTTTGTGGCTTAAAAATGCACCCGCGACCGTAAAAATCAAGAATCAAATAACACGGTGATCGGGACGGCATGTGCGTACTTACTTGGTTTTCTGATCCCGGATACAGCGGTTTACTGGCCTATTCTCTCACGTCGTCGTTTTGTGATGGGGATCTCGCACAGCGATAAATCTAGGGCTTGCTTGGTGGGAGGTGGGAACTAATCGTATTAGGTAATCAAACTTTGCGTTTAGGTACTCCTTCCGCCTCCTCCAGATCGAGTGATGAGGGACGGAAAATAATGGACATTTCATGGGGCAGCAATAATCGATTAAAGTTGATATGGAGGATGATATCAAGCAATTGGCAGCAAAATAATTAAACAAGCAAACCAACATATTAACCGACAGATGCAAGCACGGCGAAGATTAAGGGGGTATTCATTTCATTTTTATTTTGGCTACACTTCACAGAATCCATGTTCTTTTTGATGCTCCTCATGCTTTGAATTCAGTTGATCTCAGAATTTCCGTATTGACGCCGTTCATCTTGACGATGAAATGTGGCATACAGCCTTCCAGAACGGAGCGAAAATGGAATCCAGCAGCCTCTATACAGCCGTGATTGTGTTTCGTCCTGTTCCGTGCCACTTGATCTAAACCCGACTTTCAAGCACCTCCGTGACTCCAGCTAAATAACCCATTTATGCGGAGGCCTTGACCTTGGCCAGAGCCTTGCGCTCCTCGAATCGTCGCTGCTTCTTGAGTCGGAGAACCTGGAAACGCTCGAAGTCGGTAAGAGCCTTCCTTCGCTCCATCTGGTCCCGCTTCTTGGCCCAGTTGGTCTGCTCCCACTTGGAGTCAATTTCGGACTTCTCCCAGAGCTTTCGGACGGCACCAGTTCGAGAGCCGCGGTTCAGACCCTCGACAACGAGAGAGGAGAGGAGAACCTTGTTGAGGGGAACGGCTTGTCGGGGAGTAGCGAGGCTAGCGTTCGCGGAAGGACCGTCGACGAGAATCTGTGGCGAGGGTCAATATCGTGTATCGCGGCAACTGAAGCAGGCGAAACCTACTCGCTTGTGGTCGATGATCTCGACGATCGTGGCCAGGTGGCCAGCGAAGGGGTGGTCGCCGTTGATAACAACGACTCGGCCAACCTCAACGAGGCGCCAGTTCGAACCCTCAATGACTGCGTCGCCCATTGTGACGGTGATCTGTGTAGCGGTCGATTAGTCGAAATGTTCAAAATTCGCGCGCGCAGTGTTTATTCGAATTCAACTGCGATCGTAGGAGTCGAGGTGCATACCAGTTGTCGATTATGCTGTCCCGTTAGTTGGTTGTTTGCTGGAGCCGCGGACCTTGAAATCGCTAAGGACTTTTTGATGGTGGGTAGAATAAGAACCTGTGCGTGCCTGCCCTAACTTTCGGTCTAATCTGTCGGATTAACTCTCCGCCGTCCCGTAGACGCGAACGGAGTTTCTCGGTAACAGTGCACGGGCCAAGCCTGCGAGAACTTCAAAAGAAAATTTCTTGTTGACTTTGAATGTTCTGCATACAAATTCCCTTCATTTCCTCCATGAAGAGCTGAACAGAGCGAAAGTGAGCGACGCGACGCATCGAGCGCATCAAGGTAAGCTTGCAGCATTTTCTCCTTGCACTCTTCTCCCGCATTAGGATGAGGTAATTTGCGATTGATTCTGCCTGATGGCTCTCTTTCGCCGGAGTAGCTAAATCGGGCGGATAGCTGATATTCAATTTCTTACATATTCTGAAAGCACCACATTTCTCATTTTTAGTCTTGAAATTTCTGTTATGGCACAAAGAGACTAACAAGACTACAGTGATACACTCGGTACTAGTACCTTACCTCAGAAACCTTTATGGTTGCGTGACAGCAGTCTTAAGATAGTTATAACATGAATATACTGCATGATTTATTCTCAATATGCACCGTCCCTTGCCTCCAATTCGTGATATGTCATGGTATTTCTATAATACCTTTCACGTAGCGCGTTTTGTATTTACGTAATGTCGCATGATCGATCGGTCACAGTCGAATTGGATATATTGACAATGTTCACGATAGGATGGTTGCGGTTTGGCTTCAATTATTGTTCATTAATTCGTCCCTTCCACATCATTTGCCTGCAATGATGAGGCCGTGATCTAGGTATTGTTACAATTAAGCCTTGCCCTTGCGCTTCAACTCCTCTTCCTCCTCGGCCTGCAACTCGGCGTCAACCTTGGCGCCCTTGGAGGGCTCGTTACCGTGAGCGCGAGCCTGACGAGTGATGTTAGCATTCGATGTCACGACTCGATCTCGATTGGACTTACAGGCAGGGTAGGGTCCTTCTTTGATTGGGCAGTCTCAAGATCGTCACCAGCATCGGACTTCTTCTCCTCAGCAGCTAGTCGGTTGGCGATGGATCGCTCATCCTCTGCGAATGTTTGTTAGGGTCAAGTTCTTTCTTTTCTTCGTTCTGTTGTAAGCTCTTACTAGAGTCAAGGTTGCTGTGAGAGTTCTCCTTGCCCTCGTTGTAAGGGTCGGACTCCTGGGCCTTGCGCTCGGCCTCAGACACGTTTCTCTGGTCGCCAGCCTCGTAGACGCCACGGTTACCAACGTTGGAGTAGCCAGACATGATGAAGGTGTGAGAAGTTGTTGTTTTGGTTGTGAGAGAGATGTAGAGTGTGAAGAGTTGAGATGAAGTGTGTACGAGAAAGGCTTTCAATCGACCTCAAGACCTTTTTGTAGTTCACGCTTTCGACGATGAATCGCTGCTGCCAAGTCGCATACGCCTTCTCCACAACCTGACTTCATAGAATACGTCATGATAAAAGTCCTTGGTCACAGCAACAAAAGAAAACGCATTGGATCGCAACACATACGTCATCAATGGAAGAGCAGAGATTTAGCTCTTTCTTTAGGGTTCTGCAGCATATGCTTGTTGCAGTCGATCTCCTAGCGCAAGGCGGTCCTGCACAGCAGCTTGGCGAGGCGGCTCTCCCCTGATGGTCTTTAATGAATGAACAACCACGTGAGGGTTTATTTATTAGTACATATCTGCCTAAGTACTATAGACAGGCCTTTCAAGCAATCTAGAGATATAATCTTGGATTACGATGTTTCCTTTCGTACTCCAAAACTGATTGCAAGTGTTTATACACATGGATACATGAATCGTGACTCGGCCCATCAAACGACATACAGACTCCCGGACTATTACATGGGCAACGGTGCGCGTCTAGAGTACCTGCCACAAATTCACATGAACAAGGCTCGACGAAATATTTTGAATGAGACAACTAGACTTGTAATTTCTTCGAAGTAAGTGTACATCTTTCCCCTTCGATGTCTAGGTAGTACCTTGAGATACTGAGTTCAACAAGAAGAAAGTCAGAAGCTGTATCATCCTGTACTAATAGCATAGATGAGCATTGAGTCCAGATAGGCCATGAGAATAATAAAACACGTCTCTATTACTCCCATGCGGTTTGCTCCTACCTACTAACCTTCATGAAAGGTAGTTCAGTATTGTGCTATCTCCTACCCCTCTATGGATACTCTTCCTACGGTGCCAACGTACCTAGGTACTGTACCTACACCAAACTGAAGATACCTAGTACCTGGCGGGCTGTGGTGGGGTCGTGCACGAGCCATACAAACGCCGAGCCATTGAGCAAGTCATAACGGATGGATTTCGGCGTGACAAGCTTCACGGAGCTATACCAAATCAGAGCTCTAACGTGAACCTCTCTCGAACAATTGTATTTCTCCTTCATCGACTTTTAACAAACATCTCACAAACGCAAATTAAGAAACAATGTTTCGCTTCGTGAGTTTGCAGTCTGCAGTTTGCGGTCCATGGAACTTAATTGCTCACCAAGTAACAGCACAAGACACTCGATATCGTGACAGTCTTTCACAAGGCTAGCTCTCCAGCATCCGTGAGAGTTGCAAACCTCCTCAAGCAGGTCTCTGCCAATGCATCTTCTGGCGCCACTCTTGACCAGGCGAGCGATCACTCTGCTCAGACCTCTCCTATTCGAGAAGAGTTTGAGCTCAACATTACCGAAGACCCCCCTACAGACGACCAAGTCCAGACGATCCTGGGGTATGTCGGCGCCAGTGGTATTCCCAAGATCATCAACGGTGCAAACACCGAGAAGGATGCTCTTAGAAAGTTTAAGGAAAGTAAAGAGAACTTCATTCGGCCAGTGGTATGTAATAACTATCTTACTCCGTCAGCACGTCTGGACTAATATTATCTCCAGGTTGTAGACTGGAACAACGGCAAAGCCATTGCCGGTGATAATGAGTCGGAGATTCTTAAGCTTCTCAAGCAACAGAAGTGATGGTTTTGCTTCAGAGACTCTAACGAAATCCAATATGTACCGTTCCGTATATAGGTAGTCTACAAATGACCGGGAGACTGGTGCCGAGTCATCTAACCCATTGCCCTCGTCAAAGTCGATCAGAATGGTAGCTCAAGCAAATCAAATCAGCTAATCATACTCCCTAAATCTTAACTGCGGCTTGTCATATGGATGTTAGGTCTATCATAATATCGTTTCATGAGTTGTAAGTTTCAATAACCCTATGTACCAATAAGTCCCCTCAACCACGGCAAGAAACCAGCGCCCAAATTAAACTCAATCGATTTCAATTGCATTGTTGTTTATTCGAGCTAGAAGAATGCGTCTCGAATGAGCAAGGATCTTGGATACAAACAGTCTTTACTGCGGGTGACGTGTCGAGGTGGTTATATGCAGCGGGAGACGGCAAGTACCCATCTTGAGCTTGCAATCGATATGGTTAATTGCATTCTTTGTGTTTGGACGAAGCACCACCAAAATCCCAACACACCTCGAGTTTCCATTGCCCTTTTCATACAGGTCCAACTCTGACTTAAGCACTCGGACTTGAGATCAGTAAAGACCACCCATAGAGCTAGGTCTCAGGAGCTGAATCGCCTTTGTCTTAGGATCTTTGGGATCTTTGTAGCCTGCACTTCCCAACGCACAAACAGGCCAAGCATCACCTCTTGCCACCTGTTGGTAAGTACCAGCGTTAGGTATATTATTGATTATTAACAGTGCCCGCAGTGCAGTGCCAGTGCCAGTGCCAGTGCCAGTGCCAGTGCCAGTGCCAGTGCCAGTGATAGCTAGGTAGGCAGGCAACAGTACCAGCAACAGGAGTGGATTTGTTGATATTGATTCTTCTTCTTTTTCCCTTCCCACCCTTCTCCTTTTCTCTTGATCACAATCCAATTCCCTCAACCCTGGCCCTTTCCATCTGCCCATTGAGGTTCTGCCATCCGCACTTCCTTACGTTGCATCATCTTGTGTTGAGCTGTTGGGAAGGAGCGACATTACATCTTCCTCCACCTTCCATACTTCCACTCCATCACTTCATTTCGACCTGTAAACTTGTGCTATTGCTCAACTTTACACTTGAGGGCTTCCTTCAAAGGTAGGCATCTTCCTCCATCCGGCATGCTTTGATCTGTCTTTGCGGGCGTTTCACTTGACCGCACTCAGAGGCACGATCAAAAGCAGAGCACAGCGCGCATCTCGACTTGGGGCGACTACATTTAATCTATCATCTACTAACGAATTCTCAGTGAGCGCCATGGATCAGGCTCATCCCGCCTCTGCGGGTGGTCTACCACCCACGGGGCCACCACCTCCGCCGAAGCCGGTGCTGGACCCGAGCCGTGTTTATGGCAAACAGCAGGCACCCAATTTACGCGAAGCTTTCGATGAATACTACCCCAATGGCCTTCCTGTTTTCTATAAGATGCTTCAGACACCCAACTCCCAAGGCGTTCCCCAGACTTACCTCGAAGACTATCTTCCCGTGGGATTCTACACGAACCCTCGGATTGAAGCTGGGGCCATCTTCTCTACTAAGAACCGAACACAGCCGTTCCGTCCTATGGATCATGTGATGCCTCAACGTCGCATCCATCTCTGGAGCGGTGACGATATCCAATCAGTTTGTAACTCGCTGCGCAGGCTCTACTGGGATTCCATGAAATACATGCAAAAGCCCACCTGCTGGGATGACCTGTGGTCTTACTTCGATACCTTCGACATTTACCATTACGGAGCCATCAACCTCTGGAATGTGTTGAATCATCTCTACGATGAGAATCAAATAATCGCCTTCGATGTGAACAAGCGTGTCGCCTACGAAGTCGGCATGTGGCTTGACGAGTGGTTGTGCAAGGAGCACAACGACCAGAAGCACAACGGCCAGAAGCTTGAACAGTGGGACACTACCCAATCTACCATCTCAATTTTCACCAAGGAAGACTGGAATGAAATCGGCAATTGCGATGCAAGTCAACTGGCCATTCTTGAAAATGCCCTGAAACATCGTTACTTTTTGATGAAGTCTCCTGAAAAATTAAGGTTGGGTGCCAACGCGAAGCCAAAGCATCTTATGGAATCTTACGCCAACGATAATCCTGAGAACTGGCTTGGTATGTAAAAGCTATTGACAAATCTATATCCAGTCGGAAGCTAACAGGGTCACAGCTGCTCAACGTATTTTTGAACCTTCAGGCCTTCCGCCACCACCAGCCGCGGAACCTCATCGCTGTTCGCCAACCTCCAGAAAAGCTTCCGCACCTGTTCTTGTGCAGAATGGCAAACATTTCTATCAACCGCCACCTGTACAGCGTCCACCCAATGCAGTGGAGGCCTTGCAGCAATCCGCCGCTGCAGGGCCGGCCCCTGACAGCAACAGTGAGAGGGTCTCAACGAAACAAACTGACAAAGGTGATCCTGTGGCTCGAGAAACTCTTCGTGTATCACCTAAGATCAGGCCCAAGTCTACGGAGCCTTTCCCCTCCTATGTTGTGCCCTCACCACAGAATAATGAAGAAGATGGCCAAGCAACCGACTCATCAACGGCTGGAAAGGAGATGCTAACTCAGAAAGATGGCCTACCAGAGAGGCCTGATGCACAGACTCCGACAAAATCTAAGCGACGAGGCCGCGGTAATCCCGGGGCAACTCGAGAAGCTGGCAGATCACCCGTGACGGCATCGCTGCCATCATCAGCTGTCATGGAATTCTCAAACCTGGCTACTCCCGAAAGGCCAACCAATGGCGATGAACAGCAGACTGGCTTCGGCTCTTCTATCGATAACCCAGCAGCTGTTTAGAGAGCAGCGCAAGGCAACTCGAGCCCTTTGAAGGAGGACGCCAGGTCATTTGGTAAGCGAGGAGACACAGAATCACGAATTGGTGTTTTCAAAGAACCTGAGAAGCAGAAGCGACCAAGTCGGTCTCTTGCTCACTCCAGTACCCAGGAGCATAATGACTTACAATTTCTTGGTGATGTGGGTAGCTTCAACCACTTGCAAAGACCAGCTCAGAACCTTCAAGCAAGTCTCGTGCCCGGTGCTCTCGCAGAAGGAACGATCCAGCTAAACAATACAAATAACCCTCTGGGGATTACCTTTCAACCTCCTGGACCTTTCAACCCCGACACTCAAGGGGGCTATCCTGTCCCCGAGCCGACCACTGGTGTCTCAAGTGGCTTTGGCTACCGACATGCAAGCATGCAGCAGCCACCTGTGCTTCAAAAGGGGTTCGCTCCCTACCGGAGCCGGAATGCTACGAATTCTTCCCGCCCAGAGCGTTTCGAGCCTAATAACAACCGATGGCCTCATCACCACCATGAGAACTTCACCAATACAAACTCTGCCCACGGCCGTGGTGGTTATCAACGTGGTGGGCGCAAAAGTGCGGGACGTCGTGGTGGCTATAACCAGCGAAATGCAACGGCACCAGTTACGCAACTTCATTATGGTTCTGATTTTGCTCAGAAGCAGCGTGATGGAGGCCTATGGAGGAACAAAGGGCGCCGTGAAGGCTCGGACCCAGTCCAGGTAGTATGCCAGAACGTTCAAGATAACTATACCATCAAAGATTATGTTCATTGCTCCTGCCAAATGTGTGAGGCTCGCAACCGCTCTATGCATGTCGTTGCGGAAGCCCACCAGGACATACCAGCAGCAGACCTGCAGTCACGAATCAAGTCAGGTCTATCTGAAATATACGGTTTCGTAGAAGGGGTGTTTCCACTGCCGTCCAAAGAGCCAGGCCGTTTCATTGTCCGGTAGGTTGAATCATAAACCTCTCAGGCGAACGGAATTTACTGACTATATCAACAGATTTAGACGCCCCTCTTCTGTCGGGGCGGCGCTCACGATTGGTGGTGGAAAGATGCTTGAGCAAGGTCTATCTCTTATCTTCTCGCCAGCTTTGCGTTCCAAATGGACACTCTCTGAAAAGGCACCGACTAGAGTACCCTCTGGCCAAAGCACGGGTCAGCACCCTTCCTCCTTGCCTTTCTCACCGTATCCGTTCGGTCTGGTGATGCCCGGCAATGCTCAAAGTGCAGCAACAACCCACCATACTCCGTCTGGGATGCTTCATCCATCCGCGGCTAACCCAGCAAATGCTCAAATGTGGGATAAGGGTGGTGTCCAGCACGAATTTGCGACAGTCTCGCAGCCTTTTGTTGTGAATAGATCATCTGCCCCTCACCAATCGACGACAAACATGACGCACTTTGTCCCACGCGTGCATTGCTTGCCTCAGAAACAACCTATTGTTGTAAACGATACACATCACGACAACGTTTCTATAACCCCCCTCGAGCCACTACAAACAAAGCCACCTGCGGAGGAAGCGCTGGGTGACATGAATGATCAGAATCGACGTGATCGTGACAGTCCGAGAAGTGACAGAAGCAAAACAGCTGGGGCTAAAGCTCGAGTTTCACTGCCCAATACTCCCACTAAGGCTTCTATTGGCCCTGAGGAACCGCCTGCAGCACATTCGGAAGCCATCGAGAAGAGCATACAAAACCAGAACGGTACAGAAACTGAGTCTCGGCCTCAACCTTCTGAGCCATCCTCTGCTATGGCTACTCATACTCGCGCACCCAGTGTCTTCACTGAAAACGAAATCAAGGAGAGACGTCAAGCGTGGGCAAAGATCCCTATGCCACTGAACCCTCAGCGACCCAAGAACCTTAAACTAACCAACGCCAACAGTGGCACTGTCAAGAATGAAGGCAACTCAGGGGCTTCAAAGGATGATAGGTGTGAAGCCTATGCTAGTGGTTCTCAAATGTCAACTCCGACTCATACCGTGACGTTCACTCCTGAGATTGGCAGCGTATATGAACAATCTCCCGACGAACCAGTATCTCCTCGGCCTGCGCAAAAGGATCATCCTTTGACCCAGTCCACTGGATCGGTAGGACAAGAGACGGCGGCTTTGAAGAACGATGACCGAAATGAGCCAATGTTATCACAGACGGATGCTACATACTCTCCTACCGGCGGAGCTGCTCAACGACATCTGCTAAATCAAATGAAGTTGTCCATGCCCGTCGAGAAAGACGCTTCGCCGTCGGACATACACGCGACGAATCAACAACAAGAACACGCCCAGGGGACTCAGACAAAAGGAAAGGGAAAGGGCTCGAAACCTAAATCGAAGTCGAAGAAAAAGAAGTCGTCGTCGAAACAGAAGACGGTTACTCAAGACAACGATTCCAGCTCTCACATTCCCCAAAACAATTCTTTCTCGCCCGCTCAATCTACCCATGCAGCACCCGAAACCTATAAAAATGCTTCCATACCAGCGCATCTTGGTTCCCTATTTAGACAAGCTTCAGAGAATGAATCTTTTGATGTTTCCCCTACCAAACGACACCACGAAGAGCCTGAGCAACAGAATTCTGCATCTGGTTCTTTCAAGCGCACTAAGAAGCAAGGCGATGATCCAGAAGCTAGTGTTCAATCGCAACTGCCCCCTTTCGATGAATTCGATTCACCTGATGAGGACGCACGTATTCGCAAAGGATTTCGAGTGGGTAAGGGAGGTTCGCTGCGCATGGGCAAAACACGTCGACCTCGTCCCGTCATGGTTGGGTCAGCACTTGCAGAGCAGTCGAAGAGCGTCGCGATGTCACCACCCTCATCTGACTTTGCTTTCCAATGCCAAAACGCCAGCGTCTACGCTGAACCATCAAGCTTACATGGTCCCGACAATAGTGCAACGAGTCGTCTAAACCCGAAAGCCCAGGAGTTTGTCTCGCCATCTAGAGTGACACTCTTTAACGCGCAGGTACCTGCCGAGGATGAAGTTCTCAAACGGCCTGCATTAGATGACGCAACTAACCGTATCCGCAAGGCAGGCCAAATCGACCAGGAATCATTGAAGCCGGAAATTGGCAGCGTGGACGTATCTCCTACTGATGATTCTATGCCGTCTATAACAGCCACCTCGACCTCGAAGCATCGTCAAACTCATTCAGAAGCAGCTTCGAAGGAGAACCACGCAAGCGACAAAGAAGCTGTGGGCAACACACAGGCAAAGACGCCAGCAAAGGGCCCCAAGCGAGCAAAAGGCAAAGAAAGAGCCGCTACATTGAGCGCGAAGACAGAAAAGAATGAGAGCGAGAAGGAGACGACCCGAAATTCACCACGAACTCCTAAACAACATAACAAGACCAAGAAGCCCGGTCTGATCAACGACGATTGGCCATCTCTTCCAGTATCTCGGGATCGCGCCCTCTCAAAGCCGCAGACAACCCCCGTTTGGGGTACGAAGACGAAGACTGCTGAAGAAAATGGCGATGAAGACGAAAGCACCCCCGTTGCCAAATGATGGAAGACAACAAAGTGTTGTATGGAGAAGAATGAGGGAGTTTGAGGAGAAATGGGATACAGAATATGAGCACAAATGCGTTGGTTTTGGTATTATTCACTCAACTTGACTTAAGGTCGACAGTATTGCAAGGACTCCTAGGACAACAAAAGGGCATGGATTTGTGGTACTTGTATTGGATGTGGACAACTTGGATTGTCCACTGGCTACTTCACGGTATTTGGGTTGCTATTGTTCTTTATCATAAGAAGACCTGAGACAAATGTTCAAGCGAAAAGAATATTACCGTCAGTAGACTTGCAAAAAAGAAGAAAGGTACTGCTATCTATTGACAAGTCAATGCCGTGATCACCCACCTCCTGCTGCACTCGAAAGTTTTATCATTTATAACGTTTGATGCTTGGGTGACTTCTCACTCATACGAGACAATTTGATCCAGCAAAACATACTGGTTTCTAGAAGGCGAGCTGGTTAGAATAGAATGGAAGTTGTTCATGCAAAAGGTGCTTAACCAATGAGAACGGGATAGTGGTTCAACGGTGTTACAATGCTCTCTGTCGCATGCTGTTTTTGACCTTTATGTACATTTCATCGTCGTGGGGTCCGAATCCAGGACCATCCCAGTTTAATCCCCTTTCGCAAATATCAAGCAGTAATGGTTTATTGAGCAGTCTTGACCAGGCTAGTCACGGTGTCCTCAATCTCCTTGTCAGAAAGACCCTCGAGGATCTGTGACTTTTCAACACCTCGCTCTGTACATCATATGTCAGTATTGCTGTGGTTTCCAGATGCGTATCGGAGGAGCTTCAGATGCTCTGGAATACCGACCGTATCGGGCAAAGACCTTGGGCTGGGTGCCGGCAGCTTCACGAATAAGGATGGGAATGTTGGGGTTGTTGCGCTTCATGGTAGGATACGATCGGGTAAGAAATGATCTATGTCGGCGCAAGTATGGGTCAGTCCATATGTTTCTCCAGCTCTATAGTCCTTCTGTAATATTTTTTGGATCGCTCGCGAATTCCAATTCCTCCAATTGACCTCTCGTAGTTGGCGCTTGGGGAGCAAATGGTATGGTTTAAACGTACCGGACAGCCGCGCTCTGTTCCGAAGTCTGGCAAAAGAGGAATCGCACCTCGCGGAGTGATTTCGTGAAAGCGTACTTGGCCGACATGCTGAGGTCTAAGGAATTGAGCGGGTGGTTTGGGTCGTGGGATAGCGAAGCGAAGGAGTCGTCGGATCGGCCTTGACGTGATAAGTAATTGTGAGCTTGTGGTTGGCAAGGATCCTCAATGAGGCTCGGACGGAATAAACTGAGGGCGGGTTTGCATAAGTCAATTATGCGACTAATAGAGCTGCATAACATAACTTATGCACAGCCTCCGGTGCCGCTGGCACATTTCCCCCACGTTAGGTACAACTAAATCCCGGGTACACGATATCTCCGGTTTCCGGGCTTGAGTCAAGTTGGGGTCTCCCGTCCCCAAGAGAATACAGGATTTAGCGCACCATCCACTAAGCCTGCAGCCTGGAAAAGTTGTACGTAGTGGGTAAAGGTACCTTAGTAGGCTATCTCGGGGCGAAAGCGACCGACCCTTGCCCCAACGTTCATTCTCAATCAAAGCTTCTTTCAATTGAACCTCGTCTTTTTGATTCGACTCGACTTGACTAGACTCTACAACCCGTCCCGTTCGTCTTTTTGAAGAACCTTCCTCCCTCCACCCTTTAAAGAGACAAACGTGTAAGTCATTGATTAAGTTATTATTGGCCAAAGCAATTGCGTCATTTCCCTTCCATTTGTGCTCTTGTCGCAAAATATTTCGAATGCGCGCCAACTTGCTCTGACCACCTCGATTTGATACCTGACCTGCATAATTATATCGACACTGACACCTAACAGCAACCATGGCCTCGTCCGCAAACACCATCTTCCGCGCCTCGCGCCCTCTCTTCCGCCAGGCCACCATTGCCCAGCCCGCTCGCCAGGCTTTCCGCCAGCAAACCTTCCGACAGAACTTCTACCAGGGCAGCGGCCGTCGATGGCAGAGCACCGATGGCGCCCAGCAGCAACAGCAAGGCTGGTTCAAGCGCATGTATGAGAGTGAGGTTGGGTTCAAGACTGTGCATTTCTGGTGAGAGACCGTCCCACCAAATATCAATGTTGGGCTGTGGAGATCGCTTTTTGCTAATATGCGTGGCTGTAGGGCTCCCGTCATGAAGGTTCGTTGACGATAATTACAAACCGTGATAACCCATCTACAATAACGATCACATCGAAACATGCGATATAAGCACACATACTGACCTGGTTCGTCGCTTGTAGTGGGCTCTTGTCCTTGCCGGTGTCTCCGATTTCGCTCGTCCCGCCGAGAAGCTCTCCTTCACTCAGAACCTCGCCCTGACCTGCACCGGTATTATTTGGACTCGATGGTGCCTCATCATCAAGCCCAAGAACTACCTGTATGTGACCTCCCATCCTCGAGTTGTGGAACCGCTAGCTAACAGAAGGTTGTAGCCTCGCTGCTGTCAACTTCTTCCTCGGAATGGTTGGTGTCGTCCAGGTCTCTCGCATTCTCAAGTACGAGTCCGAAAAGAAGAAGGGCCTGCACGGCGTCGTCGAGGATATCAAGGCCGACGCCAAGGAGACCATCGAGGAGGTTAAGCCTTAAATACGCCCTTGGACTGGAACAAACTAGGCAATGGTTGTAAATTAACTTGTGGCCGGGCATATCTCATGGTCTCCAGTTTCACACTCAACAGCATCCTTATAAACCTCCGGAATAGCTGGATGTATTCTCCTGAGAAGAAAAAAAAGGAGAGAATTCGAAAATTCAAGTTCCAGGGTAAGGGAGCTCTTGGAATAGGTAGTTACTTTTTATTTGCGAGCTAAAGCATGGTAATTATCAAAACAAACTGGGGTTGGGTTCAATGAATAAACTGTACAAGACATGTCTAGCCTCGTACAATTGTTGAGGACTCACTACACGCACGCACATGTACTTCACATATATCACTAAGCTATATAATAACCACAGTCACAGTGACTTGGTATTATCCAGAACCATCTCCTCTAGTATTGTTTAGGTATCATTCATGATGGCTTCCATAACACCAGCAACTTGCTTGCACCACCTATGAACGCCCTGCCACAAGAAGATCCCTCCGCCATAAATCCAATCATTAGGCTGCAGGGCCATAGAACGTTGTGTGGGTAACCAGATTTAATATGTACATGTACACAAGCAAAGAATACTCCCCTTCCTCGAAACAGCCATCACTTATCTGTCTCATAATCTCATATGACGCGTGCTTGTGCCGAGTTTCTTTTACCACGCCAGGTGGGTCGTCTCGTGAGGATGGATCTTCATCATAACCATTATATCAACCGCATCTCTCATCCCTCTTACTTCTCCATGTGACCGTCATTCAAAAGCATCTCCAAAACGATCTGTCGACCAGGAAGCTCTGGGTGAGACATGGCAATCTTGACAGTGCCCTTCGACCCTTCACTACCGGCACTTGATGAGTGCACATAACCGTTGGTGTGTGACTGCGGATTTAGTGTGCTTCTGCCTGTAGGGCCCCGAACGCCGAGATCCAGGACACGGACATCTCGGCCGGCAATGATTTGACGCAGGCGTCCATTCTCGGCGTTTCGAACCTCTACGTAATCCTCGTTGAAGAGAAGCAAATACTGTCCATACATGGTCGCACCACGAGCCTTCTTTTGCTTACCCGTGTACTCCATGATGAGTGTACGGCTGACGTCGCCGTGCTTATCCACGTACACCGCACAGTCCTCGTATGTGACAATGAATTCATTCTCATTGAGCCTGAACATGCCGAGTGGTTTTTGATCCCGGATACGGCCAGCGATGTTAGCAATTGCTGGTGCTTTGAGGTCGGGAATGGACATAGGCTGCTTCTTGTCCAGCGTGAGCATTTCAACTCCCTTGGCTGTTGCAACTGCGATATATGTTTGGAACAAGCTGAGCGAGTAGCACTCGGTTGGGAAGAAGAACTCGTCAAAGTCGCGGAACGTCTCTGCCGAACCACCACTTGTCTTGCGCCCGCCAAAGAGTCGTGACTTCTTTTCGGTGGACTTTTGGAAAATGGGCTCAAGAACCTTGAACGAAGTATGGAGACCCTCTTTACGCTTATAGAAAAGAAGCATCCTGTCCTTCATCTTGGCTGTGGCAAAATACGTCACATCTTTAGCCAGCCTCTGCGGCGCTCGTCGAGGGTTGTCATTAAGAGGAGCCGAGAAGTCAGAAACCGGAGCTATGACATCCAAAGGATAAGAGATTAGGTTCCTGTCGGCGATGAGCACACAGACAGCGAACTCCTCAAGGACAGCGATCTGAGTCACGCGGGTTGCTTGAACCGTCTATAAATAATGTTAGCTATATCACACCAGGGAAAAAAGGAAACCGTTTACCCTCTGCCATCCACGGGGATTCGATGGCTCGGATATGTAGACACCATAATCGGTTCCAATGGCGATCACGGACTTGCCAAAGGCAGTAAAGCTCGTAGCGCAGTTGACTTGAGCACGGCACACGGGAGCGACGCCCTGGGCTGGTCCCAAGACACTCTCCAACTCCTGAATGGCTCGATCAAGGGGAGTGCCCTTGACCGGAACACTTGGATACCTGGCGTATATGGAAGTGTTGTCATAATGGAAAGCAGCATCCGCAAGGACTCGGAGTCTGAAAGGTTCAGCGTTCTGGGAGAAAAGAGCTTTGGCATGTCGTGTCTTGGTCTCAATGATCATGTTGCACCAATCAGCTCGATCCTTCGCTGACGACGCATACAAGGTATATACTTCATGGCCCAGGTGCTTGACCTTAAACGGGTACAGGATTCTACCCTCGGGGTCGTTGGAGCCAGTTGGGGTCAAGGAAGATCCAAGAGAGGAGTTCGTAGCTGCGTGCTCCAGGCCAGGCCTACCGGTATTGCTTCCTACTTTGTTGAGCTGAGTCGTGGAAGCAGAAGCTGCCGTGGTCCTGCCCAACGGAGCAGTAATACCCTTCTGCTTCTGGACTGGCTCATCGTTGACACTCTCGGGGAATAGTAGGGGCATCGGGATAGGCTATACATTCTTTTAGTAACAAATTTCCGAAATCAGCGAGCGGGTTACAATTACCTCTTTTGAAACATCATACTTCTTGTCCTTGCCTTCTTTCGGTGTCACTGTCTTTGCCAAAATCATGTAGTGATCAAAGAGCAAGGCATGTGTATCAACCCATCTGACTCCCTTGGACCCCATCCTCTGGAGATCTCCTTGGAAGATCAATTCGCGGCCGAGGTGGTCCAGGTTCAGAACGGAGTGGAAGCCTGGCCTGAGAACGAGCATTCTATTCAGCTCCATCATTTGTACTCTCTTATTCTGTTCAGCCACCTTGGCATCAGATTCCAGGGTTACTTGTCGGATCTCTGCGATAGCTTTGGCCAGGTTCGACTTCTCCTCACTGTCAGTGATCATTTTACCCTCAACACTCTCGAGAAGAAGAGTGTAACGCTGGAGACGCTGAATTGGCGCAATTAAATAATGAGTCCAGTCATGCTTGGACGAGACCTTCTGCTTCTGCATGTCATCGAGGAATCGCTTGAAAAGAATGTTGCGATCGGCTTCTCTGCGAACCTGATAGACTGCGTTGGGATAAGCCGAGGCGTACTCAATGTATACTGACTTGGCTTTGCGAATCCATTCTCGGAATAGATCACTGAAGCCAATGATCCAGGGACCTTGCTCTTGTTGCCTATATTTGAGCTGCGACAACAAGTGGTCCTTGTTGATCTCTTGTACCTGGTCAAGCTTTCCGAAGACCGTATGCAAGAACTTGTCTCGCTTCTCGGGTTTCAGGATCGGGGGCTGCATCATCCGAAGTTGATCGCGGTAGTATATACGGAAGATGTCCAGTTGTTTGATATAATTCTCCTCTCCAGTAACGATTTCGTGAAGGATGTTCTGACGCTCGACTTCCTTCTTTGGCTTTGATTCCCAGTCAGACTTCTGAAGTCCGTAGAACACGTGCCAATCATCAGCAGGCTTCGAGTCCTGGGCCAATTCCTCGAGGTCGACCTTCTTCAAGGTGCGGGTACAATGATGAGAATAGCAACGACCGCCAATTTCCTCATCATGAACTTTGGGAGCGTAGCATCCAGAGCCTGTCAATTGCCATAAGACTCCCGAGATATGGCCATTCCCAAATTTCACCCATTCCTCTTCCGGAACAAGCACACCTCGCTCTAGCATCGACGACACCACATGTGTGCTGAGAACCTCGGCATCGGCCACGTTCATCATTGGAATCTTGCCGGTAAACAAGTTGATCAAGGCCTCCTCGATTGATTTGCTTCTCAAGTCTTGCTCGCCTTCTCCCATCTCGCGGATCCAGGCCTCGAGACCGCTGAGCGCCCACGGTTCAGGACATCTGCGGAAATCGGAAGCATTGAGTTTTGAAGGTATGAACTTCTTCTTGCGGCCACTTGGTAGAGTGATTCCATCAAATGCTGCTATTGAGCCAGCAGGAGTTTCATATTCGGGGAAAGACTGATTCGAAGGCGCCTGCTGGTGACCATACCTGGCAAGTTTCCTCCGTTCTTCGGCAGCGTCAGTCCTGGATCGAGCGGGTGTTTGCACCTGAGGCGTGTGGCTGTGCCCAGCCAATGATATGGAACGTTCAGGTTGCGGGTTGTAGGGCTGACCGGCGGTATAATAGGCTTCGGGATTATCTGGCGCACCAAATCGCGAATCTGTGCTACGAGAGTATGCATGCTGATACTGTTGACGGTTGTTGGTCTGTACTGAGAGCATCGAGCTGCTGTCGGATCCAGGCCCTGGGATGGCTGGCAAGGGTCTACTTGATAGACCTGGATGATAGAACAGATCTTGTAGCTCATCTTTGCTCGGTGACTCTGTTCCGCTCTGTCGGGAACGTAGTGATACACGCTCGTCTTCCTCATCGAAGCTCAATCGATGCTGCGTGGGTGGCTGCAAGCCTCCTGTGCCACCATAGTCCATCTCTGCCGTCTTGAGGGCCGGCACACTTTCACCTTGGTCGTATGCACGGTTGAAATAGCCTGGTGTAGGGAGAGGTCGACCAATATCTTGACCAGACGAATTGGGCGGTGATCCAACATCTCCACCATAAGTCAAAGTGCCTCCAAAGCCACCACCCAGCATTCCCAGGTCGACGCCAGCGAATTCACTGTCGCTGCTATGAACTTGCTCTTCGGGGTGGGTATGTAGTGTGCTGGTTGACAGGTTCGTTGACAGGGAGTTAGTATGAGCGGGCTCTGGTGAAGGGTCTGCCATGACGGGCATATCAGTGTACCCAAATCCAGTGCTGAAACGCTGTTCGTCAAGTTCAGCCTGTCGCATAGCCATTAGACCAGCCTCTCCGTACGCGTCGTCGTCATCGTCTTCGGGTTCGTAAGCGGTCTGGCCGGTCCGCGTCGAGGTCGTTCGGCTGGCTGTGTTGGGGATCGTAGTGGCGCCGGAGTCGAAACGCTGCAGTTGCTGCCCATGGAAATCGTCATCGTAACGGCCGTTCTCGGGCTCCGGGAGTGGGCGATAGCCTTGTCCAGAGCTTCCCAATTCAAGTTCCAGCTCTTGCATCAGGTTATCGCTTGTGATTCGTTCGTGTCCAGCACTCCAAGCAAGCTCATCGTCGACAGGTCTACTTGGCAATGGGGCATTCGTTGGGTGTCGTTGCAGGCCAGGCGATGTTGATCCAGCGTTCGAAGGGGATCCGATCGGTGATGCTTGGGAATTTGAACGGGATGCCCTGTTATAGAGTGCATTGTGTTCATTCGGGGAGTAGTAGGGTCCAACAGGCATCTGCGCTGTAGTGGGGTACGGGGGCTGCGAGGCATTCGAGAATGACGCCCCTCCGTTGGATAATTGACCTGGATATTGGCTATAAGACTGGTCATACCCCCCGGCTGAGGGGCTCCGCAAGGGCTGGTCAAAGCCAGATGACAATGCAGGGGAAGCTGCTGATTGCGGATAGCCTCCAGTAGACTGGCTGAAGCCAGGAGACGTCTGCGAGCCATAGTTTTGACCATAATTGTTGTATCCTTGGTAGGAGCCTTGTCGTTGTGGGACATTTGTGCTTGCATAAGCAGATGGGTCGTAAGCTTGCGGTGTATATGAGCTAGCATTCGAGGCATAACGTGATGGGGGCGGAGGCTGGGCCTGGTTACGGTAGGGGAGAGCATTGGTGGAGGTCGACCGTGAGAAGCCCGATGACTGCGCAAAGCTTTGAGGGTTGTACGAGTACGTGGGCGTAGGAGGGACATCTTGATATTGGTGTTGGTAGCCCGACAGCGCGCTGTTGGTGGAACCATAGCCAGGCCGAGCGGCGGAATTGTTGTTTATGAAGAGTTCATCGTCGCCAGAACCGAAGCCGGGAGAGCGGCTGGCTGGCTGCTGAATATAGGCGGCGTCATCCCCACCGTTGAAGCTAGCTCGGCGCCCAAGGTCTTCGTATGGTGATTGTCGCTGCTGCTGCTGCTGCTGTTGTTGTTGCTGGTACTCTTGGTCGCGACTGGCAACTGGATACCGCACGGGTGGCACATGGCCATATCTCCGCTGGTCGTCGCCGCGGAAAGACATGACGGCAGGTTGTTGGTTGAGTTGAAGGTAGTGACGGGGTTTGCGGGAACAGTTGTAAGAACAAAATTCAGGGCCGCTTGGGCTTGGCGTTTCGGGCGTCTACCTCGTATAGACTGTCGAGGGTTGATGAGCGCAGGCGGGTCGCATTGAGGGGTCGAGGTCAACGGTATCAAATATGGCGAGAGCTGAAGACGACGCTCACTGTCGTGGGTGGCATAAGAGGGGAGGTTGAAGGGATGAAAAGAGCGACGATGTTATTGTGCGCAAAATCAAATATCGAATCAAAGCGAGGCAAGGCGGTCGAGTAAGCTTCGGCGGAGAAGATGGATCTCGTTCGGTGGAGGGAGGATGGACGTGATGAGCGAGCGAGCGGACTCGAAAGCGGCGGGTTGATGGATGGATTAATTGATTGATTGATTGAAAGCGAAAGCCCCTCCTACTCAGACGTAGTCTTGGGCCTTGGGCTGGGCTAGGTAGGCTGGGCAAGGTAGGCTGGGCAGGACTGGGCAGGGTCCCTCCAGTTCCACTGTCCTGTCGGGTCCTTGTCTTTTGGTACTGTAGAGTGGGAGCCTTAGACTTATGACCTACAGTACGTCGTGCGGTGTGAGAGACGATGGCCCGTGTCGTGGGTACAGTACAGTACCTATAGTACTAAGGTAGATGGGAGGAAGTCCTAAGATGGATGGGTGGATGGGAGGAAGAAAGGACAGTTATCAGAATAGTGAGGTTCAGACTTTGTGTCAAGGCAGGGTTTAGCGAGTGATGGGGAAGATAGGTACCTAGCTGATAATAAGAGAAAGGACAAAAGGTCCAAACGAGAAGGAGAGAGTGAATGAGTGAGATTGATTAATGAGACGTCACTGGAGATCAATCAGGCTCCGAGGATCCTACCTCACCTAACTCTAGATAGTAGACCAAGTTGCCTGGTGCTAACAGTATATCGTCGGGAACGCCCTGGATTGATGTTACAGTACAGAAATGTCTGTTGTTTTAAAGCTCCCAAGCCACAATTAAGTGATGATAAGTGTTCAACGGGCGAGTCTTCGAAGTACCTGTCCTAGGTACCTTTCAGTGACTCCACCCTTTTTTTCCATTGTTTTTTTCTTCTCCCTAGGTACGTACCCTACCTCTATACCTGGGGAACCCTGAGACCTACCTATGAACTCGGCCTTGTCTTGTGCCTGTGCCACCGTCATCGGCCCAAGGCTCGTGCTCAAGACCCCATATGACCTGGTTCAACATTGAGAGTCTTTGCATGTATGCTGCACTGTAAATACTTAAATACTTATTAACGAGAAACCCAACATCCACAACAGATTGCCTAGGTAAAGTATTCTTTAGGCGCTTCATGTGAATATGTTCTACACTGGGCGGCCTCGCTAATTAGTACTTGCCCGCTGTCAGATCAGCGGGAGAACCGCCTAACAGTAACTAAGACCGCCCGTACTGGGACACATACGTCACCTGGGGATGGCGCAATGTACTATAGATCGTGTTTGATGACCTCTCTAGGTTAGTAGCCCGGGTAGAGCTTTAGCTTGGGCTGAGAATCCCATTGAACAAAGAATGGATATTCAATTTTGTTATTTAGATAAAACACAACAAGAAAGCATTGTAACAATTAGACTACCCGATCTTTGTCTTTGTTCGAGTTCAGCGACTGCCCGAGAGTCAAAGACTTGATAAGCATCATGCATGGTAGCAAGTACCTAGGTGTGTATAAACATCCAATTCATGTGAATCTCTGTATACCCAATCGCAAGGACCCAGAGTCATTTATTCTGTTGTAGGGCTGATTTTATGGTAACATGTGCTGTACTCTGTATTGTACAGTATAGACTAGACACCTTTTGACCCTCATCTGACTGCATCGAAACATATTAAATCGACCTATAACGGAACGACCGAAGCATGTCAGCCGCCTTGAGCCACAGCCCTATTATATGCCGACCAATACAGACGTACAACAGGTTGTGTCCATGGCACCATGGTAATTTCTCCTTTTCCCTCATTCCCTCATTCCCATAATTACCGTACCTACAGTACAGTACAGTACAATCTTGGACCCTGCATTCAGTCAGGCTCGTTTAAAGTGCCTCGGATAATAACACTTTATTAAACTAGGTATCCCTACCTAGCCAAGCTAATAGCAATTTCATCTCGCTCTATCCACTTCACCCATGCCGCAACGACTTGGCAGTTGGCTCCAACAAACTGCTAAACTACCTCTCTCCACTTACAGAGGGAGGGTTTGTTAGAGGAAGCCGTTGCAGCCGACAACAACGGCGCAGTTATTGGATGCAAATGGAACCAAACCTGTGTCAAATTACCGGGTTTATAGGCTGACTTGTTTGCTTAAACAGGGTAACACAACACAATCGCTGTTCCATGGCTCTGCCTGGGCTCTAACTTGCAGATTGATATCTTACCAAGCCTGGTCATATCAAGTCCAGAGTCTTTTCTTTGTGAAAACTTGTATGTATTTTAGTTGGTGGATATGGTATCCGATCTCACTCAATATCGACGGCACCGGCGCTTCGGCGGTCTCCACTTATTTACGGCTCTGTCGGGTACGGACAAGCCGGATACGGCACCGGAACTTGAAGTCAATTGCTGGAGCCAGGATAACCTTAGCTTGACCTTGAACTTCAACTTGGATTTGGATTCGGATTCGACTGCATACACTTGAAGCTGTGGTTCTGCAAACTGTCGAGAGAACCTTCATGATGTTCATGTGCAAATCTTACATACTTATCTAAGACAGTTGGCTAAGGTACATTGGAGTCTGCGGGTCTTTAATGGTGGGGGTTAACGTTAGTTGATTTGGCTTAATGTTTCACCTCAGGTTGTCAAGAATCAAAGAGCGTCAAGTCTTTGCAACGTACAGTAGCACATCAAGGGTCTTCGAAACAGCTTCCAAAACATCCATATTACCAAACCATTAGTCTACTTTAACCTAGCCTCGTCTACAATGGTAGATAAACACCGCAAGATTTGGCAGCCCCTTCACCCCGCTATACGAGACCGACTGGATCCTGAATACGTCGCTTATCACGAGGCTCACTTGCAATATATCGAGCCAGATGAAATCAAAGATTGGGATGGATCAACAAGAACAAAGAAAGTGTCTTTGCCACCAGGAGGGACAAAGCCTATCCCTGTGGGGAGTATCAACGACTATGATGTTGGCAGGTTCAGGGTGAGGGTTTACACTCCTACAGGGCAGTGTGATGAGCGAGGCTGGCCTGTCCTCATTTGGTTTCACGGTGGTGGATGGGCAGTAGGGGGCTTGAACAATGGAACGGATTTCTGCTGCTGGGCTTGTGAGAGTAGGTATCTCTCTGAAAGTCTCTTATCGTGTATTTCAACTGACACTTAAACCAGGAGCGCAATGCGTAGTCGTTAGTGTTGACTACGGTTTAGCCCCCGAGAACCCCTTTCCAGCTGCAATCGAAGACTCCATCGACGCTGTTAGATGGGTTGCATCTTCCCCAACCGAGCTACAGAACATAGATACGTCTCGCATTTCTATCGGTGGAACATCTTCTGGGGCCAATATAGCCATCGTCGCTGCGCTCTCTGCATCAAATCCAGACGTCGAATTACCAACAGCGCAGCCTTCACTACCAAATACAGTAGCTCATCCACCAGCGTCATTACTGCTGTTCATTCCGGTAGTTGACAGTACCGCTACTGTCGAAGGGGTTTGGAAGCCCAATGCAGAGACCGCTCCTTGGCTTACATCCGCGCGAATGGAATGGTATCGAGATCTTTACTTTACCCAAGACGACCATCGCTCGAGATGGGATGCAAGCCCTAATTTGGCTCCAGGGACTCTTCTGAGTAAACTTCCAAAGACGTGGATGGCTGTTGCAGAGATGGACCTTCTTGCCCCTGAGGCAATGGCATTCAGCCAGCAGCTGAAGGGCTTAGGAGTCGATGTCGAAACCTCGATGGTGCATGGCGGAACGCACTCTATCCTCTCTCTTCATGGGGTAATTGGACGAGGGTATAAAATGATAGAAGACGCAGTAGAGCACCTACAAAAGACATTCGGCACTGGTTAAGTGTTTGACCAGCTCGCATAAGTTAGAGCTTCTTGAGTCATATGCTTGAGAGAAGTATTATCAAATGGCCATTCTAGTCGGGATATAACCGTATTTATATATCCATCTTATACAGCCATCGTCTCCGTCGCTGGTGCCTTTCTATCATACTCTACCGAGTCTTCACTTGTTGCAATCCTACTCTTGCGACGTCGGAACCCCCAGAGCCCTTTGAGACCACCATCATCCAGCTTCAACAACTCCCCCATGCAGACTGCAGGATGGAAAATATTGAGTGCTACTACAGCAACCACAATCAGAATACCTTCAAAGCCTACAAACATATACTGATCGCCCATGATAGGGCCCTCCCACCCTTTAGACAACTCCGCAACTCGAAAGGCGCTTCTCCAAAGGATACAGAAAGTGGCAAGAGATAGGGCCCCAAGAAAAGCCTTGAACCAGCGAGAGTTACGAACTTTGACTATTTCAGGACGTTGATCGAGGGCGGCTTCGCCGAGAGCACGTTGGCGACGGATCGTTCGAAGAGTAAAGTCGACTGAACATATGATGAAGCTGAGGATTGTTATGACTTGAAAGGCGAGACCAGCGATCATGATGTTTGATCCTGTGTCGGTACTTTCGTGCTGGTGAGAAGCGATTGAAGCCATGGCACCTCCTAGGGCTTGAAGTACAAGAGACACAACATCGCAAGGGATGAACTAGGAGTAGTATGATATTAGCATCGACCATAGCAGATGAACACCAACTTACTATGCGAGTGTAGTACTCTGGAGGAAGCCTCGAGTTCTCTGACCCGAACGCTGACACAATCCTTCGAAGACAAAGGTAGATACCAGCAGCCATGAAAGCAGGCCCAATAGTCAAACAGCAAATCTGCACCAGAAACCCATTCTCACTCCAGCGATTTTGCCAACTTAGAATGCGTCCGGCATAATCGATGACCTCGCAGATAAGGCCAAGGATTAGAGCAATGTTGAAAGCTGTGCCTCGGCGGGTGATGATCCAAGTGACAACGAACCCGATCAACGACGAAGTGAAAATGGCAAGAAACGCAGCATTAGGAGCGAGGTCGATGGTATATTGATAATATCCAGGAACGTCTTTGCAGTACTGGGCCTTTGGGTTCTGGAAGCAGTAGTAAAAGAGGCCGCCTTGGTCAATCCATGTCTGGTTTGTGAGATCGGGAACGTATGTTGCCATGATAAGAAAAGTGAAGAGGTAAACATGCGGTTATGTTCTCCAAAAGGAAAGAAAGAAAAAGGTGAAGGGAGCGGCCTGCATTTATGTTTTTCGAGTGAAATGGACGTTCCTCCGTCTTACTATGCTCGCATATCTCAGCTTGAAAGCGACTGGTCAAATGCTTTTACTTGACTAGCTAAATGAGACAATACTGACATATAACGCTGCGCTAGTAAGAGAGTCTAGTCTAGGTAGGACAGAAATAAGTATGTATGGATATCAGTACTAACAAGACAACAGATGTGTCGATTGCTTTCACAACTCAGGATCGGATATGTCACCCTTCGCTCCGCCGGAGCGTCGCATATTCTGTTTATTCAAACATTGGCCCATCGCCATCATCAAGGGCCTATCAAGTGTATCATGTACAAAGCAAAGCCGCGGGCTAGACGATATTATTGGGGATGCAAGTCCGTCGTATCTCGTATTCCAAGCTGTAGTACAATTTGGTATATAGTAGTTTCATAAAGGATTCCGTCGGCCCTTCTGAACCGAAAAGCGCCAGGCAGTTGAATGGGTTGACAATCTATTATAGAACATAGAAATCCATATTGACCGGTGTCCATCTGTCTTGGAGCTATGTACCTAGTTCACTTCAGCCGCATCCCATCTCGTATGACCCACACGCCCTTTCTCGCACCGTCATCCTTTTTCAACTTCCTACTACATGAGCGTAGAGAGGAGACATCCTGCTAACCCTAGTCAAATAGGACCCAACCAAGACAGACGTTGTCGACACAACCATTCCAAGCGCTTCGTTCATTTTGCTTCGTTCTCCATGCAATTTCGTTTCTCGTGGCGCTCCATACATCCAAGCTTCAATTTAGTTCAGTTCAATAGACAGTGTTGTGCAAACGTGGGCTACATAAATCGTGAAAAGACATTAAATGTCATCCTAAATTGTTGTAGTATATGTCAGTTAGGCCGTTTGTTGTTTGTTGTTGCTTCCACAATAAAGAAAACAGGAAAAATGAATAAACATTGTATCAGACACGATACGATATGGCTCAACACCCCCCCCTCTTTCCCAGCACCCACTCACTTCCACTTAAACCACCTACTTGTTCTTTTTCTTTTCTGAACCACTTTCCTTACCGGGGCTGCCTTCTCCGTTAGTTCCGCTGGCACCGCTCTTGGTCACCACACCTCCGACGGCTCTACTCGCTCCGATGGTGATTCCTCGACCTTCTCGCATACCGTCCAGACTGATGTTGCTCCCGACACTTCCGCTACGCTTAACACCAGCCTTAACTCTAGCCGCCAGAGGGGTTTGGACACTCTCATCCACCAGCTCTTGAGCAGCGTCAGGTTCGGGTTGGAAAGTCGGGGTAACCGGTGGCTCTTCTATTTTATCAATAGAGTAGTTCACTCTGTGTCGTGTCGTGTTCTTCGGCGAAGGGATTCCAGAAGCAGGCTCTCGAGCTCGGTGAGGCTGAGGGGCGGGCGCTAGCTGGAGAACGTTGGTGCCCTCAAGGCTCGGGGTAAGAGTCGAAGACTCGCTCTCGCTACCCTGATGAGCATTTGCGTATGCATATCCTGAACCTAGAAGACTCTCTTGCCGGCTGATATAGTATCGATCATACTCCTCCTTTGTATGCTCAGCGTCGGTGAAGCTATCAAGCGCATCAAAAACGTGCTGGAAGACCTGCATATCCACATCTCTTGCCCAAAGGAAGTCGAGATGCTCATAGTGAGGAATTTCGGTTGCGACAGTCTGAGGCGGCAGCTCTTTCAACATCACCTTAATATCTACCAGGGAGTCGCTGCCTCCATACACCAGCACAATGGGTGTCTTGATATTTCGAGTTGGGTATTTGGCCACCTTGGAGTACTTCCTGGTTGAGGTAACACTGATCGGCTGGTGAACATCATCGTCGTACATCTGGAAACATTTGTTGCGGATGATCTGGAACCAATGAACCACACTCTTGGTGCTTGTGAAAGAGTACAAATGAGGATATGCTGCCAACTTCTGACTGGCCGAGATATTGAGGGTCTGCCAGTTAAACAGGAACGATAGGCCCATGTCGATAAGCTTGCTGAAGATAGGCGGGTACAAAATCGTCTCCCACATGGTTGCGGAACTGAGGATAGAGCGACGACCAAACAGGAGGAACAAAACAGAAGGCGATGCCGTGACAAGCGCGTCGACAATTCCACTAGATAAGCCAGCTGGAGCCATGGCAGGAGCGAGAGCGATGAAGACGTTGACCTGGTTGTTGAGCTTGGGGTGAATAGCTAAGCTGGCAAAAGCCTGAGCTGTGCCTTGCGAGAAGCCGATGTACGAAAGACTCTCCTGCTGTGTGGTCTCGAGGATGTAACCGATGCTGTCCGGGATGTCGTGAAAGGCAAATTCGTCGATAGAGAAGTCCCAAAAGGCATTCGAGTTTGGAGAATGGTGAATCGATTTCTTGGAATACTTGTTACCTCGGTTGTTGCCAAACTATAAGCTGTTAGTTGACGAGGCCTGGTATATTAGCCGTGCCAGTAAGCAAGAACTCACCCAAACATCGTATCCCCTTTCAACCAGCTCAAAGGGGAGGCATCTTTGCTCATCAGTGAGAGAAACCCAAACTTCAGAATTCATGAGGAGGCCATGGTGCATGTAGATGACTTTCTTCTTCAAGCTTGTTGGTCCGTAGTTTACCTTCTGACCTTCTTCGCCCTTCTTCCATTGGAGTCGATGAAGACCTAGAAGATATCCATCTTTGGTCTGAGCAATATGTTCCTCGGCCTCATAGCCCCAGATGCGACACAACTCGACAAAGTCTGGTGCGTCTCGAACAGAAGTGGATATCGCTGGTTGATCATGTTAGTCTGGACTTGGAGCTAATGCAGGCGGGAACATGCTAACATTTACGTTTACTCTCCGCCCTTCTCCTCGCAGGAGCAGAGAACCTGTTGAAGAGCCTCCTGGAAGCTCTGTAAAAAAGCGATACAAGAAATGGGGCTGCGATTGATGTTAGTAAAGTCTCTACACCGCTTGGGGTCGGTCTGTGTGCGACTCACGCAGCGCCAATGTCAAGACGCGAATGACTGCCTCAAGTCCGACAAGAAGAAATGAGCCCACGAGGGCAAGATACTCGTAGCTAAAGCAATTGAAGATTAGCAAAGGAGGCGCATTTTAGGTACCAGATATGGGTGTCAGCGTCGCTGATCTTCAAAGCCACTCAACTCAAAGTTGAAGGCCAAGAGAAAGGAAAGGAAAGGGGAAAAACTCACGGGCGAAGCCTCCCGATGAAGGGAATAGCCATCGCAACAATCTTTGGTTGACGATTGTCGCGATGCACGCCTTGCCAGGGTATAAAATCTTTAGTTGTGACAGATGCGGTAGATCAGTGGAAGGGGAAAAAAAGGAAAAGAGTGAGAGGTAGATACTTAGTTGAAGGTACGAGTCGAGGTGATGTCACATGCAATTGAGGATGCAGTAAGTTTACAACATGGAACTATATCGAGCACTGACGTCCACCACAACCTCCACTATCATGACGCCCAGGACTTTATCTGTAGGTAGGTAGTAAGTACCTCTTTTTAGGCGAGATAATAACTTGCTTTGGGCATCTCAGGTAGGTATACTACCTTAGGTGCTCTTAGGCGAGACCCTAGGTCCTTACAACTCGAAACTTCGGTGAGACCATCCCCTATCAAGGCCCGAAAGGACCAGATTTTTATGTCAAGGAATGACAATGAATCTGGAATCATATCTTCCCTCGATACCCTGCTGAAACAGTTATTAACCACCAGTATGATCGAGCCACAGACGACACATCCACATGGCTCATGCAAATGTCAGGGTCACAGATAACGGGATTGGACGGTTTACAGTGGCCCGCCAACGTTGCGGCTAGCTAAGACATACAGGGACTGTTCTGTGCTGTGCTGTAATTAGATCCAGATCCAGATCCAGCCCGATATCCATCTATTCATTCATAGATACATCCAAGATTTGATACCCAGCCAGACTCATACTTACCTACTATAAATACTATATACAGGCAAACACATACACGATAATAGGTAAGGTAGTTAGACCCAGTTAGTACAATTGTGTGAATCTATCTCAGCTACTATAGTACTGTCGTTTACCATTCCCATTATTCACGACGCTCGCTCCATTCTTTAGCAAAAAGCTCCAATATTCGATGCCTTGCCACGTCATGTCATGCAATGCAATGCGATGCCATGTCAGGCCACTCCATACCGTTCACCTTCAACATCGCTCATCCTTCCAGAGTACAAGCTACGAGATTCCTACCCTTCTGCCTCTTTTCCATCTCGTTATCTAACCTCGTCTCATCTCATCTCATCCACCACTATCGTCTGCTTCATCTCCTGTCTACACCTGCTATTCCTCAAAGTCTTGACGGCACCCTCCCCTTGATCCGCCCCTCTGGCGTGGCCAGCCGTCAAGTCCCATCATGTGTTGACTCGACTGTTCGTATAGCAAGAAGCGCTGCAGCAACATCCATAGCATTCCGAAGTGCGGCTTGAAGTCTTGCACCTCCTTTCACATAGAAGATGTCAAGAGAGGCCGAAAACCGTCAACACTCTTGCGAGTATCTCACGTCATGGATGGTTGACGCCACAGCACTCGGGCGCCACCAAGTAGTACAAGAAGAGAAGAGAAAAAAATCTTTCCAGAAAAACACGCCCCATTCCTAGGCCTGGGAGTTGTTTAGTGTTATGAACCGAGTAATTCTGACTTGTGGTTGCTCTTCCAAAAGTCGATGGCCTCGACAACGTCATCTCCTTTGTCATCCTCGTGGGCAAACAAGATCTGTGATTTACGTTAGCATTCCAATATTAAGACTGCCGCTGCAAAAGGATTACTTACTTCGTGTGTGCTACTATGCAGCATACGAATGTTCTTGCGAGGAACGATATGCACAGCACCGTTCTCCATATTACGAAGCTCAATAAAGTTCGGTTCAAACGCAAGAATCCAAGGATAGCTGAGCGCAAAGCTTTGCGGCGTGCCCTCCCAATCAATTCGCCATTCAGGTCGAGCCCTCCATCCATTGCGGTTAACAAAGAAGGAGAATTCCGAGTAGTTAAGCAAGAACTCCCCGTTAAGTCGTTCGATGTGAATCGGCTTGACTCCTTCTTTACGGGCCACAAAGTCGAGCGAAGTATCAGCCTGGTCAAGCAGAGACTGTGTCTCGAGGGTCTCAAGGGAAACAACCTCGAAGCCTCGAGCGCAGGCAACGCAAAGCTTGGACTTGAGGAAGTGAACAGACGACGACTCGGTGGGAATGTAGAATTCCTTGAACGGCTTAAGTTCATCGTGTCCGCCGCTCATAAACTTGCCTATACCCTTCTGTTTCTTGGCCTTGGTCATGGCGTCGTTAGGCTCAAAAACCTTGATCGTAGTAGAAAGGGCGGATGATTTGACACAGCAGACCAGATGTCTACCCAAGCAAATTCCCGTCTTAAAGAAACTGCAATGGCTCTGGATCTTCTTAGGCCTCCTAGACAATGCGGGCTCATCGGGATTGAGGGCTGAGACAGGATATGACTGCAGTGTCTTGTTAGATAAAACCAAGAGGAGTTGATATTCCTCAAGAATATCAATCTGAGTAACACTAGCAGTCTCCAAAACGCGGCGAGGTACCTGATCCTTCACCTTACGATCGGAGAGGTAGACACCGCTGTCTGTGCCGTACAGTAGTTTACGACCACCATCTGCATTGATTAGTTAATAAGAATATTGTGTTGCGTTTTGGAAAACTTACCGAATGGCGTAACACAGTTAACTCGGTTAGTACCAGCGAAAAACCTGCTTGATATAACTGTGGTGTTGAAGAAGTCCGCTCGGGACCGGAGACGTTCCTGCGCGGTGTGAATGAATTCAAGCCATTTCTGGCGTGTCGCCTGGTTCGCTGCAAAAAGCGTCAGTTCATAGCCGGCTTTTCCAAGATGGCGGAACGTTATCGGCCAGCCTTCTTTCCTTGCTGGATCGTTGTTGACATTGTTGCGAATCGAAGGAATCAAGCTTGACGAAGTCCGCTTCATGTTACCATCCTTTGGAATGACTTCATCCATTTCCTTAATTGCAAGAAGTTCCAAAGGAATGGGTCGGCGGTATGCTTTAATTTCTTCAGCCTTGCCTGTTTGCTTGATACGGACCAGGAGGACGGCGTGATCGAACAGGAAGGCTGTAATTTCGGCAGGATCGGTGGGTGTCTTCTTAAACTGGCACTTAAAGACCATCTCGCGGCCTTCTTCAGTGAGTCGAAGATCTACCCTCTCGTTGGGCCTGAATCGAAGCTGTTCGTGAAGTCGTCTAAGGTTGAATCGGTTCTCAGCCTTTCCGGACTCTGCGTTGACTCGGCCCAGGATATCTCGAATCATGACTAGGACCTTGGGAATATCCTCCTTGTCAGGGTTGTCGTCTTCTGTGTACTTCAAGACGTTCTCGAGTAGCAAGGGATAACGAGCCAGACGGGTTGTTGGCTTAGTCAGATAACCGTTCAGCTCAAGCTTTCTTGATTCCTTGCGCCTTTCAATCTCATCCACGAACTTGCCAAAATAAGGATTCAGTGATCTTTCATTCTCAAACTCGAACTTTCCTTCCAATTGTTTCGAACCGTACAAGATGAAGGGTTCGAACTGAGGAACATACTCCAAGAAGATATCACCAATGTTGTGCACAATAGGTTCCTTTTGCTGTCGAGTCGTCAATCCAGAGGCAAATCGGGAACTGACGGTATGAATGCTAGGATGGTCGATAATGTTACTGAAGATGGTCTTGACAACCTTTTCGCGACGCTGGACAGGTACTGGCGAAGCCTTTGATCGCAAAGGTAGAATCCAAAAGTCTCGCAAATATTCCAAATCCTTAACAAAGTCTCGTTCGGTATAGCAGATCTCTGAAATGACCTCCTGCCTCTTCTTTTCTCGATCTCCCACCTTCTCGGCAACTTCCTTAGGGACTGAGTTGATCCAAAGTTTCTGCTCGTCAGTCTGGTCCGCTTCGTCATCAACGGCGTTGACGGCGTCCTCCTTTCGCAGGCCGGGGTTGATCTTGAGATTGAGCCTAGAAACTTGCTCCAGGCGTCGAGGACAGGCGATAGAATAACAGAGTTGATCCCTAGTACAAGTCGGGGAGTAACATTCAGAAAGAAGGACAAATACACCATTAACCGCAGGCTTGTCTTCTGGCTCGTCCATTAGTGTCTCCCTAAACTGATACATTTCCGATTGGGAGTCTCGTAGGCGGTGTTCATAAGTAACATCGTGAAAGAACTTCTGGGCATCCAACGCTCGTCCCAGCAGCAAAGCAAGGTTGCGATCGGTGGTTCTAATAATGTATGATAGAACATCCACTGCTTCAGATCCACTGAAGGCATTCTTGTATGTCAATTCGTTCTTTGTACGGTCGCCGACAATGATCTTTTTGCGGAAGCATTCTCCAACTCGAGACAGAAGGGCGGGATATACGAGGGGGGGTCGAATTTTGGTCGCAGTTGGGGGTCGTTCGCTCTCTATCGACTTGCTCCTGGTAGGCCGCTGAGCCAGTGTGGATGCATCTGACTCGGAGGGGGTGATGGTTGGTGCTATGGTAGAGGCCATCGACATTGTCCTGCCGTGATCGCCGCCGCCACTAGACGAAACCATGCTGGATGTTCGGGTTTGTGCTCCAGGAGCATGAGGCATCGAGTTGGGGTATCCATTGGTGGCAGGCAGCTCTGTTGGTGCTCGCCTATTAGGTATAACTCGGCCACTCATAGTCTGATGGGCATCCATGCTCTGAGGTTGATAGTTGCCAGTCAGAGACATAGTACGATCCTCATGACGCTCTGGCACGATTCGTCCTTGAGCAGTGGTCCTGGCCGAGCTCTGCTGCGCGTATGGGGCCTGGCGGAGGTGGTTTGCGGGGGCCTGCTGGTATGCGCTTGGAGGAGGATGATACATGGGCTGCCGAGGAGCAGAAGCAAGGGATTGTGAGCGATAAGGATCATTGTTCATAGCGGGCGCTGGTCCTCCTTGATAAAAACGCTGAGCTGGCGTCCTGGGACCAGGAGCTTGCTGCGGAGGAGGGCCTCTGGGATCCATTCGCGGAGGTGCCGGTCCTCCAGGGCCAGGTCCAGGTCCAGGATACGGACGTCTCGCCTGGTGTGGTTGTTGTTGCTGCATATAATGAGGTGGCATCTGCTGTCCGCCGGATGCCGAACGTTGGCTAGGATAGTAACCATTTCCCATCATGCTATTGCTGTCCATTGTTCGAGTTCTGCCGGCGTTCGGGTGGTCACCATAATGACCCGGGGGGGCACGAGGCGGTGGCTGCCTCTGCATACCGGAGGACATGGAGGACATGGTCTGAGTGCGGCCAGGGTCCATCATGGACGGAGGCATGGAGGAGGACGAAGTCATTGTTTGAGATCGGCCGGGAGGGGGATCGGAGCCAAATATGTTAGAAAAGGCAGCATCTCGTTGACCGTAGTTATTATCGCCGTAGCCCCTTTGAGGTGGTCGTTGAGGAGCTCCTCGAGGATCGTAACCGTAGTTGGACATGGTAACAGATACTTTACAAGATGCATGTCAGGACACCGTTGGGATTTAAAGGGAAACGCTTGACCAGGGGAACAATGTTACCGGCAGTTTGGTGAGCGCCAGAGGCTGGAAGCTCGTTATCAGGCGTATCAACAGCCGACTTCGACGGATGCGCCGCCGTCAGTCGACGCCAATCCGTCCCCTTAAGCTAGGGTAATGTTGAAGAGAAAGCGTGGGCGACAATCGTCCGGATGTGCTGCGCTGCGAATACCCTCACGGGGTAGCGCCCGTCGATGTAGCTAGAGAGGCGTTATAGAAGGATTTGAGGAGTTGATTCTGTCCAAGTGTCGTGTCGTGATTTTGCGAGTTTGGGCTCGAGGGGGGGCGCCGGACAAGGCGGCTGGATGAGCAAATTGGCAAATCTCAGACCTTGATCCCGAGATCGTCGACCGATCGAGGAGAGGACGAACGACAATAAAGATGGCTATAGTAAGCAATGGGCGGTCGTCGTCTCAAGAGGTTTTTTGGGGGTGGTCCTCTAGTGATGCACTTTGGAGGGAGTTGCAGGTTCACGATCCAGGCCAGGCACTGGTCTCGTCGCAGGTAAAAGAGGTAGCGATCACAACCAATCCCAATCCACATGGAGGTACTACTGTAACTACAGTACCTACTGTACAGACCAGAGGACAGGGAGCCAACGGCGGACAAGCCAGTGCTAGGAGATCCACCATAAAACCCACCTGTTCGATGGCGGCCTCTGTGCTTTTTGGGGGTAACGGGGAGGGCAGTGTGGGCGCCGTAGTGCCCAGTGAGTGACTGAGCTACTAAGTTAGTGGATGGGCAGTTAAATTATTTAGTACCACGGTAAGGGGATGAAATATGCTGGGGTATAGTCGTAGTGTAAGAGCATGGATCTCGGCGTTGCACCGTGGATACGAAAAAGAGGGTTTAATATTAGAGAGGGGAGATGATGATATGGTATGGTATTGTTCAGGAGGGAGAAATGAACGATGGAAATGATCAGCTCTTAATAAGCTAACAAAGTCAGTTACAGATCGGTTGCCTTGTTTCAAGATTGTCGGTTGTTTGGAGTAGCTGCTACGTAGGTACCTACAGTGAATGGTCTCTTCTTGTTTGTGTATCTCCGAGTCATTCAGTTGTCCTTCCATGGTCTGTTACATAGTGTCTGGGTTGATGTACTGATCTTGGGGTTTTCTGTCACAAGTCAAGCCGGGTCTTTCATGAATGTCCTCGCTCCTCGTAGGTATGGATGGATACTGGGTAGTCGAGGTGACATTGTGTGAGAAAGCCAGAATCAAATTCAATTAAACACGGTGCAATAAACGAGGTCTACAGCAATTAAACGTCTTTCGTTAAGGGACTTAAGGGTCATGCTACGTTAGGGGCCGTTAATTCTTATTTCTAACATTTGGTGCATCCTTTTATTATGCATAGTACGTTTGTCAATCTGGTTTGGGTTTGGCAATGAAATTTCCTTGCTACAAACCACAGGCGAATAAGCATCCATCCATCCAAGGCCTACCTTCAAGCCAGTCCCTCATCCTTGAGTGATTAGTACCTATCAAAATGGTTACCAACTTACCAGTGCAATCTTGGAAGACCTCCACTGACACGAGTACACCCGGTGATTTTGTGCCTTGACTTCTATGGCACTTACGTCGTAAGAACCTGACAGTGCAATAAGAAATTGTGAGATCAGGACTTCAGAAAACCATGGAATATAATACCAATAGAGGCGATAAAACTGAATAAGAACTATGGGATGAGTAATGAACTCTGCCTTTCACTGGTGATATTCAAGTACCTACCTACCTACCTGTCTTGGTAAAAATCACGTGATTTCACTCCAAAGCCACCCCAGCGCCTTCTATTGGCTGAACCAACCCACTCCAGTGTGGCTGGCTTTCCACATCAGCTTGCATCTCTCTCTGGTAGCCTTGGACCAGTAGCAGGCTACATCATCATCAAGCTTCCAACTTCAACTCCTACGCCGCCCTTGACCTCCGAGCTGTCGACGGCCGCATCTCTTCACCATGGCAGAATCAGAGCTTGCCCCCAAGTTTGCCCCCTTTATTGGGATGGTAAGTATCCCTCACGTCCGGCTCTATCGTTGGACTGGAACCAGGGGTGGACGCGATTGCTGATGCGGCGACTTTCTAGGCCGGAATTGCAGCTGCAATGATCTTCGGATGTACGACACTCCATCTCCTCTACGCGACACAACGATCTTGAGAATGAATACTAAACGGCCTTGATAGGTATTGGAGCTGCCTACGGCACAGCCAAGTCCGGCATTGGTATTGCTGGTGTCGGTACCTTTCGACCAGATCTTATCATGAAGGTATTGAATCTATCGTCAAGCCGACCAATGACCGTTTCTAAAGTACCTCGCAGTGTCTGATCCCCGTCGTCATGTCCGGTATTATCGCCGTTTACTCGCTCGTCATCTCTGTCCTCATCGCTGAGGATCTCGACCCTTCCAAGAACTACAGCTTGTTCTCGTACGTCAACCCGCATCCCATCAACAAATGCGAATACTGATAATAGCAGGGGCTTCATGCATCTTGGATGTGGTATTGCAGTCGGCATGACTGGTCTTGCCGCTGGCTACTGTATTGGAATTGTTGGTGACAGTGGTGTTCGTGCTTATATGGAACAGTCCAGGATTTTCGTTGGCATGGTCTTGATCCTCATTTTCGGCGAAGTTCTTGGTCTTTACGGGTAAGAAATGCAACGACATACTGCATTTTGATTTTATGCTGACTCTGATATAGCCTTATTGTTGCCCTTATTCTCAACACCAAGAGCAAGGGTTAAACGGTACACGATTTTCGCCGCAATCGTACACTCGTTCATTCGACCTTTCCCATGAGATGTCGACATGTATGCTGAGGGAGGACTACGCTGCTAGCGAGTTTCAGGGATAAACCATTGTTTGTGCATCGGGCATGGCGTTACTGGACGTGTAACATATTTTTCAAAGAGGTAGAGGAACGGCGGAGAAGTTGACAGTATTTAGCTTCAAGTATAATTGCTCAGTTTATGCTAACATGATGTTTTCGAGGCTGTGTCAGAATGTCAAGTAATTCTGGAAAGTTCGTTTGACTATTTGAGATTCAAGCTTTCTCATGCAATGCAATTATCTAGCGCTATGCAACCCTACAATTGAAAGCGAGTGACAGAAGAGAATGCTCGACTCACCACATATATTTCATGCCGTCTGTCAGAGCTCACATGAAACCCGAGAAACCAATACCCAAATGTCATGCCTCATACCAGTAACCCAATCTAGATCATAACGCCTTGAGACAATGCGACAATGTGCTTCGGGCAAAGTCGCCTATAGCATAGCAATAGCGACCCAGCCCAACAAAAAGGGCAAAAAAGAAACCAACAAAGCAAAATCAAAGCAACCGTCGTCCGCCCATACGACGGAAGAGCTTCTTACGACCCCCGACCTCCGCATCTCGACGATAAGAAGCCCAGCTTCTTTGCCGGTCATCCGAGTCCTTCATCCGAGCTAGCCAGTCATCAGCGACAACACCATACGATTTCTCTATGTTCTGCAAACTTACCCAGAAACCAATCCCAATGACGATCTTCTCGGATCAAAACATCCTCTCCAGTCTCGCGTGCGACTCTTTCCTGGCGAGCTCGAGTAGCAGCCACCTCACCAACTAAGTAAGGGTCCTCTAGAGGCCTCGACACGGGTCTTTCTTGTTCTTGTTCGCTGATATCGGTCATGACACGACGAAGGCTGCCTACGTGATCACGCTGTGCCGTCAATCTCCGGTTGGCAACATTCTGGTAGTGTCGAGCGGCGGGGTTGCTGGATACAGATGACCATGTCGCAATACGAAAATTATTCAGATTTGGCTGAGATCGCAAAGGAGCCGCAGGCACTGGAGGCAAGCCAATAGTCTGTTGGCGGGCTGTGGGAGTGGATGTACCGCTGCTGGAGGGGATCATGGAGCTTCTCACGGCTGCTTGAGGTCGAACTGGAGGGGTGTATGAAGGCAAGGTCTCGGGATACGGGTTTATTGAGTGATAGGAGGGAGCTTCCGAGACTGGAACGACGAATAAGTCAGTAAGGCTGATCGCATGCCAGATTGCGATGCTCTCTCAAGTGAGGTCTAGCTTGTTGGTACAAACAGGCCCCATATCCCTGATTGATTGAGCTCAAAGCTATGGATCTCAGTCAACTTACCATACGAAGGGGCAGCTGAGCGAATCGAAGCTGTCTCAAAGTCGTCGTTGCTATAGCGGGGGGTAGCGACAGCGCCCGTCATGATGGCAGATGATGGTAAGGGAAGCACAGTTGAGAGCAGAGCGGAAGAGGGGCAGCACAAGACAACTTGAGCATTAGTTTCGAGGAACTATCGGGAAAGCTGATGTTAAGTAGCAGGACAGGACAAGACGAGACGACAGCAGAATCACAAGGCAAGCAGCTGGGACGCTTCCAAGGTCTGTGGAAGGCCTGGGCAAGATAAGTGAACTTATTGGAGTGTGCAAGAATGAAACAACAATGGCCTTTTGATCCCAGGATGGGAAGGCCAAGCTAGCTAAAACAGGGAGGGTCAACATGCCCAGGAGCTTAATGCACGACCGCGGATAAAGATGCAGAGAGATTCCAAGGATGTAGCAAAATGGTGTGGGAAGGAAGCAAGCGAGCGAGCAAGGTGAATAGGCGCAAGACGGCGTAAATGATACAAGAAAGCTAGTGGTCAACGGGATACTTCGGGGAGGTACCAAGTTAAACCGGGGGCCAAGGCCTGGGCTGGGCAGTCGTATCGCATCGTGGCGTGGGAATCCAGGCGTGGAGGTTGCAAGGGGGACTGAGATGCGGGGACACGTGAGAAAAGACACCGACGATGATGCTGTGGAGGACATCTGGCAGCACCATGACGCGTTCTGCTGAAGGTCAGATAGAAGCAAAAACTCTGTCGCTTGCTCGGCATTGCATTGTCGAGCAAGTTTGTTGACGACAGTTTGTATGTGTGTTTGTAACGCAAACTCTCATCCATATGTGCCTTTCTCTATGATCGCCACAACTCCAACGAATGTGCCCGAAGGGTGCACGAAAGCATCAAAAGGATGCACTGTGACATCCCCTTTTAGGGACAACCATCAGCGAGCTCCCCTGAAGACGTTCGGGCGTTTTCCTTAGTAGGAATAACGAGCTTCCACAGATGCTTCGATACGGTGATAGCGGGGTATACGGACAGCTTGCCGGGTCGTGAGGTACGCCGGCGAGGCCTCGGGGGGGGGTTAGGTATTCTACCCACTGTGAATGGCGGGGTTGTTGGGCTGTGTTTGCAGGGGTGAGACCGGGAGGGACAGGACAGGACGGAGATAGAGATTCAGAGAGCCAATCGATAAGAAGGCTTCAGTCTTGACGGTTTCGAATTTCCATGGCAAAAGCCGGACAAGTAGCGTAACTGACGGAAGCCAATGTTGTACGGTCACCAATCCAGTTTTGTTCAAGGCAGCATAACATGGTTGGGCTGTTCGTAACTTCTATTGTGATAGTGGAGCTGTATGATGTATTTGACGATGAGCTTGCGTTTTATTACGGAGTACTCCGTTCAAACCAAGTTTGTTTCCGTTTGATCTTGTTGCGAAAACCACAGTTTCTTAAAGTTGCCGATCTCCCTAACCGCTGCGAACCGCATGGTCGGGCCGGCCTATGATACTAGACCTGGCTATTATTTTGGGATTGTTCAACTGCGCTATGTGACCAAAAGTATGTATTCAACCCTGTCAGCCTGTGCAACGAGCAATGACAACACCACCACTTTGGAACTTCTGCAGTACTAGACCCGACTAGACTAGACCAGTCGTCCCCACATGTATGTGTTGATGTCCTGAGTCGATGTATTTGAGGGTACTGTACTGGACAACTTGAAGAGTTGGTGTCCTGCTGCCTCCTTAACCTCGCACCAACTCACTCGATGGGCATTCAACTCGGCTTTTTGGTGTTGCAGAGAATGGTTGATCCAGCGCGATGGCTTGGATGATCATCAGACAATTGAAACCCTAAACTCATGACTCTTGTTTGGCACATCACAAATGCAGGAACATCGAGACGCCATGCTACGATATTCTTCCCGCCAGGAACTTGTTAAAAACACTATTGAATATTCCCCCCGCTTTCTCTTGTAAGACAACTCAAGTTAGTCTGTGGGCTTACTCCGTACAAGACGCCAGCCGAGCCGAGTATGTTTCTCCGGGCTTCAAGACCCCGTCGGTTGAATTCAGTTGGGTTTAGTTGTACCTCAGGGGTAGCGGCACGGTTCGCACCGAGATGGCCATTGAGAACCTCGAAATGGGTGTCTTGCCCCCAACCTGGGCGTAATGTGCATGCTGTGCTCGGATACAGATAGATAGAGGGCGGTGAGAACGTTCTGCTGACGTGCGTCAAGGGGTGCCCAACGTAGGAAGCATAGGGCTATGGATTCTGGATGGTTGGACCCTTGAAATCGACGGGCTAACCACTGTGCCTCAGTTGCCATTGTCTCTTCTTATGGCGACAGGATGAGAAATATCGTATTTGGGTAACATTTCGTGATGGTGTTTGTGCCAAAGATCGGTGCCAAGTTGCTTACTTTTTTCCCTCTTGCATCCTCGTCAAGGTACAGACAGTGTCTGGAGTTGGTTAGCATGGGAAAATCGCAGTTGAATAAGTGGAGATGATGGACGTCCACGATATTTGACGATAACAGATACTTCCTACATAGGAGGTAAGATATGGATGGCGCCTATGAATAACCATAAGGACTACCTACCTAATTTAGTGGAGATGGCATCCATGACATGAATGCCTGCATACATACTAGACTAACATATGTAGATGCTGACCTTTCGAATGCTATCACATGCATGTAGTGGGAAATCTTGTGTCTGGAGCTCTCTTCAGTTCCATGTCGAGCCTGATTAGTCAATCCCTCACTTATCTCTAAAAGACCATTGCATCTACAAGAGAATTCTTAGTGTCTTTTACTCCAATAGCTCTTGGCCCCGAAAGTGTAGAATACCAATTCTATCACCATGGATCTGACACAAATCGCTCTATCGCCTGCTCCATTTACCTAGTTCCTGAGATGGTCACCAACCACAGGTGAGAAATCTTTAAGATAACTTTATCGATCTATTCTTCAGGGAGAGTCACAAGTAGTTAGTCCAGGTGTTTCTTGAGTACATATTTGTCCTAACTATTTGGTTGAAAGCTTGTTTGAAAACATTACGATTAATAAAGATTATCCTTTTACACAATACGAGCAGGTAGTTAGTTATAAACGTAAATGGGTGTGTTGGTCTCAGTGTTACACCCCCCGATGGCCAGGTCAGCTGAAGAATAAGGTCAGCCTCCCTCCCTAATAATAACAGATATCACAACTTTGTGGCCCTTTCTTTGCCCTGTCAGATGAGTTGTTTCGGTAGATATACAGAAACTTCATCTCGACAAGGAACTGCGGCCTTCGACTCGGACAGATTCCATGTACAACCAGCCAATGCATGGGCTTGACAGTAACAATCTGTTGTACACGGAGGATCGCTTCTCATGATCTTAGGAAACTGCTTGGTGGATTCAATACGAATTCAAGCCTCGAAGTCCATGTGCTTTATTCTGGTGTTCCCTGCGAACCTTGGCCAAGGACCATCTACCTCAGGCTTCTCTCTACTGCTCTCGTCTGCTTCTTGTGGATAGGTGTTTCATTTAGCCCCCCGGCTAACAGAGCTTCAGACTACGCAGTTTCCGCTTCGACGGTGTATGATATCTCTTCACTAGGAACTGTTATATACCTACATTGTCAATCTGCCGATGGGGGACTTACGGGCTGAGAGTTGACGGGGTAAAAGTCGACTCGAATCTGGCTTGCACACTAATGCAAAGATAGCAGATGCTCAAAGGGTAGTTTGTGTAGGTACCTAGGTACTCAAGGCATTCTTCTTGTCCAATGTAAGTATTTGATGGTTGAGAATAAGAAGAGTCTGTATTGAGAGAAGCGCTTAGGAGAAGGCTGTCGAAGGTGGAAAGAGCTTAGCAAGCAAACAGACAATAAGAAAATAGAAGGGACAACCTGTTAGATAATAGCTCAGTTCCCTACTCGCCGCATATTTTGAAGACAATGAGAGGAAATCAGGTACGGGCAGCCATTAATTTGCGGGCTGCCAGTTGCTGCTGCCTGAGGAGCCAGGTGCTTGACACTGGCTGCCAGCCGTCAAAGCTGCTTCCGCAAGTAGCTTCCTCAAAATTAAGACCATTCGTGACGCAATGCCGTCTCTTTAACTCTCATCTCAATTTCATTCTCATTTCTCCGCATCGACTTCTCCTAAGTACTTCAACCTCACTTCCTCCAGCATCGCGAACAACTTCAACCCGACCCTCCTATATAAGGGGAACTCGAGAGCTACACACCCCAACACAATAAAGGCTGTTCCTGGTGTAGTTATTCAAGCTCTGCCAGCCTCCTCAAAACTTCAAATGCGCCTGAAAGAGCACCATGTTCTACAGTCATGAGAGTAAGTAACACTATAGGCTCGAATTTCTCTCCAGCAAGCTAACATGAAACTCAGTTCTCAGTAACACCCAATATGGGGTTGCTACCATCTGGTACGTCTCGGACACTGAGTATCCCCCAAATCCCTCACTTATACGTTCAACTAGGCTCGTCGCTACTGTAGGAAAGAGCAGCCAGAAGCGGCTGACCCGCAAGGCAATCCAAGGCGTCGACGTCCCAAAGGCATGCGAGACAATCATTGATCCGGGAGCTCCTTTAGCTCTACGTCTTCAAGGAAATCTCCTTTATGGAGTCTCTCGTGTGTATTCTCAGCAATGTCATTATGTTCTTTCAGATGCCGAAAAGACACAATCCAACATGATGACATTCTTTCGTGCCATGAACACAAATGAAACGGATCCAAGCGCTGGCAAGGCAAAGTAGGTGAAAAGAAAAGACTCTTTGTTGGACTATACCTTTCTTTGTGACTAACATCTCACTCTTTCAAGGCGATATCAGCTCACTCTTCAGGACGACCCGTCCTTTGATCCTTTGTCAACTGTGCCAAAGCTAGACCTTTTGGCCAGTGTCGACGACTTAGTTTTCCTTTCAACTCAATTGTCGACACAGAACAATGTCTCCCAGATGACCCCCTTGACCCAAGGCACCAGTTCTTCTGGTCGCGGAAATTCACTGTTGAACTTCGATATCCCACAATCTTCTCACTCTGGTCGGAGCTATCGCCTTCCAATTGACCTGGACCACGATTCTCCTTTCACGAAGCCTCTTTATACACAAGAACCTCTGGAAGAATTCAACCCTCTTGGTGAAGATATGGCAAACATGCCAGGCCTTGATCTTAATTTCGATGCTGATGGTAACCTCATTGATTTTGGCGACCTGGGGTTGGAGCTTCCTGCTCTCCCCGGAACTCCAGCATATCAAGAACAACTCCAAATTCAAGCCGCCGACGCAGCCAACCTCGACACCAACAAATGGCAAGACGCAGGCGATAACGTAATCATCATGGGAGATGACCCTCTGCCTGACGCTGAGCCCTTTCCTAGGCGCCCAACTACTGCAAAACTCAACTCCGAGGCCAAACCGACCTCTGAGTCGACTGAGATTGTGGAAGCTAAAGCACCCCTGCGACGGGGAAAGCCACGCCGGAAACACCAGATGATCGATGGAAGGGATTATGTGACTGCAGCCGAAATTCGAAGCTGGAGTGCGAATTACCTGGACAACATGAAAGCCAATCTCAAGTCACATCGAACAACTTCAACAACTCAAGCCCGCCACAACGCCAAAGCCATCCTTTTTGACAACGGGCTTTCAGGTGTAGCTAAAACACCGCTGGGTCCGGCTCATCCCCTAGCTGAAAGGTTTTCCGGCATGTCTCTTCTGGCGCATCTTCAAGGACGAGATCCTGAGCAAGAATCAGACTTTCAACAGCGTGGCCGTCGTCGTACCTCAGCAGAGGCTTTCCCGGATGCACAAGTCGAAGATCGAAATACCCGACAGAAGACTGGGGCCCAAAATGATGTCGATGAGCTTGGGCGCGGCCTTAACGATGACATAGGTGCAATTATGTTCGGGGAAGACCTTGCCCCTGAGATGGGATTGGACGCGGCGGGAGGCCTGGGAGACCGCCACTCATCTTCGATGGCTCCTTGGAGTCGTCCTCCTTCAATTGCACCTGGATCCTCTCTTCGAGGGCACGGGAGTGTACAGAAGAAACATCCAGCTCCGAGTCCACTGCACCGCCGCGGTAGTGCGGTGCTCTCTATTGAACGCTTCAGCGATATTCCCGACTTTCCTCACAATTTTGGCGACCTAGCAGTGCTACACTCAGACTCTTCAATGGGGGACGAGGGACTTATGGGTGACTTTGGTTTTGCCAATAGTAAAGACACACAAGACTCTGGTATTATCGATACTTCCGCCCTTGACTTCTTAGGTTACGCTACTACGCGCGCTCGAGAAAAGGGGTACACTCGGTCCGGGGATCGAATTGATCGTCACTGGATTGATTTCAAGGCACTCACCGCGGAGCTCGACGATTCGACCAGTACAAAAAGGTTTGTTTCAGAGGCGTTCATGCACGTTCTTGTTCTTGCCACTAAGAACGCCATTGCCGTGGAGCAAGAAGGCATCGTGAACAATGAACCTTTTGGTACTATCCGCATCGGTCTCACACTCCCCGAGCAAGACGACGAAATGGCCGATGAGCTGACCTAGATTTGTTCTGCAAACTGAAGGGGAATATATTCACAGAAACATGGTCTCTATATATGCACCACAGGCATACTCTTGACATGGACAACTCGAAGGGGACATAAATCTACGGTTTTCAGCGGTGTTGCCGGGTTCACTTTGATGGGAAACCGGAATCAGTTTTTCTTTTCTTGTTTCTTTTTGGAGTCATGGGGGATTTTTCGCCGAAGGCAATATGGAGGCAATGGAACAACAAATACCTAGGAAATGGGTACAGATGTACATAGCAATTCCGGAGGGTCAGATAGAGCATCAACTGGTATTCAACATGGGACATGGGATATGGGATATGGGATATGGGCAATTTGCGATGGAGGCGCATCGCTTTCGTTCTCGAGGAAATAAGAAATTAAAATTAAAAATGGTTTATTTCAGTACTATCAGTCATCTATTCGTAGAACTCATCATCTGATCCAGGCTCTCGATCCTCAAATGCCATGTATTCGAGAGCATCGGCGGATCCAGAGTTGACAAACTCCCAAGCCTCATGGACAGTGTCTAGAATGGAGTCATCGAATGCGAGACCCTGTGGTGTGGTAGAGAACGTAGCAATGTTTCCGTCAATGCTCAAGGATTTTGTTCCGTCGCCCTGTTCGTAGTATAGCTGGTAAACGGGCGAAGCCACGTCTTGACCATTCGAGACAGCAGACAAAAGGGAAGATAGGGTTTTCTCTAAAACCGTTTTCGCAGACGGGGTACAAACGGTAGTGAGATATATGACAACTGTTGGACTTTCGTTAGCACAACTATTCTTAAAGGATATGAAGAGAACAATAGTCAAAGAAAACAAGGTGCATATCAGGTTGTCAGAGATAATGATCGTCATTAGGGTTCAGACAATGTAGATAAGTATTTGGTATGTGAATCATCATAACACCAATAGGAAAAGAAAAAAAAGAGGGATTTAACTCACATTGTCCAGAAGGACACTCCCCAGTGTCGCTTGAGTGTACCATGGCATAGATTGGGAACTCCGAAGAGCTTTCACCCTCGGGGACCGACCCTGCTGGGAAGGCGACCACAGCAACCGCAGGCACGGGAGCGCCGTCGGTAGGTATTTCAAATAGCGAAGACATGTTCGACTTTGTCACTGCTGTGAGCCTACTGATCCGAGGACCATCGGGGTCAGTTGTTTCGGCACCTTGAATCACCAATTTGGCCTTGACATCAATATCGTTCGTAAACGAAAGCTCAAGGGGAGGTTCGCCTCCGGCGGACTCAGGCCGCTGCAAGTCCTTAATGCCAGAACCTAACATATAGATTGCACCGCCAACAGCAGCGGCTCGGCAGCCCACTTGAGCTACCTCTGATAGCCCACCCCATTTAGGATAGACTGCAGCAAAGCCAGGACCAAAGACACCCATTGAGGTCAAATGTCTACTGATTGCAGTCAATCCGTCTTTGACTGATATCTTGCCATCGTGGCTCAGAGTCAGTGTGATGATGTAGGACTGCAGAGTCGCATCAAGTTTGAACTCAGAAGCCAAAAACTGTGCCAGCTCCTCATCAGCATGTGGCTGCCACGTATCGATTTGAGGTTCGGAATTGAAATCAAGCACAAACTTGAGGAACTTCATCAAGGACCGCTTGGACCGGGCTGGAATGGACTTGTCGGAGAAAACGTCTTCGCGGGTCGAGGGTATCCGACTGAGCGAGGGTACAGTCGTCGAATCCGAAGAGGACCGATAAATGTAGAAAGAGCCAACAGCAAGGAACTCGATTTGGCGGAACGCTTTCGAATCGACGAGCTGGGTGACCAGCTGTGACCGTGAGTGTATCAGCTGGGGCGCAAGAGCCAAGCTGTAGGCCCGCGCTGAACCCAAGGCGTCTTCATCTCGCTTCGCTTCCGCAGCAGAGAACAACCGAGAGGCATCAGCAGATCGGTTCTTTTCCGCCCATTCATCAGCCTCTTGGAGACTGAAAGCGGCTTCGCTACCGCCATAAAAGGGGTTGGGATCGACATGAAGTATGTTTTTGCCTGAACGCGACAAAGCTCTTCAACAAAGAAGGCTGGGTCAGTCCGACCGAGGCGACATCTCGACGATGGAATCCAAAGCTTACAGGGCGAGGAGGGACTGTTGTAGCCCAGTGCCGCTGATCACTACATCCCATAGGGTGTCTGAGAGGGATTCCATGGTTGAGGAAGAGATTGTTAGGGAGGAAGGAAGGGAAAGGAAGCAAAACTGATCTGCCCTTTTTATGATACGCGAAGATGAAGAATATTTCAGGTGGGGCAGGGTTGCTAGGTCAGCAAGCAGCTGGGGCCATGGATGGTAAATAATGGAAACCATGTGGTCCGTGCGTGACGGCTGGTAGTAATGAAAAGGATTGGCCGATATTTTCCTCTCTTCTTCTTCTTTTTTCCTCATCATCCGCTCAGCCCTTTACGCAATATCTACCTCTCCTGGCGGAATATTGCTGCGGCGTGGTAGTTTCATTACTACTTACTTTATGAGTGGTAGAGCAAATTGTCTTCCGGTATCTCCTGCCCTAGAATAAAGTCTGAAAGGGTGGGTCGAATGGTATTGACACATTTCTTCTCCAATGCATGACACTGTAGTAAAATCTTAGCATGAAACAACCAGGTTCAGGTATCTGTCTATTTATTGGGGTATCATTAAACTATGATTGCGCGATGGCGGCACTGAATTGTTCCCATCGCTTAGTAGCCCAGCCCAGGAATTGCTCTGATGTGAGGAACTGAGGAGTCAAGGCCGTTCCTCCATGCTTTGAGAGGGACAAAATCTTGACATTGCCATCCTTACAGTCCACCACAATTGTCACACTCTCGTCGCAAAGTGACTCCTCCAGCCTGTCAGGGTCGACGAGCATCCAAAACTCGCCATCAGTAGGTCGGTCGGTTTCTTTGCCAGTGAAAACGACTGCTGTGCAGGCGATTGGGATGCTGTTGATGCTTAGAGACTTGGATTCTTTACGGGAGCAGACGATCATCTCTCTGTCCATATCGAATCGTGCTCCAGGAAGCTTTGTGTCTCGGAGTGCGGCCATGGTAGCAGCCCAAGCAGCGTCAAATGGGTTTCCATCGAATGAGATAAAGAAGATATCGATGTAGAGCACCCAGTAAGCCACAACAGACCGGTTCTCGTTGGAAGTGTCTATATCATCCTCTTCCATACGATCTTCAGCGGCTTCTAGATCTTCCAACGATGTTGTGTGCCATATTCGCAGGTCTTCCGGCTTAATAACATTGGAGCTGTGAAGGAGGGAGTATATCCGTGTGCTGAGAGTTTGGGCAAGAGTGCTTGGTGGTCCACCAGGAAGAAACTGAGGGGCACATCCTGTAGCAAGCTCGATGTTTGGAACCAAGAGGTCGTACTCTTTCAGCTCCGTTTCGGTATTGGAGGCACGATAGCTCGGGATGTTTTGAGTCAGGATAGTCTCTGCTCGTACGCCGCAGATGACAGTGGTGTCGCCCATGCGTACTAGAGCGCTTCCATTTGCATGCGATAAGCTTGAGGCGTTTACTGTCGGGACTCGGACCTCATCTGAGGCTCGCCCATTGCTTCGGGCTGGGCGTACATCGTTGGTAGGCTTGAGGTTGGCAAGCAGATACGGGTGAGGTGAAAGCTTGGCAAAGGTAGATCGAGTGAGGCCAGCATCGGACGCCATTTCTTCCAGTATCGGTGATATCTCTTCGTTTTATTCCGCGAGTGGAGAGAAAAGAAAAAACTGAACCTGGTGTGGCGGTCGAGATTGTTGACCAGGCCTGATGTTGAATCAATGATGAAAAGTTGTAGACATGCTCGCAGCCTCGTGGGGTCGTTGGTGGGGATGTGTCTTTTTTGCGACCAGTCAGCATCTACCATTTTACGAGGCTGAGATTATCCTAGCTTTCCATCGACAGACGTAGGGTAGGCGAGCATCAGACAGTTGAATTTAGAACTGATGCGTTATGCGAAGAGTCAATCATGTCTATTATCATGAATCATTTTCAGCTTTGACATACTTTCATAATTCAATTCATAGCCTACGTGCACATTCAAGCGTGTGTCCAACTGCGTACCTTCATAGCATTTGATATCAGGTTAGGGTATCTCTGGGCATCATCTGAGGTTGCAGAAATTCTGTTGCTCAACTTTTCTTCACCGGACTTATTTTTCCGTGCCCACTACCCACCTGGAAATACGACGAGGAACATGACCTTCAAGGTTCGGATCGTCATCACCAACAACAAACCATCATCACTTACACCGTCAGATCGTCCGACAGGAGCAAGAGGAGGCATGGCAAAAGCGACCAACATTCTACAGTGCATATAAATGGGAGCTGGGATCCTTTGTTGGCCCCCTCACGTCATGGCATCGCTGTTTAATCCCGCTGCGGTCCTCAGCCACTGTGCATGAGAGGCGACTTATCACCAACAACAGTCTTGTGCTTGTGCGACTCGCTTTAGGTGTATGCCGTTTCGCCGTCGCATCGAACGATGGAGCAACATCGATAAGAAATTGTTCCTGACCCATCTTATCGCACTCGGATGATTCTTGACCCCTTTGAGCCTCCAATGGCCGAGAAGAGCAAGGGTATTCTCGAATGAGGTCAAAAGCTTTCCTAGCAGATAAGCTACTGTATCTAGGTACGGATACATGAAGTGCGCATGCGCTTGAAACCCCAGAAAACTAGACAATGTCAACAGCGAATCAAAGCTGATCTGTTACCGCCCGCTGACAATCCGCCTGAAGAATCGCGGCGTCACTAGACCAATCAGGGCAGCCTATCGCAACTCATCACCATCACAGCACAGCGTTACATCTTGAATGCTCCACAACCGACCTACAGTACAGTCAGTCTAATGGCTGCATCTCTTGCTCTTCCGCCATCCGAACCCCAATACATTCATTGCCCAAGAAGAGTTACCCGTCTTTTTGGAAGGTTGAGTCCAAGTCCAAGTTCCAGGAAGAGCTTGCCCAGATGGATCGGGTCTTTTGGAGCGTCCAATCCCAAGCCCTACTCAGACGCTCATCTTTTCCACCTTCATGGTTGAACCAACGGCTGTCGAGAACTTGGCCACCGAGAGCTATATCATCACAGAATTAATCTCTCGTCTCGTACAGCATGCACTAGCCATGATGATGCTACCTTTAGCGCTCGTCACGCTGTTATCTCAACCAGGAAAGGATTTCATGGTAATAATTTACTACATGGAAAGAAGCAAGAAACATGATCCTGGCTCTCATCAAGATCCCTGATCCAACATGTAGTACTCGAGCTCCATCCTGGTTCCTGACCCTTGAAAGAATCGACCCCCCGCCATCGTGTTTCTGCCTTTCTGGACCGTGGGTTTCTACTGTACTTCTGCATGTCACCCACCTTGATCACTCCGCCTGCAACCTGCGTCTGTTTTCCCAAATGTGCCGGCTCGCGGCTGTGTGACAGCCGGATGATCCACCGTGGGGAGACGGCATTTCAACAACCAGCCAATATCAGAGCTCCGTCAGCCGCTGGCCCCTTGAAGCTCTTTGGCCACCGTTCACAATCATATGTACATATGCTGTATGTTGACTCGTTTGCTGCACACTCTTCCCGCACGTCAATCTGAAAATCCACTTCCAATTCCCTAACTTCCCTACCCCTGCCCAGAGTGACAAGCTTGCCGCCGCCATATCACAAGAGACACCCACCATATGCAGTGCATTTGTTAGTACTTTTCCTGCTGAGCCTTAGTTCTGCAGCTCTACTGTTCTCCGCTAAACGGTGAGGATCTGATCGTCTGAGGCCATATATTCGGCCGCATGCCCTTTGAGACTCCACTGTAGCTCCCGCCTTTAAGACCCTGCTTCCCAACACCTTAGGACAAACCGACAGAGTTCTTTTTGTTTACCATTTCGACGTGTTACTTGTCTTTGCCTTTGCAGGTTTGATGAAATAATTTGGTATATTTGAGGGCCAACTGATAGTCTCATTCGTGCATACTCTACCGGCTTGCGATCTAGCGACTTGGATTCTTCGCCTCAACAGAACTCATACAGACCGACACACAATATCGCCTAATGTCGAATTAAAAGTGTTTTTTTTTGCGCTTTGTCGCCAATTTGTTATAAATCTTACTGGAGTTTCAACGCTGGTCGAAATGGCTCCCAACTCAAATATCCGCCACACCCTCGAAGAGGCCGCAAATAACATCTCAGGTCTAATCAAACGGATTTCTATACCCTTGACACCGACAAGCCCGCCGGGTCTCGTTCAAGCACATACAATCGATCCATGGGAGAAGTCAGGGAAATATGGTCGAGGATGGTCCTACTTTGCACTCGCCTTGATGGGCACCGTGCTCATCATGCGCGTCTGGCACTTTTGGCAAGACAAAATTCGACAAGCTATTTATAAGCAAGAAGTAGAGGAACATTATCAAAACCTCTATAATGCTGAGATTGAAGCCACATCTGGAATGAGAAGTGGTCAAAGTCAGCACTTCTTCCCTGAAGGCCACGACGCGATGGGCGAGAAGCACTTCCGACCCAAGGCGCACTTCTCTTCTGTTAACATCATCAATGACACGCTGGCTCTGTTTCGATGGATATTCTATCGCCCCATTCCAGACTTCGTATGGGGAAAACGCCGAGTCACATTCTCCTCTCTGGCAGTTCTCACCACTGTCTTCGTCACTCTTGTCTTTGTGGTGCTCTATTGCTTCCTGCAGCAACCTCTCTACTGGCAGAGCATTCAGTTTGGGTCACCTCCGCTGGCTATCCGAGCTGGCATGATCTCTATCGCTTTGACCCCCTGGATCATTGCGACCAGCATGAAAGCAAACCTACTTACCACTATTATTGGCATTGGCCCAGAGCGGCTGAATGTTTTCCATCGATGGGCAGGTTACTTGTGTTTGCTTCTATCACTTATTCACGCTATCCCCTTTTATATCCAGCCTGTTTGGGATGATGGTGGTATGGAAGTTTTTCAACGCCTGTTTCCTGGTGGTAGTGGCATCATCTACGGCACAGGTATTGCCTGTCTTGTTCCCCTTATCTGGCTATGCGTCGCCTCACTTCCTTTCATCAGGAGAACAGCTTACGAGGTCTTTGTGGTTCTCCACGTTCCAGTTGGAATGGTTTACGTCGGTCTCCTGTTCTGGCACACAAAGAATTTCCTCATGTCCTGGGCATATCTCTATACAACGATTGGCATCTGGGCCTTTTGCTATTTCTTGAGGCTTTTCAAGTTGAACTGGCTCAAGCCCTGGCGCATGTCTTTTATGGTTGGCGATGAAGCAGCCATTACTCTTATGGCCGAAAATGCCATCAAAGTCACTATCCCAACACAGATGAAGTGGAAGCCTGGCCAATACGTATACTTGCGAATGCCGGGGATTTCAATCTTCGAGAACCACCCCTTCACTATTTCTTCCCTATGTAGCGATGATTTCCCATCAGAGTACGGCGAGCAATACCGTGACTGCACCTTGGTTTTTCGACCCTACGGCGGATTTACACGCAAGGTGCTGGACACTGCCATTGAGAAAGGACCTTTCCATACTTATCGTGCGTTCCTGGATGGCCCTTACGGTGGCATGCGCCGCGATCTTGCTGCCTTCGACACCTGCATTCTTATCGCAGGTGGTAGTGGCATCACAGCACTCGTGTCACAGCTTCTCAACCTTATCAAAAGAATGAGAGATGGTAAGGCTATTACCAAGAAGGTTGTGGTGGTCTGGGCTTTGAAGCGACTGGAAGCTATGGATTGGTTTAGGGAGGAACTTCGGATTTGCCGCGAGGCCGCTCCCCCAGAGAGTGTTACTTGCAAATTCTTTGTGACCTCGGCTGTAAGATCGCGTCCAAACCTGGACGGCGCAAGCCCCTTCAACCAGAACAATCCAAATGGCCCCAACGGACCCAGAGCCCTGAGCCACATGTTCCATGATAAGCTGGATGGATTTGTCGCGGGTATCGCCTCCAAGAGAAACTCGGCCTTGATCCAATCTGAGGCTCAGGGGGACCCAGAGCGTGAGCGCGAGCTTCGTGCCGAGGATGAGGACCGCATTACTGCTCTTCCACAGCAAAAGTATCTCCAGCCTCATTCATTCCCACCTCCACCCCCAGGACCGCCTCCCACCAACCGGGAGGAATCTCTCCGAAGGCTTGAAGGGCATGGCTATCCTGAAGATAAGAAACCTCCGATCGACGATGTCGATGAATCTACAGTGAACGATGGAGAATTTCACTTCAGACCCATGAAAAATGACAATCCTCCTCAGTTCAACTACGCACCTCGATCACCTCAGCGACTTCCAGAATCGTTCCCCACCGAGGAAGAAGCATTCCCAGTGCGAGCTCCGGAGCTTGCACATCTTAGGACGGCCAACCCCGAGGCCGGAAGAACACGACCTACATCCACTTTTGGACCGCCATCTGGCTTCGATTTCGGGTTCCCGCAAACCCCAACTGAGTTCCAGAAGAGTCTGATGCGATTTGCGTTTCCAGTGCCTCATCAGATCGATGGAGGCTGGAGCGTCGAGTATGGGCGACCAGACCTGGGCTACATGCTCAAAGAATGGGCAACCGGAGGTGCTGATGGACGAGGTATTCTCGGCCGACGCACAGCTGTATTCGTTTGTGGCCCCCCAGCCATGAGAGTTGGTGTTGCTAACACGGTAGCTCGACTCCAGGCAGAGATCTGGGGTGATGATGAGCTAGAAGAAATCTTCTTACACACAGAGAACTACGCTCTGTAGGAGGCCGATAGCATTGGATGCACGTAATTTGGAGGAGGCTGTAATTTTACAAGTTGGCGAGGGAAAGAGACGAAGCGGAACAAAGAGATACCATGAGCGTTTTGAATTTTGATGACTTAGTATACCTACCTAGTACCTATCCGCACCTTAAACGATGTAAGGTGCACTTAGCTGGAACATGTGGCCATCGAGCATGAGCTATATAATATCCATCTATGAAATATTTACCACTACCTATTATGACAATTCATTCTGTCAAAACTCTGTCTGGCCCCGTGATTGTAAGAGAAGACATGGCATGATGGCATTCATGACAGATGGGGAAGAATATGGAAAGTGACCATAAGGGTTCATGAGAATGCCCCTCCCCCTCTGCCCCTCTTACAATGGAAGTCATGATGAGGCAAGGAGTTTAGAAGGTCGTGATTGGGGAATTGGATCAATTGAGGACCTTGGGGGTTGCAAAGTGACTGTGATTGCCCATTTTAGTAGGTATGATGAAGGAAGCAAGCACCTTGATGGTTTCCTTTTGCGCTTCAGTCGTGATGCGCCCAACGACCTAGGTAGGCAAGTCACGTCAAGTCAAGCCTCGAATCAAAGAGGTCCTCAAAGATACAACATCTCTCTAAACTCTTGATCATTGATAAAAAATCTTTTTCACAATACTCTCGCCTCCGAATACATACTCACTCTTCGTCGGTTTCCTTTATTGTCAAGTGCAGTATCGCCATCATACTTCTACGACCACTTACACCCTACGTACCATCTCGAACACTACCCCAGGCCTCGAATTCGATAATCAACAACAATGTCAGCGTGGCCCGAGACAGATCTTGAGAAGATGACCAAGGGATGGTCTAAAGCCATGGAGTTCTCCAAAGCCCGTCTCCAGCGTATTCATGATCTTGCAGAAGACCAACTTGACGACGCTATCAAGGCAGGTCACTTGGTTCTCGAAAACGTGTGCCTATTCATGCACGCCTGCGTAAAGCGCGGCCAGTATCGGTATGAAATCCGTTAGAGAGAGGTTGATCGCCAGCTAATAAATCCTATAGCCCTCCCCTTGGATTTTGGCAAGTCCTCCATTCCGAGTACGGCATTGTTGTCTATCCTTCTGCATGGCAAGAAGACATAAATATTCCCGGGATGGGCATAGACGTGACCTTCACAGAGGCATACCATGGTCACATCAGTAAGTTACCATTCCCTTTCAGTTAACCGTCTGCATCCGTTTCTATCTTTACTTACACAAAAAATAGTGATGTATGGTGGATCACGCACCAAATATCCTCCCCGCTGCCCATTTGAGTTCATGCAAGAACCTCCGCCAGTCTACCAGAAGGAAACACCTAAGATAGAATCATGATGGGAAGACGCAAACCGAGCTGATTCAAGGGCTCGGATACCTGACATAGCACAACGATCGTGGTTTTTTAGCGGGTGGGTTTGGCGATGGAAGTGCGCCTGGAGTACGGGTTTAAGTAGTCGAGGCATAACAGTCAAAGACGCAAAAGAGTCAAAGACGCAAAGTCGCAATCTCAATTTCAGCGAACGAATCTTTTTAGTTTCAAAGAACATCAAAAGAAAGAGTGCATTCATTTCCATGTCGTCGGGGTGTCAGAAGAATCGGCCGTCAAGAGTATAAGAGACGAAATACTTTGGTCATCTTATGCCGGCTTAGGCTAGCGTTTAGGCCACTTTATTTCTTTACCCCCAGCCTTAGAAGACAACTCTTCTGACACCCATTTGCATGTACTGTATGAGAATATTACGTTTCACGCTGTCCCACAGCTCCATCTCTGTTGGCTCTCCAGACTCCCTCCTCACCTTCGAACTCCTCCCGTTTCCATACCTCAACCTTATTCTTACACTCCTCCAACGCCTCTTCACCAGCTCTCCATGCTGCTTGTCGATGCGGGGACGATACAGCGATCAAGATGCTCTCCTCGCCGATAGGAACAGCACCAAGGCGATGGACCATAGCTACCCCACGGAGACCATGCTTATCACGAATGTCCTTTGCAATGGCAAGCATAGACTTTAAAGCACGAGGGTGGTATGCTGTGTACTGTAATTCCTTGACTGGTTTTCCCGCAAAGTTATCGCGGGTGGTTCCTGTTGTTGAGTTAGACTCGCAAGAACAAACAGGAGAAGATAGCAAATGCGAGAGCTTACCTGCGAAGAGGACAATAGCGCCAGCCGAGGGACTGCGTACACGGTCCATAATGGCTTGGGCGTTTAGGTGATCGTGTGTTAGAGCGACGTAGCAATCCTGGTCGGTTTGTTCCCAGACATCTTGAGTATTTTCTGTGTTGGCCATTTTGGAATGATATGTAGGTAGGTAGGTAGGTTAGTAGGTAGGTAAGTTATAAAGTTTATCTCTCAGTTTCTATGAGAGTATCGAGACCTCAAATTCAAATCATACCATTGTGGGTGCTGCACCCGTAACTTATCTTAAATCAGAACTAGACATGCGCTTTGAACTATTGATCTTGTAAGATAGATTTGCCTTGTCTGATAGTCTATATGAGTACCTATATAGAATTAATTGCTGATGCTACAAGCAGTCGTACTTGAACGTTCCTAACATCGCGCTGTAAATGACTAAGCCCCACCTGACGTAGGGAAACAGGTACGGTACGGATACGCCTTGACTTTTTCGAACTTTGATTCACAAACTCCTTATCTCACTCGTACAGTTTGATACCTTTATGAAACCAAATCTGTCTTTTATTTTTGCCTCCGAGGAAAACTACAAGCTGAACTGACTATGCACGACGACCACCATATGCGATCCTCCGATCGCTCGAGGGACGACCATCAAAGAATGAATAGTAACGACGAATATCAAGACCGAGACGCCGGCTACCGATCGCGGCAGGGTAAACACATAACCCGCGCCTCAGGCGGAGATGGGGCATTCGAGAAGGACCTCCATGGATGATATGAGCCTCGTAGCTAACTTCCCTACGGGACGGCGAGATCATTCCAGATCTCCACCCAAGCAAGATTTCCACGACGATTCTCGAGGAACAGACTCTCGGTACCGGGACAATGATGATTACGATTACGACTACCGATCTGGTAGCTACGACGACGTGTACTCAGAAAGAAGTGGCGGAACCCGGGAGACACGCTACAACGCTCGCGACGAACATGACTACCGAGGCATGTACGATGATGGCTACATGGACGATGACGATCAAGGGAGACGGCATCCCGAGGACCATAAGCACCAAAGTAGCAGAAGAACATATCGCGACCACGATGACCCTCGGCCGCGGTCCCCATCCGGAAGCCATCATCACCACCGCTCCAACAGTCCGACACGAGACGCCGGCAAACCCAGCGATACCGTCATTCTCGAAGGCCTGCCGTTTAGTATATCGTCGAATGAGGTTGGTACCCTACCGATTTAAACAAACTGTTTCAGCAAACAAACAATGGAGCCTCGTTTGGTTTTGAGAGGAAACACAATTACCCTGGAAAATATACCAATGTGTCGGTCCTATCTCTTCATCATGACAATGCTGGCGACAAAATACATATCTTTAAAAAGAGTCGACGTATCAGTTCTCAAGACTAATTCACGGACCTACAGCTTCGAGACCGTATCTTGAGCAACCCCGTTGCCGCCGACTTCCCGTCAATAGATCTTCGCATTTCCGCTTCCAAAGGTAAGCAAGACATGATATATATGTTGTTTTATATAGAAACTGATGTGCTCGAACAGGAAATCGTAGAGCGTTTGTGCAGTTTCAAGAAGTTGATCATGCTATTGCTTTTATGAGAGAGCATTATCCAAAGCTTCTTGTTGAAATGGCACACTCCACTGATGATGTCCCAGAAGGGAGATTCGATGCGTACATTCACTACGCTCGAAGTCGAGATTCGCGCGATGCAACAGATGTCCGTGGCATCCCTGGAAGCGATTGGACTTGCCCAACCGTAAGTAAACTCTCATCGTCGACTACGCAATTGCTGATTGGAGACAGTGTGACTTTTCCAACTATTCTACTCGTACCAAGTGCAAGATCTGTGGTGGCCCACAAGCTGGTAGGTTGGCTCCAAATGCGTTAGCAGTAGCAAAAGCTAACATTGTCGTGCTAGCTCCAGCATGGCAGTTGAGTCTTACAGGCATGGCAGATGCCTCGGATGTACCCGCGCAAATCCTTGTTGTCTATCCTTTAGCATCGTTCGTGACAGAGGACATGCTAGCCAACGATATGAAGCGTCTAGAGCTTGTGAAGCCTGAAAAGGACAAGGACACCTCGAACAGCGCACCGAAACTGAAGTCTACAGCACCGACTGGTGATACCACAGGCTACGGCGCCCGACCCGGGTCCCTGCATCGAGTCTTTCTCATGCGCGATGCCAGCACTGATGAATCCTTCAAATACGGATTTGCTGAATTTTGGACTGTGGAAGATGCCACAGCTGCTGTGACCAAGTTCCAGAAGTCGAGATCGTTCACTGTCGCCGCTTGCCCAGTGACGGTAGCGAGCACTCATATGGGCGTCTTTCTTCCTGAAGAGCGAGAGGTTGTACCTGCTATCGAACACATGTCGTTCAATCCTCTGTTCAACCCGAACCTTCGGGTCCGCTATAGGGATTATCATGTCTATCCCAGTCAGCAGATTATCACTGAGCAACCTCCCGCAGGCGAGGGGGAAGTGAAGGCGCGCGAAGAAGAGGCAGCCGATAAAAAATCAAAGAAACGCAAAGCAGAGGGAAGCATAGCAGCATTGCCCGCGAAGAAATCTGCGCCTGTGATGGCAGGCCGGATGGCTATGTGGCAGCAGAAAAGCAACGAGCTTCGTGAGGAGAAGGAGGCAAGGCCAGCGAGGCCAGGAAAGGCCGAATTCAGCGATGTGAATCGAACACCGCTACGTATAAACCTTTCAGGATCTGGTGTAGATGCCCCCAAACCTCAGAGTGCCATCAAGATCTCTATCTCTGGGACTGCGACTGCGAAGCTCGACACCCCTGAGATCACAGCTCCCGACAAGCAGGCTTCACCCGATGAAGTCGGTACGCCTGGTAGCTCCATGCAGCAAGCATCAGCGTCAGAGGAACCTCCAGTTTCCTACGTTGACCGCGATCGACTGATGTGCTTGATCTGCATGCGAAAGTACAAATCAGTAGACGAAGTCAACATCCATGAAAGATCTCGGAACCATAAGAATGCGACGGAAAACGAGGAGCAAGTCAAGGCTGCATTGCCCAGACTAGCGACGCGCGACAAGAGACTGCAGAAGCAAGCCCAGGACAACCCCGACATTGCCAATGCTACTTCCCAGTACCGTGACCGTGCCAAGGAGAGACGAGCCGTCTACAACCAACCCACCAAGCCCACGACCGCATCGCAAGGGAAACCCAAATCCGCTCCTAAGACAGAAGAGGCCAGACCGACCCCGAAGCCTGCCCAGTCCAAGGGAGCAGGTATGCTGGCCAAAATGGGTTGGTCTACAGGTGCAGGTCTAGGAGCCAATGGGGAGGGTCGAACTGAAGTCATCGAGACAAATGCCTATCAGGAAGGTGTTGGGCTGGGTGCTGAGGGCGGTAATCTGGGCGATGCAGCGCAGTTGGCTGAGCGCAAGACGAAGAACACCTACGCCGATTACGTGAACACTGTGCAGGACAAGGCACGGGAGCGATACAACAAGATGGGCTGAGAACTCGACTGACAGTGCCTGGATTCACTAAAGCTTGGGAATATAAATGGGCGGGCGTTATGGAGATTTTCTTTTTTAGAAGCACGGATTAAGAATGAAACTTGGCGTCTTAATAATACGATAGACTTAAGTAGTTTTGAAAGATTTCTTGTTTTCTATTGTCTAGTAATCCGAGCTACTGTCAAGATTGTACTAGTCTTACATGGAAACTGAGAGAAACATGTAAACGGGTAGATGTGACAGCGTTTTGTATGTATATATGTAGCCAGGGGTATCGTTTTATATATACAAAATATACCATAAATACCACAAAACCTTCTAGCGACAATTCATCTAACATGCTATTCTAATATGCTCACGGGATCTATCTTCTACGCTGTATGAATTATACCAGAATGCTTACAGAGCAGCCAAAGCAATACCCGCAGCTACGATGAGGCTCACCAAGGAAACGGGAGAAATGTGACCGGCAGCGTTCTCGGGCTCTGAGGAAGGGTTAGATAACAGAAAACTGGGCGAGGAAAAGAGTTGTTGATGACTTACCTGGAAGTCCGGAAACAGCTGATAGTTTGGAATTGGCGTCGAGGTCAACGATCTTTGATTCCTTACCATGGGCGGCCTCAGCGATTCCCACTTGCTTGTTTGCCAAATCATAAACGACATAAGCTGAGCGTAGGAACGTGTCGCCAAGAATCGTGAAAGTGGAGGTTTGTACTCCGTAGGTGCTGGAAGGTGAAATGCCAAACATGCAGACACCATCCCAGTCCTTGAAGTAATAGTCGAGACGGGGATCCTTGAAAATATCCTGGTTATCAGGGAATGCATTGACGATCATTTCGCTCATGGGGACAGAGATTGTCTTGTTTTCGAACTGGAAGTCGAAGTTGATGCCTTTGCCCTTGTCTTTTGCGTAACCGCAGTCTACAAAAGGGATGTTGACGTCTTGCACGCTGAGGACATCGAAGGCCTTGTAGATTTCCTTGACCTGAGCGTCCGGCATGAGACAAACGGTGGAGCCAGAGTCAAGAATCGCGACTGTGTTCTTCTTGAGAGAGTCCATCTTGATACCGTCTGGTTTCTTTGGTGTCTTGACCTCCAAACCCTTCAAGGCGACGCTGAAGGAGGTGACGTTGAGAGACTTGGTAGATTCGGGCAGCAGGGGAAGAGTGGCAAGCTCGCCATAAAACCTTTGGGTGTCGATGCCACCGAAGAGGACGGTTCCTTGATCGGAACTGAGGTCGTTCTGTGTTTGGTCAGCGATGGTTCAAGGAGTTTCAGAGTTGACTCACTAGCCAGAGACTGTAAGCAGCTGTGTCAATGAGACCCTGAGATACCATGTTATCGACAATGGCAGGGTATGACTTGTTGGCAGCAACGTTGGCAGAGAAGCCTAGGCCCATAATACCAGTTGGGCGAACAGACTTGACTGCAAGACCCAGCTGCTGCTTGACAGCTTTACCGCCTATGGTGACGGTATCATTGAAGTAATCACCCTCAATTCGCCGAGTGTCTAGGTATCTGATATCAAAACCATCCCGGTCAACAACCTTGAATGTACGACTCTTGTCAGGGTTGACTAGAGACTCAGTGTCAGTGTCGTCTCTTACTAGCTCAGAGTACGAGTATGACTTACAAGTAGTCATGCAGTATCCATTTGTTTGTTGCGCCTCCTTGCTATGGCAGAGATCGGTATTTTTGGAGTTGACCCAGGTATCGCTGCTTCCAGTATCAAGAAGGAAGCTAATGTTCTGGGGCGGCGTTCCAATCGAAAACTCGGCATAATATCCACCTCCAGTGATGTTATTCAGTGCCTCGAGGTCTAGAGTATCGCGTTTCTCGATGGAGGCGCCATGATGAAACCCGTTCTTCACAAAAGGAACAGAGACTGTGCCAGCAGAAGCCCCTACGGCGAGTGAAGCGAGGATAGTGGAAGTACGCATGACTTTGACTAACGGTCGAAACTCTGATAGTACATCCACTGATGAATCAATGTGGCACGCGTCGATCGGAGATTACAGTTCCAGACGGACGTCAGAGAGAGAGTAACAAATAAAGAACAAATAAAGAACAAACAGAAAGAATGAACAAGAATAAGCTTAATCCCACAATATCCTATCCCCAGAATCAGATAGATTAAAACTAAAAAAAGGGAGACGGGAGAATCGAGCCAAAGATAGGATAGTTTTGAGTGGAGGAATGATTGAATGGAAACTCTTTGACGGTTTATTTAATGAGCCAAGACTTGACGGTTAGACGGCATTGGCGGCGCCACTAAAAGCCAGGGACGGTTTAATTGGCTACTTATCCCCGAAAAGAACCTCTCTCATGGAGCGCTTTTAGCGGTGGGAACGCCTGGGGAAACGCTCTAGTGGCTGAGTGAATAGTGGAGGATGACGCTGTCAAATCCTTGGATCCTTCTATGAAACCTTCAACCATTAGTATTGACTTCCATTCCATGATATGGACCTCCGGTATATACTCCATATATTCAAGATCCCAGTGTTGTGAGTAATACCCAGCACCTGGTTTTAATCAGGAAGTTGAGACTATTTCCAGAGAATGATGTCCATATTTAAGACCGAGATAGTAATATTAGGTAGGTAGGTATGGATGGTATCAGTAAATAAAACGGACTGGGACGAACAAATAGCAAACTATAGCTTTGCAGACTTCTCCCCACCATCCTGCTTAAGCCGGACAACACCCTGCACAAAGTCAGTAACTAGTATTTCAAAACGTCACAGCCTAAAGGGACAACACGTCAAAACTCACCTCTTGGAAACACGTCGCCAACAAGGCTCCATCCTTGCCAAAGATCTTCTGCGTGACTACGCCCCTGCCATCTCCCGCCCACGGGCTCTCCGTCTCTGTGAACATCCACTCATCTGCCTTGACCGCCGTCGGCTCATGGAAGTAAATGCTGTGGTCCAGACTCACCATCATTCCCACGTGATCTCTCTTCTTCCAGTCCTCGACATCAGAGCCCATCCCTTCGAACTCGCACACCTCTTTGACTTTCTCCCGTGTCTTTTCATCCAGCGAGGGAACCTCTTCCGGCGAGAACGGGAAGCGCCATAGACCATGGAGACGGGACACCGTGCCGATGAAGTAGCTATCCGACATATAGGCCAGGGCGTTTAGATGTGCTTGGTGGCCTCCTGCAGCAGAGATCTTTTGTCGTGATCGCATCCACTGTCGGCTCTTACGGTCTTGCGGCTTGATTTTAGGGTCATTGGCGCCCAGCACCTCAATTCTATGACTCTGGAAAGGTCCTGTCCTTGCCCATTCTGGCTCACCATCCCAGTCATCTGCCGGTGAAGACACATTCTCGGGCAGAGTCGCCGCATGGCTCACTTCCCGCTGCTTCTTATCCGGGCTTACCTGACGGACGAAACTGATAGTCGTGGTGAAGATGCACGCGCCCTTCTGTCGTGCCTGAACCGTACGTGTCGCGTACGAGCGGCCATCGCGTACTCTCTCGACGTGATAGAGAATTGGGGTCTCAGATGAGCCAGCGAGAAGGAAGTAGCAATGAAGGGAATGCACCAAGAAAGTCTCTGGGACTGTCTTTTGCGCGGCAGCGAGACATTGTGCGATGACAGCGCCACCGTAGATACCACGAGCTCCGGGTGGCTGCCATTGAGGATGTGTGTTTGTGAAGATATCCTGTGCTTAATTAGCAAGTTGAGCTTTAGACATGAACAAAGAGATGGATATGATGCTGCACGCGTCTTGTGGTGTAGTAACTTAGATCGCACTATGTAGCTCGATGATGTGAAGTATAACTTACCTTTCCTAGAACCTTGAGCTCTGTAACGTCCAAGACATTCTCAATCAAAGACTTGTTTTCATCGTGCTCTGGCGGTCGGAGGAGCGTTGGTCTAACGTTTCCCTCGATAACGGTCATTCTATAACCTTGGCCGCGTCAATCAAACGCGTTATTACTATAACAAGTAAACTCGTAAGTTAGTTCTAGTAGGAGGTAGAAAGACGTAAAATGAATTGGGAGGAAGAATAAAACTGCAGACCGAGCGTTTTCATGTGCTGCTAAAGACGGACTTAGATAGGTTGATAAGAAAGACGAGACTCATACGTAACCCGCCCCTGACAAGTTTAAGGTTAGGGACAGGACAAGACTATTAATTTTTGCCGAGGTTCGGACCTCTGCCGATCGTGGGGTCGAGTCGACCGAGTTATCGGCCAACCCGTGACCGGCATTGGATGTTAGGTACTCAACACTCTACAGTACCTAGGTAGGTATAGAGCACTAATTCTCCGGTCCAGGAATTATAACGGCACATCAATAGTAGAGAGCAAAAAGTAAATTATTTGGCCGTCATGCTTCTGCGACATTCAATGCAACTCATACTAAACACTCAAGACCTCTCTTCTATACGACATTCCTCTTATCCATCTCGTACCCCGATTGTGCTTGTTTCCTTTGTTCGGTAATGATTAACAGCTTGGAATCCAAAAAATACAATCACCGTACTGTATCCTGGTCCTCATCCACATGATCTTCGTAAATCGGCTCCAATCCTTCCCAAGCAGCTTGAGGGTTGCCCTGTGGACCAGCCTTCTCGCGTTGCTGCCAGTACTTGCCGTTAAATTGCCAATACTCCTCTCCCGTAATCTCGCAACGTGCCTTCTGGAACCAAGCCGGCACAAACTCTTCACCACGTTCCTCTCGAAGACGTCTGCGAGCTCGCTGGGCGTTTTCTAGACGGTTCTTCTCCTCGGCAGCAAAGTCGTACTCTCCGTCCTCCATCGCACGTTGGTCAGGTCGGAGACGAGAGTCAGTAGGAGGAAGCCATGGCCGCAGCTGATCATCGATATGGTTGAATGTCAGAACAAATGGCGTCAGGTTGAAGGGAATACCAGCTGGTCGCTCGTTTGCCTTCCAGATGAGGTATGCCCGGTTGGGGTCAGTCAGACCGCCATGTGCCATATCGCCACCACTTTCCTTTGGCTCGTCGACTGCTGCCTCGTAACCCGGGGTTAGACGAGCATACAGCTTGGAATTCCAGCGACCACCAAGGCTGACGCGCACTTTGCCAGAGGCATCAGTGACCTTTCCAGATACTTGGTATGCGCTAGAAGCCTTCCAACCACGTGGTTTGAATTCGACATGAGCAACCTCCCCTGTTGTCCAATTCTTAATTTCCATGATACCATAGTTGTCGACAGTTGGGTTTCCAGTAATGATTCCGATGACTGAAGAGGTAACCTTCTTCCACGTGTATAGCTCTTCCTTACCTCCAGCATTAGGACGAAGTTTGAGGAACCATGTACCTAATGGGTTGATGTCGAAAGATTTACCGTAGAACTTGGATTTGACGGCCGATTCTCCCCAGTAGGACCACTTGGGCGACTCTGCGTGCGCAGCGCCAACAGGGGGATGGTGGCTGACTTGTTCGATGAAGAAGCGGTAGCCCTTGTCGGGTCGCACGTATTCAAACGTCTCTCCCAGAAGGGGGTTGAAAGGTTTAGCCACGCGACCAATGGTGGAAGCATATTCACTAGCAGCAAATGCGGCCACGTAGATGAGTCGCTCAATCGAGTCGGCTCGATCCGCGGCCAGGTCAAGTAGATCTGCATACTCCATATCCTCACCAGCACGGTAGAGGAGTGAAGTAGGTTCGTTGAACGAAACAGGCAAAGTCATCTTGGTCATATCTTTGCCAATCATAGACTTGAGAATTCCCTATTCCAAGTTAGCATCACAGTAACTTCGCTTTTACACAGTCCACTTACCCAGAGAGAAATCTTGGGCCGGTCATCGGCGTCCATCTTGAGCCTAGTTCGGATACCGTTCTCATAACCCTTATACGATGAGCTGATGTCCATTCCGCCAGACACCACTATATCTTGGCTTTTAGGCTTAATCTCGTCAGCAGGCAGTTCCGATACTTCAACCTGACCAGCATCCACGGCATCAAAGAACTCGTCCTCTTGTTCAGATTCGCTCTCGGACAAGTCCACGATAATCGTAGGCTTCCTTCGAACACTCTTCATTGTGGGTGGCTCGGGAGACGCTGGTCCGGGTGCGGGTAGTTTAGCTGCTGCATCTTCGAACTGTCCTTCCTCATCCTCCTTTTCTTTACCATCGTCCAACTCCTTCTCTACATGTGTGTCCTGCACGGGAAGCTCAGCCCCAACAGGGATGCCACTTTCGATGACCTCCCGCAGAGCCCTCTTGGTTGCCTTGCGCTTCTTCTCTGCCTCTCCGACACGAGCTTCCAGAACCTCCTGCTCACGAGCCACCTGTGCCATGCTCTCCTCCCACATGCGTCGCATGTTTGCCTCCCTGTCAAGACGGTATTGCCAGTAAGCATCACGGTCCTTCGATATCCGGAGCAAGTCAGCCACGAGTGTTGACAGACTTCGAATCGCAGCATCGTAGGTACCCAAGGCTTGAGATACGCTATTATCAGAAAGAGGCGTGTTGGGGTTTTGGTTAAGCTCGTTGATGAGGGCCTGGTGAACATGAGACATTGTTTCGAGCTGGAGCTTAGCTGACTGGGCGGTGATATTCAATGCGTCTTTCGTGGCGGTCGGCTCTTCATGGATGCTCATATCGTCGCCGTAGTCATCCTCGTCATCCATGTCATTGTTTGTTGGTGCTCCATTCTTGTGTACCCTTGAGGCACCCGCATCCGTCTCGACATCCACGAATTCGTCGTCTTCCAGGCTACCAGTAGTGCCAGGACTGGCCTGGCTTGGTCGTTGATCGACTGAGGATATTTTTGAAAGTGATCGGCTGGGAATTTGAGAGCTGTTTCTGCGTAGGTCCGTTACACTGGTACCCTCGCTATGAGATTCCTGGAGGGAAAGCGTGCTGGGATCAGCCTTGGCCTGCCTCAAAAGCTCTGCGCCACGAGCTGCTCGTTTCTCTTCCTCCTTTGCCTGATCCTTGGACCACTGAATTGAATTGTTGAGGGCCCAGAACCATCGTTTGGCCTCAACTTCGTGATTTGCCTTCAAAGTATACTTGACTGACGATTTTCCATGGATTTCGAATTTTGTCTTTTCGTCGGGACTCATATGAAGCTTGGCAATTCGCATATTGATAGCTCCACGGCAGGCCGAGCCTGCGTCGTCCTGGTGCTTATAGTAACTGAGAACACCATCTTCGAGCACGAACCAACGCAGCTGGTAACCCTTCCTGTAGTTGGTCCATTTCTTGAGATAGCCCTTCATCTCACGGGCCTCTCGTCCAGCGAGAGGGTCACTGGAGGTAGAGCCTGGGGTGCCTTGAGAAGCAGCCTGTCCAAGCACTGCTTTCTCTTGGATTCCTCGTTGGGCAGCAACAGCTGCAGGAGACTTCTTGAGAATAGCTTTTGTAGCGTCGTCACTGGTGACGGACTGGGGCAGCTTGCCCTTACGATCGCGACGGAACGGGTCGGCACCGTGGAGGAGGAGAACCTGAATAAGGTTGGTATTTTTCTTTCGGGCAGCTTCGTGAAGCAGTGTCCCGCCAGTCTGAACTGTGACAGGCTCGGATGCGAATTCGGGGCTGTTGATGTCGAGAACAGTCTTGACACGATGTTCTTCGAGAACTCCAGCAAGTGCGCCATAATTGCCCCGCGCAATCAGCTCTTGCACTTGCTTGACCTTGGCCTCGGCAAAGAGTGATCTCGAAAGCTGCAGAAGCTGGAAAATCTCGGGGTTTCGTGCTACGTCGAGTGGCAATTTGCCTTGGGCGTTTGCGATAGCATCGTTGATGTCCTTCTGTTCCAAGAGGAGCTTCACCACCGTGGTTCTGCCCTGGATCGCAGCCAAGTGAAGCGGGGTGTTCCCATCCTTGTCACGAGCGTTCACGTCGATCGATCCCTGCCCATCGGACAAAACGTACTCAATGACGGGGAATTCAGCACATTGGATAGCTAAGTGGAGAATTGTAGTATCATCGAGGGCACCTGTGGAAGAGCCGTTTACCGAAGAAATGCTCGGGCGGGGGGCGTTTTCGGCGGTTTCGCGAATGGCACGGGAGATGGATGAGGTATCGCCACTTCGTAGAGCCTCGACAAATCTAAACTTGCGGACAGATTGCTCGAGGCTTGCAGTGCTCTTCTCGGCAGCAGGCGATGCGACGGTCTGCTGAGGCTTGGGTGGTTGCGAGTGGGAAGCCGTAGGAGAGAGACCAGCCGAGGAGACGGATTGTTTGGCGGCGTGGCCACGGGGGCTCTGTTGGTGCGCCATGGGGTTGATCGGGGTCGGGGTCGAGGATGAGGGAGTTCGCCGAAGCCTCCCGTCTTCGGAACCTGACTCTTCGTCTCGAGTATTGTTGCGCCGCAGAAGAGAGAGGGCGGCAGCGGATTTGGACCGCTTGTGGGTGCTGAAGACAAAAGATAAACAGCGGTCAGTAGGTGGAACGATTTTGATGCTGGGGTGGTTGGTGTTGGTCAAACAGTCCAGAGTAAGGCAAGGCCAGACTCGGAGGGGAAGCTAAGTTTAAATAAGAAGAGAAGCATCCAATGTCTGATGTGGGAATGGACATGGACATGGACACAGATACTGTAGGTAGGTGCATGCAACCAGAGGGAATGCCGAATCAGTCTGGGAGGCCAAGCAAGGTGGATGCGGATGCTTTATTTGGTGCTGTAACAGTAGGAGGTATCACTAAGTTATCATTCAACTCACCTATCGCCAATGTCAGACATCTTGGCCGACGTCTCCAGCTACCTTGACTGCTGTAGGGGCCAGATGCTGGATGTGCAGCAAGGTAGCGCGCCCGCTATAGTGTCGATAACAGGGGTTGTTTTGGCCAATGCCAAGAATTTGCGTGTAGATACCGTTCTCTGGTGTTGTTGGCGAGAGAGAACTGAGGGTTGATAGTATGTAGGGGGAAGGATTGAAAGTGGCAGGGTAGAGACAATCTTGGTTGATGAAGTCGTCAGGTTAGTTTTAGCTGATCAAACAACGTTGTCGTTACGGATACGATACTGGTAAGGCAATAGAGTTGATTGAAGAGGGGCTTAGTACTAGGTACCTATGGAGATAAGTTTTAGAGCTTCACGCCAGGTGGAGATGGATATTCGCCCGACACCCTCGAGATCAGCCACCACTGAATTGACAACCTTGCCTCCGAAAGCAGAAGAAATCAACCTGATAAGTTGAGATGGTAGCATTCACCATACATCGGCTATTTCTTCATCCTATTATATCATGGCATAAGTCAATGTAGTACTGTAGCCAAGCACTGCCCTGGATATTCGTCACCTTTCCAGAACCCGATGCCCCTCAGTCTGTCACTGGACGGGCTGTTTCAAGACCTTCCACCATTAGCCCATTAGGTAGAAGCTTCTCCTCATATCCAATGACGTCTTTAACATCAACCAAGCAATACAGTACAGGACCGTACAGTACTGTAGTACCTAGCTCCGAGTCTTAATTAGGTACGTACCGTAGTTGAGAATAGACTGCCAAGTGCCAAGAATCTATTTAATAGGTACAACCATTCAAGGCATGTGATACCAAAGGATGGATGTTCCGGTTATGTTTAATAGATTCGCCTCAATTCTATTTGCGAGATGCATACGTCTACAGCACTGTAGTGTGTAGGTCCCTATCATGCTCAAAACGACGATCTAACACAGAACAGGTCATAGTCGCAGCCGCTGACGTTTGCTTCTGCATTCAGAAACCCAGCTTGTGACTCTTGGCCCGGGTCTGTCAAATATCAAAACAAAAATAAACAGCGCATCGATAGGTAAGCGTCAATTGATAAGCAAGTATAGTACTGTGGTACTGTAGTGGTTACCACTCAACATCAATATGCGATACAGTGAAAGCTGTTTAGTACTGTACAGTCAAGTGAGACATTTCGAAACATCGTCATGTTATTGCAGTTGTTCCTGCATTAGATATCATTTCTAGCCGTAAGATAGGTATGTATTCATTCTATACACATTAACATAATAGGTGTGACATGAAGTGGTAAAGGTTGCCCTCTACGTTAAAGAAGGTATAGTCAAGAGATCTCCGGTTTTCTAACCAAGGAAGAAACAAAGCGAAAAAGGAAGGAGAGTGAGTGTAGTCACACTAAAAGGCGAATACTTGCAGAAGAACAAGACCTGCAAGTGCAGTCAAACCGACGGTCATCGAAGATGCACCGGCAGTGACGGGGGTGAGGTGAGCAGGAGTATGAATCCCAACAGGAGCCTCTTCGTCGTGTCCGCCTGTAGGAGCCGCGGCGCCCGAGGGTTGTTCGCGCGCCGGCTGCTTGTATGTAGGCTTAGCCTGCCCAGAAACACCAGGCTTGGTTGCGGTCTTGAGCGTGGCCGGAGGGACGACAATGCTGGTGTAGACTGTGCCATTGAGATGAGGCCCAGCTGTCAAGGGTTTGGGGAGTTCGCCAGCAGGCTTGTAGTCCTTAATGCCCTGCGTCTCCTTTGCAGGCACAATGGTTGTGGTCCACGAAGCGATCTCGGTAGTGACAGCGCCGACCTGGCAATTGGGGTTCTCAGCAGGACACTGAGCGACGGTATGGACATGGCTCGTGTAGAGAGTCTTGATCTCATGGTTGACAGGAACATTGGTAGGAGCTGACTTGACCGCCTCGGTTACAGGGCAGACAGTAGTGTAGACGGGGATAGTCTCGGTGGTAACAGATCCGTAAGGGCAGTTGATAACATCAGGAGCGCATTTGGTGACTGTGTGGACGCTTGTACTGTATACAGTCCTGGTCTCGTATTGGGGAGGAGCAGCATACTGAGAGGCATAACCGGTAGGCTCAGCCTTAGCAGTGACTGGGCACACAGTCGTGTACAAAGGAATAGTCTCAGTAGTGACAGATCCATAGGGACAATCGATAACCTCAGGGGGGCACTTGGTAACCGTATGAACTCGGGTAGTGCAGACAGTGCTGGTGGTCACGCTGATAGCATTCGTGTTTCCAGGGTAGTTGGTGTAGATGGGTGATCCCTTGGTCGTGACAGAGCCCGAATGGACAAGTGTAGCAGGGTTGCCGTATGTCTGAGTGTACGCAGGAGCACCGGTTGATGTGGCGTTCCAGCCCCTGAAGGTGCCATAAGCCGTCGAAATAGTGGCTGGTTCAGTCTCTCCATCCGATGCAGTCGATTCTGGAACTCCCGAGACATCTGTAAGAATATCTGCAGTTGAGGTGGAAGCAGCCTCAGTGACAGCGGAAGCCTCAGTGATCGCAGTCAAATCAGACGTAGCAGAAGAGGCATCACTGCTCAAAACACTGCCGGTTGCTGAAGCCTCAGTAATATCAGCAGAAGATTGGGTGGCTGTCGCGGAGATATCAGAAGTGGCAGAGCCAGCAGCAACGCTTGAAGTATCTGCACCAGTGCTAGCAGACGTTTCGGTAGAAGCAGTAGCATCGGTAGAAGCGGTGGCATCGGTAGAGGCAATAGAATCAGTAGAGGCAGTAGCTTCAGTAGAAGCAGCAGCATCAGTAGAAGCAGTAGCATCGGTTGAAGCGGTGGAAGAGGTAGCATCAGTGGAAGCGGAAGCGGAAGCGTCTGAGGTAGCCGTGGTGCCTTCAGTTGAAGAGGCATCGGTCAAGGAGAAGTCGGAGGCAGTGGTGTTGTCAGTCGTAGTAGTATCCTCAGTCGAAGAAGCACCAGTAGTTGTATAGACACCAGATGTAGTGGTAGTATCAGCTGTAGTGGCTTCAGTCGTGGTGACCTCGGTTGTTGTAGCATCAGTAGAGGTAGAGGCCTCTTCCGTAGTAGTGGTCATGGCGCTGGTGGTGGTGGTGGGAACTGGCACAGGCTCACAGCCATACTTGAGGGCATCCATTACGTGTTCGTTATAGCTCTTTCCGTCAACAATGTTGCCAGCTCCACGGGTCAGGTCCCAGAGAGAGATACCACCAAAATGGTCTTTTTCCGTAAGTTCGCAAACAAGATCCTTCATGTCCTTAGGCTCGAGATAACCTCCACCTGGGGCAGCGGCTGCGCTAGCAGGAAGACCGACATACAGCTTGGCTTCTTTGCTGAATTCGCTCTCCTCAATGATTTCAACCCACTTGTCGTAGTTGAACCCTTCGCCGACAAGACCCTGGGGCACGGCATCACACCAAGGATTGTTATAAAATTGAACAAAAAGAGCATCGAACTTGGCTGACTGAATCATTTCCTTCATGTAGAACCATTCATTCGAAGTTGGGCACTGGGGCGCACCAGTAATAATGAGTCCGTCATCGAGTTCGCGGAGTCGGTTGATCATGGCAATGTAAGGACCGTTAGCTGCCAATTGTTAGTAGATATTCGGTTGCAGATATATTACCTGGCCACTCACGAAGATTATGCTCAATATCAAAGTCGAAACCATCGACCGCGTTGTAGATAGCATTGCCATCCTCATCAACACTGTCAAAGGGCCGAACAAGGCCTGAATACTCATTGTGAGGACCGAAGGCCTTGTAGAGGATATCGGCAAACGCCCGACCGTTTTCATCGCTTGTTACTTTATAGTTACTGGCTCCGTCGTTGTAGACGCCACCAATGCTCAGAAGAATCTTGACGTCGCGATCTTGGCAGTATGTTATGGCGTCTTTGATTGTCTGGCACTCATTGAGGAGGTTAGAGCCCTGATAGGTGCCAGCTGCGCAATGCCCAGCAAAGTTTGTACCAGGTAGGCCTGATGAGCTGTGCTCAGGGGCTTGGTTCACGAAAGAGAGTGTGACATATTCGGGTCGAGTGTCACAGTAAGACGTGAGAGACTCCGATCCGAGTTGACCCTATAAAACGTACTCAGTGGACAGCTCGTCTAAAAACAGGAAGCGCACATACCCAGTAGCCGTTAAGACCACCGAAACCAGAAGCTTGAAAGATAGGGGCCACATCCATGGTGAATGTTTCAAACAGTATTGCGTGAAAGACTGTAAGTTGGCCTAGGCCAGTAAAGAATGTGTAATGATATACCGATCAAAGAAAGGACGCAAACCAAAGTTTGCAATGAGGCCTAGAACCGAGCCGTCTCCAAAAGTGACTGTCAATAGGGTTGATTGAAAACAACAAGAGCAAAGAAGGGAAGACGAGGGAAAGCCATATATTATAGAGAGCTACTCTACTCTGAGCAAGGGGTTGCTGGCTTTGGACGCATCTCCTAGTCACCGTTGGTCCAGCTACTGGAAGCTAGACACATGGACCGGATATTGCCTATCTTGGACATAGTTAATGTACTGCTCTTACGAGAAAATTGACATGGACTTCTGGGATTGTCGATGGGGGCCAGCTTGACGTCGGCCGCGCTGCAAGAAGCAATCTCCACCAGAGAACAGTACTGTAGAACAAGTCTAGCCTAGAGGCTGCACGCTTGTGCAGTTCAGACAGCTGAAGCTGTTAGTCAGTAGACTATCGTTTTCAGGAACAGGCTAAACGTTGGTCGAAAGTGACGAACTATTGGAAAAATGGGCGGCTGAGCCGTGCAACCGATACGCCAAGATGAGAATGGAGAACGGAGATAAAGCTAAGGTGCGTGAATAAGCCCATTCCGTGACGCTATGAGGGGAGAATAATGGATATTTGATCTTGGCAAGCAAATGAATTCGGTTCAGTACCACTCGGATAGACGCCTAAGAGGGTCCTGAGTCGCGACGCCAGCGTTGGGAGGGTTCCGGTGAGGGTATCGTCTGTAAGGGGCATGTTGACTGTGGATGTATGGATTTCATGTTAAGCAGTGTTTTGAGTACCTAGCTGAGCTCCATGATATGGCTGTCAATTGTCAGTTGAACTGCATCATCATTTGATTCGAGATACCAACGATACTTGGCTTAGACCGACATCAAAGACTTGTCAATTCTCCAAGTTCATTCTCTGAAGAAGAGGTTAGATTGTGACGAAAGAAGCTGAAGCTGAAAGGGTTGTCGCTTTGGCCGTTGTTGGTTCTGTTCTGTCTGTGTCTATACCCCTGTCTAGAAACTTCACGTGGAGTCGTCGTCTAAACTAAGCGATGCGGCTAGCGGTTCCTGCATTTCGGTTGACCAATAACATGTTGTTAGAGCTCGAGTCATAGCTGTAGGGCTTAAATCATAGCGCAGACATTGGAGCTATCTAGGTGCTACGTATTGGATCTTCTAATGTCACCGCTGGCTTAGTAGTAGTAAGTTCAGGTACTGATTTCCTCTTTTGGATGTCCAGCTGCATTACCCCTGACAGCTCCGGAGGTTTTGGACCCAAGATTGATCACTAACTAATAGTATAGAGTCCAGTACAATATGGCTAGTCTAAGGGTCTGACGATAGACCCAGGTAGGACCCCTCGGCCGCTGCCCACGTTGCGACACCGCCGATCGGAGGGGTTCTTGTTCCTCTCTCCCTTGTCGTTGATCGGCAATCCTTTCGCTTTCTTCCGAGAACCCTTGGACTACTCGAGTGACATCAGATGTTGACTCCTCCACTACATTCTTGGAGCTTGGTGCATCATATAGCTAATTGCAACATGACTTAGGTGGCCATAATACTCAGACAGACAATAAGGAGAAAAAAAAAGGAGCTCGTCACTAGTCTGAGGCCTCTCTCGCTTGGCTTGACGTCAATCGTGGCTTCACGTTCTTTTTTTCTTCCGATGAGCCTAGAACCCATAGTTTGCTCGCTCAACAATAGACGCTAGCCAACGTATCAGCTAGTCCAATATTTGCCAATATTTGTGTTTTGCAACATCTTAAACATGCGATGATTATAGTGCTCGTTAGTTATTGCTTTTATATCTCCTGCATGGTCCCCTGTGCGATGTGTCTACTCTCAGGTTCCTACTCTTGCTACTGGTCTTACTTATACCGCCTTTCGTTGTTCCGACTCTGATACTGATACAATCTTCTTTCCGCACCGTCTCATACCAAATTCCACTGTTTACTTGGCGGCAGTGTCAAATCCCTGTCACAGGAGACTGGGTACCCTCGCGATCTCGGTTCAACATATCCTGCTGGGTTTTCAGAACAGATGCTTGACGATAATCAACAATATTTTTATGGATTCCCATATTATTGGACTCGCTAGTTCTCTGGCTCTCAGATCCTCTCGTCATATCCTGTTACACTCTATCACATCTCCGACTGGCCACAATACTGATTCACTTACAAACATGACCAACGGGTGGAGATCCATGAGCGCTCAACGATGCTCCAAAGCACGTACGAAATCCGGTCCACAAGTTCAACAGCTTCATGTCACCTCAGTCACACCGTTGGACGGATTAGCCTTTTTATTCTCGCCATGTAGGGCATAACAGGATGCTGAACCATTCTCCACTGTGGGTTAATCAAATGGAACAACTACTTGTTGGCATTGTCGATCTCATAACACTTGTGTCAGGGGGTGAGTTGGTATGGCATAATCATCCACTTGTTGGTTCTAAACATCACTACTTTAAGTCAAAGGAGATTGGAAGATTTGATATAGAGAATTTCATTTTACAGATCCGCGCTAAATACATTCAGAAAATTCTATCGGGCGATACCGCTCACCCATCCATATTGTACGAATAGGAAGCTTGGCTTAGTCCAGCGTTGACAACCTGGACTTAAGCAGTATCCAGAACGATAACCTCGGCCTCGACCTCTCCAATGCTTTCCACTGCGAGTTTGTCACCGGCGTTGACACCCTCGATGAAAGCACCATCGCCTTCAAAAAGCTCAGCATCCTCCCGGCCATCCAGGCGGATCTTGGCCTTTCCTCCCTTAGTCATGGGCAGGTGCACATACACCTTTCTCTTGGTCTGCTCAGTGGCACCTCCTCCGACTGTCCACTCAAACTTGTTGGTTGGCTCGATGATGCCAGCGCCCATAACAAAGTCGGCGTGAATGGGGATGGTCTCGGGGATGACGGGCTCGGCGGTCTTCTCTTCCTGAGCAGTAGCATCCTCACCACCCTTGAGGGGGCTCAGAATCTTGACAAATCCCTGTCTCTTGGACTCATCGCTGAAGTGACGGGTGTGGTATCGGGGGGTAAGACCACGCTTCCAGGGGATGGCCCAGATCTGGAGAAAGTGCACAGTGTCGGTCTTGTGCTCGTTGAACTCTGAGTGGGCAATGCCAGTTCCACCCGTAGTGAACTGAACATCACCACGGTGCATGCGGTAGAACTTGTCAGACTGTCCTCCCTCTTTGCCCTTGGTAAGCATTGAGTCCCGGTGTGTAAGCTCTCCTCCAAGGATATAAGAGAAGATCTCAAAATCGCGGTGAGGGTGTGTTGGGAAACCCGAGTTGGCCTTTACACGATCCTCATTGAGGACACGAAGAGAACCAAAGTGAGTAAATCTCGGGTCGTACCAGTCAGCAAAACAAAAAGAATGGTATGTGTTGAGCCAGCCATGATCGCTGTGTCCTCTATTGCTGGAACGGTGAGGAGTAATCTTTGCTTGACGGAGCGACTTGGACATGTTCTTTGCAGCGTTGATCATTTGACTCTGATGAGTTGTTTCGACTGTTGACGTTTTGTCCGGGTGAATGAAGTTTGTTGTGAGTTGTTGAAGGTGATTGATGTAGTTGTTTGCTGGTGAATAGATGATGATGAGGATGGAAATTGCAGCGACGAAAATCGCAATCAAGGGACCGGAGCGAAACATATATAGACAAATTCACGGAATTCACGAGAACGTGCCTGTATTCGAATGGACAGAATTTGAAGTTGATTGAAAAACGCTGACAAGATATAGCTAATTGTGTTTTGCCATTGCCATGGCATCACACATCGACTTTGTCATGATTGCTCAGCGGATTGGTCAATGATTGACGGTTCCAAAATGTGGGGGTGCATTGGAAAGATTTTAGTTGATTATCTCAGGCTTACAAAAGATACGACTAATGGGTGATACTCACGTGACCAGAGAATCATTGCTGCTAATTAAGCCTGGAGTTCCACTTGTCGCCCACCATGACTCTCTCCAATGATGAAGCTCTAGTTACAGTAAGTGCCTGCTAGAAAACAGTTTGGTTGGTCGCAGATAAACCCAGAAAGAGACGTTGATACGAGGCGTAACTGTGTTCTGGGTTATTTCCCTTTCAGTAAGACGTTAGCAGGTGGCTGGAAGTTTGAATTGGAATCTCATAATTAATTGATCAACCGTCCAAGCTGATTGATATCCGTAGATGACTTCGTGAAAATACCTGCCAGCCACCACCTCATCCCTTGAGACAGAAGATCAGACTGTCCAGCAACAAACAGGGAGACCCGCTCATAGGTACGTTCGCCAATCAGCAATGGTTCCAAAGAACTGGGAGACCGGGTTTATTGTCTGGCCATCCCTTCCCTCCACCATGACGCAGAGAACGGACCTGACACTTGGATCCCAACCTCTTAGAGAACAAGACAGACATATCCAACACCAAGACCACCTGAGATCCTGGTCTTTTTTAATTGTTTTTTTTTTATGTTGCACGTACCTTGCATGAAAAGGCAGGAGATACGATACAGCTCGTGCCCTTGCAGAGTCTGTTCTGTCCTTGGGCTCTAGGGGCTGTTTGTGGGTCGGGGATCATGCTTCTGCTGGTGTAAGTTACTTTTGCATGATTTGCAGTTATCGACGGTAAGAAAACAATTCAAAGTCGGCTGTTGTACTTCAGCTGGCTCAATCTCACGAGGTAGAGATTTTTTGTTCTTTCTAGTCACTCTGTAGTATATCTAACGTCTCACTATATATGCCTTCACTCACCTCGACTTGTCTTCTGTCAAACCATTCTATCAAGCTCAAAGCGAACCTAAGTTCGGTCGGTCGAGTTCAAATCAGGAACGCTAGTACCTGAAACAGTCAATATGCCTCTTTGAATCCTTGGTTGGATCTCTAAGTTTTCGCTAAAATGAGATAGAAAGTGAAGCTGTTTGTCCCAGATGAGCTGTTGAGGTGGTTGGTATTGTCTCGGACCCCTGTCAATCATGAGTGGAAAATGAAATAATCTGGGGTAAGACAAACGTCATATTTGCCAAGGGATAACATGGCAAACAATTGCAAAGCAAAACAAGCATGGACTGGGTATAATGAATTTGACGAGTATCTAGAATACCTAACGTTAGTAGACTCAATTGACTTTTCCTAGCTCATATGCATCCGTCATTAGACTTTCTTCTAGAGAAGGTGTGACTGTGACACTTCAAGCCGTGGATAGCAAGCTCCCGCCGGGCCGTATGATCTAATCCAAAATAGGTCTAGTTGAGCTTTGCGCTGGCCTCGCTCGCTGTGCAGTGACAACACAGCAGGTATGTACGTTAGTAGGTAGCTGCTGCATCATGGAAACCCGACTTTTCTGTGTGCCCAACATCTCTACTCTTTCCTACACTCATAAAAGCCTCTCCGGGTCTCAATCCAAGACTTCCAAGTCATCTCGACTTCATTCACTCGGATTTTACAGTTTTTCTTTTTCTGCTCCTAATAGTAAGTCATGTCCTCTCTGTCTAAACTCTGAACCCTCGTCTCAAGACATCCAACGTTGGTGGGGCGCGGGGGGCTGGGAATAGTATTACTATCATTACCAGCCTCTCCAAGGAACCCAACCTCGCCCAAAGGAGTCTTTTTAGTCCAACCATATCTCATACTTTCTTCTTAGCCTGCATTATGCGTTTGCTGTTTTCTCTCTAGAATCCTGTTCCGTGCTACCAATTGGTTGTAATTGAAAAAAAAAGAGACGAGTGAGCGTGTGGAGCGCGAAGAAGTCGGTCTGCATCTGCAAGCCAAGTTTATACCCTCCCTCCCAATATCAGAACAAAAACAGGAATTCATTCAAACAAAACCAGCATGAACTTCCAGAACTTCAACTTCGACTTTGTGGAAGGATCTCGTACGTGACACTACACACTCTTTTCCCCAATCATTGATTTCGGACCCAACATTCGCTATACAATCTGCATCTCACCTACAACCCACTATCGGTGTCGCTGACGGGTAAACCCTCACAGGTCAAGGCCCTCCAAAGAGACAAACTCCAGGCCAGCAGTCAATCGACGACGACGATCGATCGCAACCAATTCTCCATCCTTACTATGATCTTAGACAGCGTGTAGGACGAGATTCCACCAACCCTTCAGCATCACCGCCTGCTGCTCTCTTCTTCGCTCCTTCACCTCCTTCGTTACCTCCATCCAAGGTCACGGCATCATCAGCTGAAATCTACGGCCCAGAGCGACTCTTTGGCTCCGAACTTCCTGGAGGCTTCACAGCGCCTACACCACCAACACAAACGCATCAGGCCGTTCCACCAGTGCCTCGGTCTGTTCGAGCTGCTCGAACCGCTCCTACTGCCCCCAATCCTACTGCTCCTGCAACTCGTCCTTCGTCTGTCCGCTTCGACGAGGCGCAATTGGCCATGTTCGCCGCTGAGAACTCAGCTCGCATGGCGAGCATCAAAGATGAATTGACGATAGCCGCTGGCAAAGTCACTCCTGGTGTTGACGATACCCCTTACATTCAGTATGCCCTCGAAGCTCTGACGAGAAATCATGGTGGCCCTGCTACCGCGCATTTCCCCTCCGGCTCATCTAATGACTGGGAGGAGGATTACCCGCAACCAAGACGGTATGCAAACGATGAAATGGCACACCATCAATTAACACGCCCGGAGCCCGCTTACGTTGAAGATCGTTTACCAGAACCGATCGAGACGCGCGCTCCCCGAGACGAGATCCCAACCGGGATGTTCCACGCTGCACCGGCGGCTCGTCACGACGTACCAAAACCTCCTAAACCACCAACTCCCTCGAGCCACTCTGAAGTCGATCAGTTCGCCCAACGGGAGAAGTCTCGCCCTCGATCTATTCCCATCGACAGAGCGCATCCTCCGCTCACCTTCAAGCCCGCTATTCTTCAACCAATCTCCATGAGCATCCTTGCGCTACTGTGTGTGCTCATGGTCGCCGCTCTCATCTTCTGCGCTGTCTACTCACAGAAGGAATACGGATTCACTCCGTATCCCGGAAGTATCTACAGTGGCCAATACTTTTTGTTTCGTATCCTGCCTCAGATTTTCGCAGGAATTATTCTCCTTTACGCTCAGTCTGTTGTGACTGCCTCAATGCGAACACTCCCATTCACAGCCATGGCTGATGCCGAGCCCCGAGCACGATATCTCGCACTTTTCCGACGACTGTATCCTCTTACCTTCTTGCTACCCTCGTTGGCAGGACCCTGGCAATTCCAGTTCTTCAGCGTGTGCACGTGGCTTGCCAACTTCACTATTCCACTAATGAGCACAGTTTTCTCCTGCATCTATCAGGATGGGAACTGGATTTGGGCTGCAGTCCAGGGCGTCGTGTGGGCTCTCGTCGCTCTTTACATCCTGTTGCTAATTGCTACCATGATTCTGATGATGTATTGGTTTAAGCGATGGACGGGTCTCATGTGGGACATCCGGTCCCTAGGACACCTTCTTCCTCTACTGAGCCAAAGTAACACTACCAAAAGCTATGAAGGCGTGGATGTTGTTCAGCGAAGCTCCCTATTCCAGGCTCAGCTTCGAGATCGCCATCTCGACCGACTTGGATACTGGCAGATGGATGGCCCACAAGGTGGCATGTGGTACGGCATTGGAACTGTGGGCGAAGAATCTCAGGGTGACCGCAGCACCTATAAAATCATCCCCAAGAAGGCCAGCTACAACATTTCACCTGCTTCATCCCGTGATGACCTCGAGGCTGAGGTTCGCTATGCGCATTATAGGTACTTGCCCATTGCCCTACGCACTCCTGTCATTTTGAGCTCAGTCATCTTTATGACTCTCTTCATCTTGGCTATCCTTGTGGTCTCTTTCTTGCCGCAGACCAGACTGGATCAGGGTTTTTTTCCTCAAGTCCAAGCACGACCCAACAACGGATCTTTCTCTGCAGCCAACTTTCTCTACGCCTTTGTCCCTTCGATTTTGGGCATGATAATGTTCCTGCTCTTTCAAAGTGTCGACCATGCTCTGCGTGTTCATCAACCTTGGGCAGATCTATCTAGATCCTCTGGTTCAATCGCATCCAAGTCCATCCTTGCCGATTACGCCGCGTGTCTTCCATTCCAATGCACTTGGAAAGCTCTTCGTAATGGACACTGGCGTGTGGCAGTAACGTCTTTCATGGCTGTCATATTCATATTCATCCCCATTCTTGCTGGCGGCCTCTTCATGGCCCTCACCAACTTCCGTGGCCAGGTCAAGATGTTCCCCAATATGCCCGTCTTTGGGGTCCTTCTTGCCTTCCTATTCTTGTACCTCGGATGCCTTACCTTGATGCTGCCTCGTCGTCAAGCTCTCCGCATTCCCCATCCTGCCAACTGTCTTGCTGAGCTCATCGCTCTCTGCACGGCTGAAGACACGGTTCATGACGAAGCTTTCCTGGCTGTTCGCGATGTATCAGACCTCAAGTCCCGCTTGGGCCTTGACCGTCCCAACTCTCGTGAGCAATCGAGATGGTACTTTGGCGTTGCAGCAGGTCGTGACGAGCGCCGCCTGAGTGTTCGCCCCATGCAAAAGTTTACCGAGAAGAAAATGAGATCCATGAGGTCTCTATAATAATGGTTAGATGCACGAGAGACGAGAGATGTTGTAATACGTTGTACTGGGGAGATTTGACAAGTGTGTGTGTAATCTGACGATACGATCTAATTATGAATTGGCAGCTGCGAATTTTGGGTTTGGCGGTGTTTGGCTTTTTTTTTTT